TCAATGCAATCCCCATTAAATTACCAACGGCATATTTCACAAATCTAGAACGAACGTTCCAAAAATTCATCTGGAATAAAAAATGACCCCGAATAGCTACAGCAATCCCGAGAAAGAACAAAGTAGGTGGGATCTCAATACCAGATATCAAACTGTATTACAAAGCCACTATTCTTAAAACAGCTTGGTACTGGCCAAGAACAGACATATAGATCAATGGAGTAGAATAGAGACCCCAGAATTCGACCCAAACCACTATGACCAATTAATATTCGACAAAGGAGGCAAGAGCATACAATGGAGTCAAGACAGTCTTTTCAATAAATGGTGTTGGAAAAATTGGACAGGTACATGCAAAAGGATGAAACTAGATCACCAACTCACACCATACACAAAAATAAACTCAAAATGGATAAAAGACTTAAACGTAAGACGGGAAACCACAAAAATACTAGAGGAATCCACAGGCAGCGAAATCGCAAACATATGCCGAAGAAATTTCTTCTCTGATAATGCTCCTAGGGCAATGGAAACTAAAGAGAAAATAAACAAATGGGACTACATCAAAATAAAAAGCTTTTGCACAGCAAAGGAAACTATCAACAAAACAACAAGAAGACCCACTGCATGGGAGAACATATTTGCCAATGATACCACCGATAAGGGTTTAATTTCCAACATTTACAGGGATCTCATGAAACTTAACAAAAGGAAGATAAACAATCCAATAAAAAAATGGGCAACGGACCTAGACAGACACTTTTTGAAAGAGGACATACAGAAGGCCGAAAGACATATGAAAACCTGCTCAAAGTCACTAATTATACGAGAGATGCAAATTAAAACGATAATGCGTTATCATCTCACACCTGTCAGAATGGCTATCATCAACAAATCAACAAACAACAAGTGTTGGAGAGGATGTGGAGAAAAAGGAACACTCATGCACTGCTGATGGGAATGCAGACTGGTGCAGCCACTGTGGAGAACAGTATGGAACTACCTCAGAAGACTAAAAATGGAACTCCCATTTGACCCAGTGATCCCACTGCTAGGAATATATCCCAAGAAACCAGAAACGCCAATCAGAAAGGATATATGCACCCCTATGTTCATAGCAGCACAATTCACCATAGCTAAGATCTGGAAACAGCCTAAGTGCCCATCAGCAGATGAGTGGATTAGAAAACTGTGGTACATATACACAATGGAATACTATGCTGCGGTGAAAAAAAAAGGAACTCTTGCCTTTTGCAACAGCATGGATGGAACTGGAGAGCATTATGCTAAGTGAAATAAGCCAGTCAGAGAAAGATAAATACCACATGATCTCACTCATTTGTGGATTATAGAGAATAACATAGACTGATGGAAAGGGACAGACCCAAAGACTGAGAAACAGCGATCAGGCTATCAATCCCCAGAAGGAAAGTAGGGGAGGGCGGGGGTAAGGTGAAGAGATCAACCGAAGGACTTGTATACATGTATATAAGCCAAACCAATGGACATGGACAACAGGGGGATGGGAGCATGAGTTTTTGTGTGGGGGGGAGGTTGGGGGTTAATGGGGGGGGTGAGGACACATTTGTAATACCTTAACTAATAATAAAAAAAAAAGAATATATATATGCACATTATAAAAAAAAAAAAAGCAATTCAGGGTGAGGTTTCTACTAGATAATAAAAGACAAAGATCTGATTTATTTAAAAAAAAAAAAAAAAAGAAATTACAGGGTTGCAAAGCCAAAAAAAAAAAAAAAAAAAAAAAAGAAAATAAATAAAAGGCATCCAAATGGGAAAAGAAGAAGTAAAACTGTCATTATTCACAGATGACATGATATTCTACATAGAAAACCCTAAAGACTCCATCAAAAAATTACTAGAGCGCATAAATGAATTCAGCAATGTAGCAGGATACAAAATTCACACCCAGAAATCTATGGCTTTTTTATGCACCAATAATGAACTTACAGAAAGAGAAATTTTAAAAAATCCCATTTACCACTGCAACAAAAAAATTAAGATACCTAGGAATAAATTTAACCAAGGAGTTGTAAAGGACCTGTACTCAGAAAATTACAGGACGCTGAAAAAAGAGATAGAGCAAGACATAAACAAATAGAAGAATATACCATGTTCATGGATTGGTAGAATCAACATCATAAAAATGCCCATACTACCCAAATAAATCTATAGATTCAATGCAATCCCCATTAAAATACCAACAGCATACTTCAAAGACCTAGGACAAACTCTCCAAAAATGCATCTGGAATAAAAAAAGACCCCGAATTGCCACAGCAATCTTGAAAAAGAAGAACAAAGTTGAAGGGATCACAATAACAGATATCAAGCTATATTACTCAAGCTACTGTTCTCAAAACTGCCTGGTGTTGGCACAAGAACAGACATATAAACCAATGGAACAAAACAGCGAACCCAGAGTTCAACCCAAGTCATTATACTCAATTAATATTTGACAAAGGAGGCAAGAGCATACAATGGAGTCAAGACGGTCTCTTCAATAAATGGTGTTGGGAAAATTGGACATATACATGCAAAAAAAATAAAATAAAACTAGATCACCAACTTATACCATACACAAAAATAAACTCAAAATGGATAAAGGACTTAAACGTAATACGGGAAACCATAAAAATCCTAGAGGAAGTCATAGGCAGCAAAACAGCAGACATTTGTTGTAACAATATCTTTACTGATACAGCTCCTAGGGCAATGAAAACCAAGGAGAAAATAAACATATGGGACTACATCAAAATAAAAGGCTTCTGCAGAGCGAAAGAAACCATCAACAAAACAATAAGAAAGCCCACTGCATGGGAGAACATATTTGACAATTTTATCTCCAATAAGGGTTTAATCTCCAAAATTTATAGGGAACTCATACAACTTAACAAAAGGAAGATAAACAATCCAATCAAAAAATGGGCAAAGGACCTAAATAGACACTTTTCGAAGGAAGACATACAGAAGACCAAGAGACATAGGAAAACATGCTCAAAGTCACTAATCAAATGAGAGATGCCAATCAAAACAACAAGGAGGTACCATCTCACACCTGTCAGAATGGCTATCATCAACAAATCAACTAATGACAAGTACCGGGGAGGATGCAGAGAAAAAGGAACGCTTGTGCACTGCTGGTGGGAATGCAGACTGGTGCAGACACTGTGGAAAACAGTATGAATTTTCCTCAAAAAATTAAAAATGGAACTGCCATTTGACCCAGTGATCCCACTTCTAGGAATATATCCCAAGAAAACAGAAACACCAATCAGAAAGGATATATGCACCCCTATGTTCATAGCAGCACAATTTACAATAGATGAGCGGATTAGAAAACTGTGGTACTTTTACACAATGGAATACTCTGCTGCTGTAAAAAAGAAGGAAGTCTTACCATTTGCAACAGCATGGATGGATGTGGAGAGTATTATGCTAAGCGAAATAAGCCAGTCAGAAAAAGATAAATATCACATGATCTCACTCATTTGTGGAATATAATGAACAACATAAACTGAGGAACCAAAATAGAACCAGAGTTCATAGAAGCATCGAACAACCTATGAGGGAAGGTGAGAGCAAGAAACCATTGGACACAGATGAGAGAGAGGGGGTAAGGGCACATGCTGGGGTTTGGGGGAGGCCAGGGAGAGGGCAATGGGGGAAAAAGGAGACTTATGTAATACTTTAAACAATAAAGAATTTTAAAAAAGACTTAGCTTCCACAAGCTGGCAAGGACCCGGGACACAGCCAGGCCAATGGCCCTCTAGTCTCAAAATGCATGGACTGGGAAGTACACACTGGCGCTCAGTGTGGTTTTACACCTCAATTCCTTGAGAGCCCTGGAGTTAGGGACCTCCTTACTTGCTGCATCTCTAGCAGCTTCCACCTCATCCACACAGAATCTCCATTGATTTTCACAGCAGGAGGTTGTGAGGACTCTTCCTGGCATTGGTGCTCCAGGATGAGAAGCCTATTGTGGGGTGGGACCCCTCACTCAACAGAAGAGACCTCCAAAGCGGATTTCTCACCATCACACTGTTGCTGTGGGGCCAGCCTGGTTCATGTCCCTGCCCCTCCTACCAGTTTCCACGTGGCTTCTTCTGCATTTCCTTAGTTACAGAACTTCTGTTCAGCAAGTCTTCAGGAGGTTCTCAAGGGTGGTTGTTCCATAATTTAGTTGTAATTTTGATGTTGTTATGGGAGGAGGCATGCATAGTATTTACCTGGTTACTCTGCCATCTTGACCGGAAGTGCTTTCTTTACCTACATTTCTCTGTCAAGTTTATCAGTTTCTGAGAGTGATGTGTAACACAATAAAAGAGTATCTATGGTATTTATACATTCCCTAACATTAGTTTCTTTTAATAGAACCTTTTCTCCTCTGATCTTTCATGTAACCATCTTAAATTTTGGTAGAATGTGTTTTTAAGACTATTTTTAAAACTATGCTAATTTTCATATACTTTGTTTTTATTTTCTCATAACTCTTGCTATGGTTTTCTGGGTTCACTTTTCTTCTTTGTGATGCATATTATTTACTGGTGTTTTCAATAAGGCCTAGGGGAGGTCAACTTTGAGACTGTATGTAAGAAAATGTCTTTACATATTTCTTTGATGGGTAGCTTGGCTAGGTATTTAGCTTCTTAGCAATTATTTTTCCTTCCTTACTATTTAATATTTCTTAGCCTCCATATCTTTATGGGAACAAAATGTGAATAAAGCCCCAAGGATGGTAGCATAACTGAGATAATGCATTCTGAACTTGTCAATCATGTTGCTTAGCAGATATGAGGTTGTCAATAATGGTAGTTCTCATATCATTATTATAATCTCCAGGAAGTAATATTCTCAGAGAATGACTGCTTAAGACTGAGGAACAGAAGTTCATACCAAAAAAAAACCACCAAAAAAACCCAAAAAAAACTGGAATGGTTGGCATTAGTTGGACTTTAATTTTTAGACCTTGGGTATCTTCAGCTGCAGTCATCTGCAAAAGGTATAGAGATCACACAATCTGTTTCTACAAATGCAGGGCAGGACAGCACAGGTGGCCCCATGCCTGCGATGCTTTGAGCTTCTTTTGGGGAGCTCCTGATATAGCTGCCTTGTTGAGTTCTGTGCAGAGAAATATGAAAAAAAGATTCACCCGCTCATATTTTTCACCTGAGTTTTATTCACCTGTACTTCCAAAGCAGACACTGATTTCTAAGGTCTGGGTGTTACTCTGGATTCAGTCTTCCTAGATTTTTAGTCATTTCAGGTTCCAAGTCCCAGGACTGAATGCAGAGTCATATCTAAGCCATTCCTTCCATCCTGGTCTATTTTTCATCTTGGAGAACCATGAGGAAAGGGGTTCCAAAGAGGCAGGTTGATCTGGAAGTCCCGGTGAGTCTGAACTTCAGAGAATGAAGTGGAACAAAGGGCACTTGAGATGCCTGGGCGTCGGGGGTGGGGGGAATGGAGGCACAGAGATAAGTGTGGTTGCTGACACAGGTCAGGGGAGGTGTGCTGCAAAGTTTCCTAAGAAGGGAAACCTCGCGCTGAAGAGCATCCAGTTTTATACTGTGGCAGTTTCTGCTCCAGTGTAGCCAACGGAGTTCCTGAGAGATAAAGGACTATGAAACCACAAGACAAGCCGGAACTAGCAGTTGCCTTCAGGACTCAATGAAGGGGAAGAATTTTCTCTAGTTTCCTGTGAACCAGACAGGGGCCATGTTTAGAAGGGCCCAGAGAATGTGACAGATCAGTGTGGTTGATTTTTGGTCCAGCCAAGCTCCTTTGGGCCCTGGATGGGAACCGGGGCCTCAGGCAGATCTAGTCATTGCAGCTTCCTCAGGTCTAGGTGTGGCAGGGACCGGGCATCACTGCTGAATCTCAAAATCTCCCTCCTTCTTCCGCAGGCACACGGTGACCTGTGAAGGTGAGGACGGGGACTCAGAATGGACTGTCTGACTGTCCAAGTATGAGAGAATACTAGGGAAAAAGATGGCCACAGCCACATAGAGCAGACGTGTCCCTCTGCTTTAAAACTTAAAAAAAAAATGATTTCAAAGAGAGGAAGGGAGAGAGATAAAGCAATAGAAACATCAATGAGAGAGAATCATGGATTGGCAGTCTTGCCCCCTACTGGGGACCGAGGCAGCAATCTGTGCATATACCTTAACCTCCTGGTTCATGGATCGAAGCTCAACCACTGAGCCATACCGGTCAGGTTCCCTCTCCTTTTTAAATTTAAGTTTCTCTATCAGTCTTTTTTTCCCTTTCCCTTTTTCCATCTTTTATCTCTTTCTGTTTTTCTCTCCCCCCTTTTCACTCTCATTTGTTCTACCATTTTCACTCTAGTATCCATTTATATTCCTCATCCTTCCCTCCCTCCTTCTCCCCACGCTATAGCTTAACTGAGGTATAACTGATATACAATAAACTGCATACATTTTATGTGAATGATTTGATAAGTTTTGATGATAACTTATTAAACTGTCATAATAATCAAGATAAGGAATACCCATCACCCCAAAAGTGTACTCAGGTTCTTCTGTAATTCCTCCTGCAGACACCTTCTTATTCCTGGGCAACTGGTGACCTGATTTCTGTCCCTATAGATTGGCTATATTTTGTAAAGGTTGTTTATAAATGGTATCATAGAGTCTGTTCTTTACGTAACTTCTTTCACTAAGCATAAGTATTTGAGATTTATACATGTCATTGCCTGTATTATTCTTTCCTTTTTATTGCTGAGGAAGATCACATTGTAGGGATGTGTCACAGTTTGTTTATCCTTCACCTGTTGGTGGACATCTTGGTCGTTTTCCATTTGGGGGCTAGTACATACAAATCTCTAATGGGCATCTGTGTATAAGTCTCTTTGTATGTTTTATTTCCCTTGGATAAATTGCTAGGAGTGGAATGGCTGTAGGTGTATGTAACTTACAGAAGCAACAGCACTAAGCTACTTTTTATAAGCACTACATGAGAGTTCCAGGTGCTGCACATACTCACCAACACTTGTTATAGCCAGTCTATATAATATATTAGCCATTCTCACATGTAGTGGTAAGTCTATCACCATGATAAACTCAAGACTTTCAGTTACATTTCTCAAAGAACTACTGTTGTTAAGAAAAGAAATAGGCAAACCACACATAGAAAAACATTTGCAAAACGTGCCCATCAGAGGATTGTATTTCTAAAATAGTGATACACCATGTAACAAGAAGGGTATAACCTGAGAAAGGTGCCCTTAGGGGATTGCCTGTACAGCATGTTACTTTATAAAGCAACACACAGTTAAATCAAGAACAAGTAAAAATAATGCAATCACGAGATGCAGTAAACATGAGATATATGAGACTGGTGTAGGCTAATGTGGCATACTGCTTTACAGCCATCATTTTTATAAGTAGAAAAGTACACTCTAAAACAATAATAAAAAGTATGGTATAGTAAATACCTAGCCAGTAACACAGTCCTTTATTATCATTATCAAGTATTATGGCCTATACACAATTTATACTTTGATACAATTGGAAATGCAGTAGGTGTGTTTGCCTTAAACACTTGAGTAATGTGCTTTGCCAGAACCTTATTAAGGATATGATGTCACTAGGTGGCAAGAATTTTTCAGCTTAATTATAATCTTATGGAACCACCATCATATATGTGGCCCATCCTTGACCAAAATGTTGCTATGTGATGCATGACTGTATATAAAACACTCTTACAACCCAATAGCAAGAAGACAAGCATCATTTCCTCACTTACCAGGAAACAGCAGATCAGGCACGTGGTGATTACCAAGAGTCCCGCCAAGCAGAAGAGGATGATGGCCCAAAAGGGGAAATCTGGGGGGACAAGTGCTGGGCTGAGCTGCCACCTCTCATTCCCCAGGGATCTTGCTTTCTCCCCGCTGTGCCTCAACAGTCCATGACATAGGTTGGCCAACTGTCGTTATCATACAAGCTCTTGTGTGCAGGTTTCTCTGGGATGAGGCACAGCATCAAGACATTCCCTCCCCGCCTGGGGCTGCCTTGAGGCTTACCAGAATTCCCAGTCAGGGTCTCAGGTCTACTTGGAGAATAGCCTGGAAGGGAATAAAATGGAGAAGTGTTTTACTCTGTTTAATAAAACTCTTCAAACACACAGAAAAATGGAACTATAGCATAAACATCCCTCCCCAAATTTTAGCAATGTACTGGTATAGTTCACCCAATGAAAGCAGTATTTCACCCAATGCACAAGTTATTAACAGTTGCTACTCTTGCCTTATCCCATATTTTCACTGAATATTAAAGTAGACATCATTATATCTCACTCCATTTCAGTTTGTAGCCCTAAAAAATGAGATGCAATGGCCTACATAACCTTAGGCCATTGTCATACTACAATAATGTATTAAATTAAATCAAATTTCTACCTTTGGGCACAGAATATTGAAAGTAGGCTGGACCATCTTATGATTGTCAAGGGGGAATGGTTCATCCCAGTTGCAAGCACATGAGATCTCTCTAAATATGTAAATTACAACTCATAATCTCTTTTCTCAGCCTAGAATCACATTTACCTTCTTTTCCTTTACCACGTTGTTTTATACTCATTTCCCAGGATTCAACTATAATATAATTTCTACAGGAAGCCTTCTCAGATTACCACTCCCAAGCATGGATTGATTTACATCAAATAATTTACTATTGACAACTACCTATTCTTGTTATTTTCTATTACTATATAAACTCCATGAGGGCAGGAACACATTGTACCCTTTAGGCAGGGTAGGAGGGTTTCTGGTCCTCTACTTCTCCCTAGCAAACTTTTTATTTTTATTTTTAAAGAGAGCGGAAAAAAAGGTGGGAAGGTTGAAGGGAGGGAGGGAAATGGAGAGAGAGAGAAAGAGAGAGAGAAAGAGAAAATATTAATGAGAGCGAGCGAGAGAGAGAGAGAGAGAGAGAGAGAGAGAGAGAGACGGACAGACACCAATTGGTTTCCTCCTGCATGTGCCCCAACCAGGCTGTGGATGGGACCTGCAACTCAGGTACATGCCCTTGATTGGAATTGAATCGGCAACCCTTCTGAGCTCAGGCTGATACGAACCACTGAGCAATGCTGGCCAGGGCTTCCTATCCAACTTTTTAAGAAGTTCTGCCCAATACAGAGCTGCCACAAGGGGGTTCTTAAATTACAATTAATTTGAATTAAATGAAATTTAAAAATCTGGTACCTCCTAACATTAAAATCAGTAACAATAAAAATCTGTGTCAGCCATACGTCTCATACTCAAAACTTCTATGTGGTTGATGTGCTGGGCAGCAGAGATAGAGAACATTTCCATCACTGCAAAAGTTCTATCGGATGGTGATGATCTGGGCAGTAATGGGCAACTACATACAGCCTGCAGGCCAAGTCAGGCCCACTGCCTCTTTTTATACAGCCTGTGGGTCAGAAAACAGGTCTATCCCATCACACCTGTCAAGGCTGGTTCACACATAGTTTGCTGCTGACAGCCCTCGCTGACCATCTGTAATTGACTTTCAGTAGACAGAGAAGGACTCTGAAGTCCAGAGTGGGAAAAGGACTAGCCTGAGGGCACAGAGCTATCTAGGTGACCAAAAAGGCCTCCTATATTGCACTGGGCATCCTTTCCTCTCCCTCAATAGTGGGTAAAGCCAGGGGACTGTGCTACCTCCTGCCAGCCTCAGAAAGTTCAATGCCAGCTCATCTCCAGGCCTCCAGATTCCTAGGGAAGTCCACAGGTGTGGCACTTAGACCCCCACTCCTGCCCCAATGACCTGGAAGTCTTACCATCCACTAGCACACTGTTCCTGTCCAGGGTAAAGTTCTGAAGGTGGGTGCCATTCTGAGTCAGCTGCAGGAATTCCTCATAGATGGCAACTCTGTCCATTTTCTGTGCCAATGGTGAGAAGTGGCACAGGGAGTCCACCCTAGTGTGGTTGCTGTGCGGGACAGACCTGGAAGCACACAAGGGATGCAGAGGTATCTGAAACTCTGCCCTGAGTCTTGCTTTCCTTTTCTAGTTCTTGTTGCCAAGAGAACTCTCTGCAATGAAGTAAACCTTGTGTCTACACTGTCCAATATAATCATTATTAGCCACAAGTTGTTGCTAAGCACTTAAAATGTGGGTGAAGAATTGAGTTTTTCATGTAATGTAATACTAATTCAAAACAGCTACAAGGAGAACATCTGTGAAATTTTGGGAGTAAGGACTTCTGAAAACCCATAAAAACAAGAACACAAGAAAAATGGTTAATATAAACTTTTCAAAAGTACAGAAATGAACCAAAGGCTTGCAACCATCTGAGGTGTGTTTAGTTAGGAGGGAGTAAGCGCTGTGGCATTATAACCTGCACTGTCCCCATTCTGTGCTCACAATGTCCTCAGGAACTGTGAAATGCATCAGTCTCAGAACCACGTAACTGTGAAAAACAGCAGTCACGTAGCCATCCTGGGTTTGGAGCTCCCCAAAAGATGCATCCCGGTTTTTTCTATTTGACCTGTGTGGCATCCCCTTGAAATATCCCCTCAGCAAGGAAGGTCTATCCCCAGGGAACTTCCTAAAAACAATCAGTGGTAACTGTTTTTGCACTGTAGCTGCATGAGGGAGCAATATTAGTTGAGGCAACCAAGAGCTGAGCCAAAAACTTAAGATAAAAATTGGAATAATGAGATGTCTCCATTAGGCTTTGAAACTCTCCAATGAATTTGAGGGGATGTAGAAGGCCGCAAGAGTACAGGTCTGGGTGCATGCCCAGGAAAGACTTGAAAAGATCTTAATCACTAATCCCTGCCTGAAAAAAGTTATCTTAATATATTAAGAACTGGGTCATGAAATGCACCATAGTTATAGGATAAAGCACAAATACCCATTATCTTAATACACACACACAAAAAGAATTTCACAAAATAGGCCTTTTATGATTTAAAAAAACCTTCAACTTGGAAATTTTAAAAAGAAACATTCTCAACGTGACAAACAGCATCAAAAACAACAACAACAACAAACACACACACAACAAACCCCCACAAAAAACCTACAGCTAATATTATAGTCAGTGGTAAAAGACAGAATAATTTCCTCTAAGACCAAGGACAAAACAAGGATGTCTTCTCTCATTTCTTATGTTAATTGTACTAGAGGTTCTAATGAGAGAAATTAGGCAAGAAAAGGAGATGAAAGGCATCTAGATTGGAAAAGAAGACATAAAAATGTGATCTGAACTGTGTTTTGCAGATGATGTAATACTGTATATGAAAAAGTCTGAGAAATAGACACACAGAATAGTATATGAACAATATTTCAGTAGGTGTATAACAATTTAACTGCCACATGGGGTTGTGGCTACACTACTGGACAACACGATCAGACTGCTGAATTTTAAGTCATCTCATGCTAGCCCCCATCTTGTATGGGCTGTGGATTCAGGAGCTGATTTCTAAAGAAATGTTTTCTACAAGCTATATCCCATGGACCCCAGAACCAGGCACCTCCATCTCTAGTGAGGCTATTTTTTAAAGTAACAGTTCTATATCCCTAGGGCTCTCTTCTGTAACAGCTAGGAACTGAGAGATTATAGCATAGGGGTTCTCTTACCTAAAGATCATATATCCTTTATGTAAAAGAGAAGTTTACAGAGGCATTGGGCCCTGATTTGGAACTCACCTGAACGCTATAACTTGACAGTCAGAAAAATAATTCTTGATGCTGCTGTTTCGGAAGAGCTGGTTGAGCTGAAAGACAGGGTAAAGTTTCTCTCATCAGAACCCCAGGCTTTCTCAGAGAATGTTCAGCCACTGAGCAAACTTCTCCATCTGTTTTTTTCTTGGCTCAACAAAGACTAGTGAAGGTATGTGTACCAAAAAAGGCTTTGTTCCAGGGTAGGATTTAGCTATGTGTGCCTATTTCTTCATTTGCAAAATGGGAATAAGAACTGGTATTCATGAATTGTTATGAAAGTCACCATCTGACTACCTAGATCTATAGGCCAGTGTCTACATGGAAACAGAGTGGACACAACTGCATTCTCACCGCATTCTCCATGCTTCTTTTGTTCCGCTGGTATGTGGTGGTGCCTAGTAGGCCTATGTCCTGGACATAGAGTAGATTGGTGACAGTGAAATTCAGCTGGAGGTGCTGAGGGCTGGGACTGCTTGTTGGTTTGTCTGTTGGCAGATGAACTGATGCCTCCAGTTCTAGAATAAAAAGAGAATATAAAATTCCAATACTGAAGTTGAAATATTCAAAATATTCAAAATTCAAAATATTCAAAATTCAATATTCAACTTCAATACTAAATATCTGCCAAATGGTAGGTGGTACCAAGCCAGTGGGGAAGGATTTAACAAGAGGTCATTTAAACCAGTCTACTTATTGCTGGTAATGTGACCTGAACTGGGTTTTTTAAGATGGGCTCCAGAAGATCCTCCATCTACCTGCCCACCTTGAATCTATTCATTTATCTACCTGCACAACCCCCTTTCCATCAAGAATTCTGAGAGTTCCCTAGGATGTGTGGGAGAGTAGAATGGGTCTCTCTGAGGTGTATCTGGCAAGTGCAAGTGCTGACCGACCCAGCAGGCATCTGTCACACACCTTTGTTGGCCTAGGCTCCTAATGTTTTTTTGCTGCTTCCAGTCTCCTTCCCTCTCTCAATCCATTCTCCACAAAGCACCCAGGAAACGAGCTTTCAAAAGGAGAACTCAAAGTGTTTTATGTTCCTCCACAAACCATTCCAGTGCCCAAGAAAGTCCCTGACCACCTCTTTAGCCTCAACAGTCACCTTCCCCAGGTCAAAGTGCATGCACCAGCCACAAGATACCTCTTATAGCGTCCCCAAATATGCCATGCTCTTTCTATCTTCTAGGTTAAAGACACATGTAGCACAACTATTTATCCCCCATCCCCCACAGGCTAGGTCATGTTCTCCATCACGTTTTAGTTTCTTCATCACTTCCTTATGAAAACATTTTAAGACAGGGATGTGTGTCCCTCCTTGAGGTTCCCACAGGCTCTTAAAATCCCTTTATAGAAATTTTCACAATGCATCATCAGTACCTATTAACTTGCATTAAATAAAGTTGAATGAATGAATAATAAATGACGCACAGAGGGCCTAAAAAGGCAACTCAGGACCCTCTAAATTTGTGTAAAAATAAGCATCCCTTTGAGGGTAATTGCTGCATATTCTCTTTCTGCCTCATGTTGGATGATCCATGGCCATGAATATGGTTCATCAACATGGACCTCCAAAAGAGTACCACTTTTCCCTCCCAAGCCTACATCGGTTCTATTGCTACTGAGAAGACCCATCCTTCCTCAAAGCCCATCTCCACAAGCCATGAAACCAGTTCCCCATCTTGTACCTGTCACTTGAATATCTGCCAAATGGTAGGTGGCACCAAGCCAGTGGGATGAAGCATTGAAGGTCTTGTCCAAAAAGATTTGTTTCACCATTCTGGGGTCTACACTGGAGGAGAACAGTTCCTCAATAGTGACTGTCACGGAGCCCAGCCTAGAATCAGAGACCATGGGGACTCAGCCAGCATCCAACACCAGCAGTGTCCCCTGAGTTCCTGCTTTATGAAAGGTGTTTAGGAGTTGAGAATAAGAGCAATAACAGTAATAAAAATGAACATCTACTAGGCATCCCTAAGAAGTGACTTACACGTTCCCTTATCATCACTGTGGTGGAAGGTATTATTACAACTATCCCCACAAAGAAACTTAAGTTAGGAAATATTCAAAATTCAATATTCAAAATCATATGCCTCATGATTCTCCTCTACTGTGTAGATTTCCTAGTTCCTCCACCCATCACTCAGAGACTGGGTGCAATCCCAACTTGGACAGTTCTTGGGCTGTTTACTTTGCTGAGCCTCAGTTTTCCCATCTGAACAATGGGGACAATCATTGTATCCACTTCATGAGGCTGTGATGAGAATTAAGTGAGATGATCATGCATGAAAGTGCTCAGCAGAGAGGCTGGCCATGGTAAATCTTATTATTGAGCTGATACTGGTTGAAAGTGTCCAGAAGAGGAGAAGGTGGTAGATACTGATGGTTGGTGGCCCCATGAGGTTAGTTCTTTACCCACCCCTGAAAACCTATAGAAGGAGATGGTAGGATTAGCTGATAGGAATGTGGGGAGAATGGGCACAATGTTAGGACTTTCAGAACAAGATACACCACAGGAGCTCAGAGCAAAAGCCACCAACTCAGCCGAGACTTCCAATCTCCTCAACTTACTTCAAGTCAGTAACCAGGCAGGAGTAGAATGCATCTCCTAGCTGGCTGCCTCTGTAGAGTTTGGTGACCTAGAATGAAGGGGAGGGAGAGTGGGTGAGAGAGGTCCCTAGGGGCTGGAGGCAGCCACTGGAACCAGTGAAAGAACACAGGCCTTGGAGCAAGGGAGAACTGAGTTCAAATCCTCGCTCTGCCCCCAACTCACTGTGTGACTTAAAGCACAGACACCCATTTCTGAGCCTCACTTTGCTCATCTGGGAATGGGGAAGGCAGACATGGTTCTGCCTCCAGAAACTGAGAGAACTCAGAAAACTTGAGTAAAGTGAAGTGCTGAAACAATCAGTTAATAGATAGATGTAAGTTAGGAGAATGAGAGGGGTACCCAGAGCAAGGAGATATAAGATGGGTGAGAGAGACTACACCTTGTCCTGGATGTCCCTCAGCAGGGAGGTGTACTCGGAGGACATGGGGTCTGGGTTGCTGAGGTTCCAGTTGATGATGCGGAAATTTAGCTGGTACTCACTCTGAACAGATAAATCCTGTGGGGCATAGCCTAGGGCCATGAAAAGAAAAAAAAGACATGTCAAGATGCTCAGCAATTATTTTTCTTTTTACTATTTTATATATACGTGTATGTATATATATATATATACACATATATATATATATAATTTATTGATTTCAGAAAGTAAGAGAGAGGGAGAGATAGAAACATCAATGATGAGAGAGAATAATCGATTGGCTGCCTCCTGCATGCCCCCTACTGGGGATCAAGCCTGCAACTGGAAAATGTGCCCTGACAGGGACTTGAACCATCATCTCCTGGTTCATAGGTTGATGCTTAACCACTGAGAAACACAGGCCAGGCAAGATGCTCAACTTTTAGCATGGAGGCATGGCATCACAGAGGCTTATGCCCTGGAGACTGTGGGGGTTCCCAAATGGAAAGTCACCCAAAGAGGGGGAAAACTCGGAGTTTTACAGAGATTCTCCTGAGCTGAGTTTTTATGTTTGTGCTTATGCAGTTACCACTTTGTAGAATGCTTTTCCACCCTCTTCCTGAAAAACTCCTATTCATGTTACAGAAGCCCAAAGGTATGGAGCTCCAGGAGAGTAGGGACCCACCCATCTATCTTGTTCTTGTCATGCCCCAGGATCTAACACAGGTCTGGGCACATAATATTTTTCAGGAAGCCTTCCTTGACTTGTCCCCCTCCCATCTCTCATCCCATAGCAACCAGTTATATAATGTTGCTGCAATTTTTGTGTCCCTAAGTAATCATTAGTTCACTTGGCCATGAGTTTTCCAGGGACAAAAGCTGTCCTTTATCTCCATACCCACCCAACACATAGTTTGGTACAGAATTGTCACATATGAGTGTTTGCTGAATGAATGAATAGGAACTGCAGCAGATACCTACAGATGAGGGGCTGATATTCTCATCTTTTATTTGTTCATTCATTTATTGAGTACCACAATGTGCCAACTTATTAAGAACTAAGGATCTAGTGTCCCAGTAGGCAAATCCTGATTAGAGTTGGACAATAAAACAAGTAATTGCAGTAAAGTGTGATAAGTGTTGGTGTGCTGCCTATCTAGGGACTACGGACCATGGACAGCAGGGTCTCTCACCTTCAGAACTACTGCCATTTGGAGCTATATGATTCTTGGTGGTGGGGTTCTCCTGTATATTAGCAACATCTCAGCCTCTGTCTACTAGATGCCAGTGGCACCTTATCCCAGTTGTGACAATTAAAAATGTCTCCGGACTTTGCCCAGTGTCTACTGGGGGTAGTGGGGAGTGGGGAGGAGCAGAATTGCCCCTGGGTGAGAACAACTGGCTTAGAGGAACCTTGCTTAGATACTATGTGTCTGTAATTTTGATTTTGCATTAAAATGTATTATATTAATTTGGTTAAAGAATTTCATGTTTTTACCAGAAATAATAGGAAATACCCTCCCTATGGAGGTTGGGGAGGGTATCTCTCAGCCTGAGCTTAGACTGATTTCTTAAAGAGGAAATAAAATAAAACAAAGACATGTAATGAACACTGTAAATCCAAGTTCAGGATAAACACTCACCATTGACAAAGAGGCTGCCCCTGACCAGGGTATAGCGACCCATCTGGGTGACACTGTGGGTCAGCTGGTTCAGCTCCCAGTAAAGTCGATCTCTGTCTAGCCCGGGGCTCAAGGGGTCAGAGTGATAGGTGCAGATGATATCCACCCTGGTGGCTGCTCCATCTTTCTCAGGCCTGGGGAGAGAGGCATGTGGGAACTCTAGAAAGAGAGAGATCCTGAAACTGCTGGGTGTGGGGGCCAGAAAGATGGAGAAGCTAATGTGAGGTTGGTGGGAAGACTGAAAAGGGGGTGGTCACCACAAGTGGCCATTATGGCAAATGCTCAGGAAAGAGTCTTACCTGAGGGAGATCAGTCTGCAACCCGAGTAGTAGGGGCCCAGGCTGCTCTTCATAAACAAGGATCTGAGCTGGAGAGGAAGGAGGAAGAGGATGAGCAGGAGGGTTGGCTAAGAGGCTGGGTGGGATTTACCTGACCAGGAGCTGCTGGGACCAGGGTCTCACCAGGTCCTTCAGGACACTCTGAGTAGAGTTGAATATGGCTGAGCCACTTCCCATGTCTACTGAATACTGGAGGTTGGAGATGGTAAAGTTGAGTGTGAGGGTCTCCAAGTTGTACAACAGAACTGTAAGAAGAGAAGGGGTGAGATGGCAGTCACTGAGAGCCAGCCTGAGTCCTGTAATCATGATAATCTGTTGTCTTCTTTTCCAGTGGTATTGGTGTGGTCAAGTCAAAACCATCAGAAACACTCAGAAATATGAGTATTACTCATCTCACCTCCAAGTACTACCAACTCCACATGTGAATGATTCTCACATATATCACCTCTCTCCATCTTCTCCCAGCCCAGTTCTTACCTTCTCTCACCTGGACCAATGCCCCAGCAGGCACACTAGACACCCTGTCTAAAAGATGTTCTCCACACTGAATAGTAGAAATTTTCTTAAATGAAAGTTTCACTATGGTCACCACTGCTCTATATCATCCATGACACCCTATGGCCTTCAGCATTAGGTTCAAGCTTATAATGACCTGGCACTCAAGTTCCTTCCTAATCTTGTTCTTACCAATATTTCAGTTTCATTTATCCATCTACTCCATATTAAGCTTTATACTTCAGGTAAATGAAATCCCTCTCAATTTCACTACACTATGCTGTTTGTGCCTTTTTGATCAATCCCCTCTACCAGGGGATCTCCTTCTCCATGCCCTATTTGACTAGAGCAGTGATGGCGAACCTATGACACGTGTGTCAGAGGTGACACGTGAACTCATTTTTTGGTTGATTTTTCTTTGTTAAATGGCATTTAAATATATAAAATAAATATCAAAAATACACATCTTTGTTTTACTATGGTTGCAAATATAAAAAAATTTCTATTTGTGACATGGCACCAGAGTTAAGTTAGGGTTTTTCAAAATGCTGACACGCCGAGCTCAAAAGGTTCGCCATCACTGGACTAGAGCATTCCTACTCCTTCTTAAAGGCTCTATGTGGGTAACTTTCACCAGAAAGCTATTCCCATTCAAATTATACCAGATGCTTCTTACCAAAACATCCCACATTTTGTTATAATGGTCTGTTAATCTCACAAGCCTGGAGGCTACATGAGGTTAGGCATTAAATTGAATTGTTGGTATAATTGGTTGCCCTAAAACCAGAATTTCACAGCCTAGCTCACCAGTTCCTGTGTGACAATTGTCTGGTGGGGCTTGAGAGCTTCTCTTAGGAAGGAAAAGGGCTCCATCAAATACCTGTGGTTGCTTCTGGTTGCACAGATGACGACAAAGTGGGCAGGACTGTAGTGGCTGGTTCAGGAGCTATAAAAAAGGCAGTCATGGGAGAAACCAAGATGGCGGCATAGGTAAACACCTGAAATTGCTGCCTCCCACAACAACTTCAAAAATACAATGAAAAGACAAAACGGACATCATCCAGAACTACAGGAAGGCTGGCTGAGTGAAAATTCTACAACTAGAAGGAAAAAGAAAAGCACACTGAGACCCAGAGGTAAAGTGCAGAGGTACAGAGGCTCGAGCGCGCGCGCGGAAAGGGGCTGGCACCTGAGGACGTGGCTGTCTTTTTGAATCTGGAGGGAGTCACAAGCTCCCGACTGCTCTGAACTCCAGTTCCGGGAAGTCTCTGGGGACCCAGGACTCATACGGGGAGAAACTGGACTGTCTGGCAGCAGGCAGAACTCAGAACTTGAGGGCGGCTTTCCCTCAGACGTGCTTGCAGTAATTACCCGGACACTGAGACACGGGGCCCCTTAGGGCAGGGCTGAGGATCCACCATAGCTGCTTGCTCCGCCCTTTGATTCCCTGAGACCCTGCCCCACCCAGGCTGTGGCAGAGGCTTTTGCATATGAATGCCCTGGACCTTTGCAACCTGAAAATTACCTAACGAATTGCCGCTGGGCCAGACAGACCCAGAACTTCCAAGAGAAGGCCCAAGGCCCCACAGCAGCTTGTATTGCTTCACAGCTGGGCCTCATCTGGGCACCTCCAAACTCCAATAAAGGAAGGGGAATCTGCAGTTCTCTTCGTAGCTCCTGCTGGGTAACCTTAGCAGAGGCTAAATTAGCACCTCCTTAGATCCAAGAGCCAGTGTACCCAGTAGTCAGAGTGGGACCATCCAGATTACAACTCCTCAGATCCATAAGAGACACACTCAGGGGGCAGACTCAGTGAGCACCAAAGCCCCACTGAAGCAAGTCTTTCCCCAGAAGGGTGTCTTCAGCACAGAAGGTCTCCCACTGCAGACACAGCTGATTCTCACTGCCAATTGGCCTGGAGGTCAATTCCTCCCAGTGATCCTACAACAATCAAGGCATAACTACAACAAGACTGTGCACAAAGCCCACAAGGGGGTGCACCAAGAGTGTCCACCTCAGGTAACTGGGGAGGCTGAGCCACTGGGCCCTACAGGACACCTAGCACACAAAACCACTCTACCAACACAGGGAAGCATAAAAAATGCGGAGATAAAGAAACAGGTCACAAATGACAGAAATGGAGGAAAGCAAAAGACTGGATATAGAGTTCAAAACCACGTTTATAAAGTTTTTCAAGAATTTTATGGAAACCGCCGATAAATTTAGTGAGACCCTGGAGGATATGAAAAAAGACCAACTAGAAATTAAGCATACACTGACTGAAATAAAGAATAATATACAGAGATCCAACAGCAGACAAGAGGATCCCAAGAATCAAGTCAAAGATTTGAAATACGAAGAAACAAAAAATACCCAACCGAAAAAGCAAAAAGAATCCAAAAATATGAAGATAGTGTAAGGAGCCTCTGGGACAACTTCAAGCGTACCAACATCAGAATTATAGGGGTACCAGAAGAGAGAGGGCAAGATATTGAAAACCTATTTGAAGAAATAATGAGAGAAAACTTCCCCTACCTGGTGAAAGAAATAGACTTACAAGTCCAGGAAGCGCAGAGAACCCCAAACAAAAGGAATCCAAAGAGGACCACACCAAGACACATCATAATTAAAATGCCAAGAGCAAAAGACAAAGAGAGGATCTTAAAAGCAGCAAGAGAAAGACAGTCAGTTACCTACAAGGGAGTACCCATACGACTGTCAGCTGATTTCTCAACAGAAACCATGCAGGCCAGAAGGGAGTGGCAAGAAATATTCAAAGTGATGAACAGCAAGAACCTACAACCAAGATTACTTTATCCAGCAAAGCTATCATTCAGAATTGAAGGTCAGATAAAGAGCTTCACAGATAAGGAAAAGCTAAAGGAGTTCATCACCACCAAACTAGCATTATATGAAATGCTGAAAGGTATTCTTTAAGAAGAGGAAGAAGAAAAAGGAACTCTTACCATTTACCACAGCATGGATGGAACTGGAGAGCATTATGCTAAGTGAAATAAGCCAGTCAGAGAAGGATAAACACCACATGATCTCACTCATTTGTGGAATATAATGAACAACATAAACTGATGAACAAGGACTGATCCAGAGACAGAGAGGCATTGATTGGACTGTCAGGCCTTGGAGGGAAGGTAGGGGAGGGTGGGGGTAAGGGGGAAAGACCAACCAAAGGACTTATATGCAAGCATATAGGCCTAACCAATGGACACGGACAACGGGGGGGTGAGGGCATGAGGGGGGGGGGGGGGGGGTAGGGGTAACGTGAGGATAAGGACACATATGTAATATCTTAATCAATAAAAAATATATTTTAAAAAAGGCAGTCATCAGTGAGGGACAGACCCCCCGCCCCCCCCGACAAAGGGGGAAAGTCCCATCAGGGTCTCATGGACTCCAGCAGAAGTTGTCCTAGGAAAACCACTCACAGGCATATCATAAATGAGAGTGAGGAAAGGTTAACTGTGTGAGGATAGGGGTGAGCAAGCCTGTAAATGAAATGAATTCAAGAGAGTGAGAGAGGGTGAATGACAGACAGACTAAACAAAGAGGACAGATAGATGGGCGGGCAGAAAATGGACAGACAAATGGGATACCTGGATGGACAGAGGAAGAATGAACAAATGAAGGGTCAAAGAGAAAGCAGGAAGAATAAAGACAAGGAATAGAAGTTGGAGAGATGGAAGGAAAACAGGAAGGAAGGACAGATGTAGGAAAGAACAAACAGGTGAATGGTCAGAAGGCTGAGTGGACAGATAGTAAAAAAAAGAGAGAAGAATAGCATAAATAAGTAGAGTTAGAGAGATGAATGGAAGGACAAAAAGAATACACACAGGTAAATAAGCAGGAGGATGATTGGATGGATGAATGGAAGAAAAGAATGAAGAAAGGAAGGAAGGAAGGAATGGATCAAAGGAGGGAGGTGTTGGGAAGAGGGGAAAGAAGGAGAAAAGAAGGTATTTGAGAGAAGGGGTAACTGGAATAATGGAAGAATAGATGGGTTAAAAGATAAACAAAGGAACCACTGGATGAGTTCACGGGCAAATTTGGCCTAACCACTGAGTAGCCCCCTAGAGTCTGCAGTTGGATGCTGAGGCCCCTCATGGGGCCCCTGTAAGAGATTTTGTTTTCAGGAGGCATGAACTAAAAGTTACTACGTGACCTCAATCCCATCCCTGTAGGAAATTCTTGTTAAAATTTCTTATTCTAACCCAAAGGGATGTGGAGAAATTAGAAAGCCATTATCATGGAAGAAGGTCCAAAAATAGGCAAGGACTCAGCATTCTTCCTCCCACTGACACCTTGGCCCTACTCAGAAGACCGGCCTGAGTTTAGGGCAAGCTCCCTTTGTCAGTGAGGAGAAAAGCTTGGCTCAAGAACTAAGGAGTCTAAAATGGGCACTAGAGGCAAAGGTACGTACTTGTAGGAGGCTCATCTGGACCACGTTCATTATAACCTGGAATGAACAAGTCGCAAATAAGGGAAGTGGCAGAACAATCCCAGGTATTCCATGCATTTGAGTCATGTGGGACTCCTGCCTGAATTCCTTTCCCTATGTGTACCAGGTGAGCATTGAGGCATATTCTAAGATGAGATGCAAATGTCATATTCACTATGAGGGCTTTCTTGATCTTTCCATTAAAAATGACCCTTCCCCATCCACCTATCCAGCATGCCCCCAACAAAAGATACACATTTATGTTCATACATTTATTCCCCTTCCATATCCATACACTCCACCATCTTCCCTTCCATTATCCCCCCATCTATCGCTCTATCTAATGAATAGTTATTCAGGCTTACTATGTGCCAAGTTCCATTACATTTGGGGAACATACAGTGAACAAAACAGTTTCTGTCCCATTGGAGGTTACATGATGTCATGTTGTGCATTTAGCCTGTCTTTGTCTCTGGTGCCTGGTTTACAGCAGATGCTTGGTAAATGCTGAGTGAGTGAACAAAAGGAAGCATATAGGTTGTGCAGTTTCCAAAGGGGGGAAATCCAAAAGTGGGCCCTGCAATGGCCAAGGTGAAGGCAACAGACTTCACGTGAACTCAGAACATCAAGATGCAGACTGGCCATAAACCTACTGTGTGTGTGTGTGCAGGTCCCCTCCTTCCTCTGAGCTCCATTTCCCTCCTTGCTAAAGTGGGAGTCACAAAGGACCAGAATGTCTCCCTGACCACCTGATGGAGCCATGGTGATAAGGAAGTGTTAGTTGACAAGTATAATTTCCAGGTTGTAGATGGAGGAGGGAAGCTGAGTTATTGCAATTAACCTACTATGGCCAACCTCTGTCTCTCAGAATACCAGATGAATGTCACCCTCTTAAACGCTGTCACTTCTTGGATTGTAGGCTGATGGCCAGTGTGTTGGAAGCCTGGGCCTCCTAGATGCTCAGAGTGCCTTCCCTCCTTCCTGGTATAGGGTCCCACCCAGAACAGAAGTCTATCCTTAGTCAAGGGTGAGAAGAAAGCAGGGAGGGGAGATAGATGTACGATTTTCTTTCCCCAAGAATCCCCTTGAAAGACTGGCATTGGATGCTGATTATGACCTGGGTCCACAACTCTCAAGCTACACCCACTTGGGCAAATTATTTAACCTTTCTAGGCCTCAGTTTATTCTTCTATAAAACAGGTTTAATCAAGGACCAGCTTAGTGGGGTGAGGGAGAAGAATCAGTGTGAAGTAGAGATTCACACCTGAGCTTGTCTCAACTTTTTCCCTAGAGAACTGGTAAAAGGGAATCCTCTGGAGTTAGGGGGTGGCCCCAGTGGAATGGGCTGAGAACTGCTAACCATTGAGGTAGAGGCTGTCCTGATCCAGAAAGTAGGAGCCCAGCTTCGTGATGCCGAGGGTTTGCCTGCTCAGCTCATGGAACAGCTGCTTGGCAGGCAGACCTGGGCCGCTGGAGGGCTGGCGGTAGGTGCAGAGAAAGTCCACCCCTGTCTTGGCGCCGTTCTTCACAGACCTGGGGAAGAAGAGGTTCACCTTTGGGAGATGCAGTCCTCTTGGCACCTCTCTACCTGTGGTAACTACACACTCCAGGTCCTGTGTTTCAGCCTTCTTGAACCTTTTATAGTTTCTCTACCTGGCCACACTCTCTCATCTTGGGATCTTTGCACTTCCAGTGACTTCTGTCTGGAAGTCTCTTCCCTTCTTTCCTTACCTGGGCAATTTCCTGGTCATCTTTCAGGTGTCAACTTAGGCACCTCCCCTTCCTCAGAGAACCCTCCCAGACGGTCAGGAACCTCTTCTGTGATTGCAACCCTGCTCATCGACTATGCGAGCATATATTAGTTGTCCCTGTTCCATCCAGTCATTGACCTCCATGAGGTCAGGGAATGGGACAGTGTAATTCATTGTTGTTGTGTTGAACACCTAGTACCTAGCACATTGCCTGATCTATGTAAAATCCAAAGTCCTAGTGAATTAATAAACAAAATCTGATCTATACATGCAGTGGAATATTACTCAGCCTTAAAAAGAAAGACAATTCTGCCATGCTACAACATGGATGAACCTTAAAGACCTACGGTAATTGAATAAGCATCACAAAAAGACAAAGGCTGAATAATTCTATGCATACCCGGAGTAGTCAGACTCATATAGACAGAATGCAGAATGGTGGGTGCCAAGATTGGGGGTAGAGAGAAATGGGAAGCTGTTGTTTTGTGGATACAGAATTTAAGTTTTGCAAGTTCTGGAGACTGGTTTCACAGCAATGTGAATATACTTCATGCTACCAAACTGTATGCTTTAAACTGGTTCAGATGGTAAGTTTGTTATGTGTATTTTACCAAAATTACAAAAGTTCAACTTCCTTCAAGACTCTACATGGTGTAGATGTCTCAAATCTCATCTCCTCCCTCTCGCTAACCTGTTCTCTCTCTGCTCCAGCCACACTGGCCTCCTTGCAGTTCACTGAACTTGCCAAGTTCATTTCTACCACAGGGTCTTTGCATGGGCTGTCCCCTATGCCTAGAACAGTTTTCATGGCCAAATCCTTCTGGGACACAGCTCAGAAGTCACCTCCACAGAGAAGCTACCCTGTCCTCGGGGTAAAACTCCTTTCCCGTAACTCCCTACTTATTTATGCTTTGCATCACCTTATCGCATTTGCAAGCACTTTACTTCAATACTCACTCTCCTGATTCCTGTCTGATTTCTCCACTAGATGAGGGCAGAGGAAGTGCCACTGTGGTACCTACTACCTGCCTCATAGGTGCTGTACCATCATGTCAGTTTAATTAAAATACCAACTGAGAAGTACTTCATAAACACCAACGGAACAAAAACTGATCCAGAGACATGAGAATAACTGCCCAATGGGTACAGAGTTTCTGCTTGGGGTGATGAAAAGTTCTGAAACTAGGTAGTGATGATGGGTGCACACCATTGTGCATGTAATTGATGCCACTGAATTGTACACTTAAAATGGTTTAAATGGATACTTTTGTGTCTATATGTATTTTGTCACAATATAAAAAATTAATAATGTGATATTTTTAAAATGGATGCAGAAAAGACCCCTCCTCCCCCGAATAGCCTGCCACAACCAGGGGCAGCCCCACAGAGAGAAGCCCATGTCCTTCTGTGGTGGGCTATGGAGGGGGGTGTTCTCACCTTAGCGAGGTGACCTTGCAACCTGTATATCGGGGACCAAGGCTGCTGTTCCTGAACAACGGGCTGATCTGGAGAGGAAGGAGAGAATCAGTATTGGTCAAAGGTGGGCAACAATCCCTGTGACGGGTCATGGAGAGGTGGGAGGGGTAAGCAGGTCTCTCACCAGATGCTGCATGACAATGTCTGTGATGTTGAACATGTGGGAGCCCCGATGGCTCATGTCCGCTGTATAGTGCAGGTTGTTGATGGTGAAATTCAGTGTGAAAGGCTCCTCACTGACTTCCGCAGCTATGATGGGAGGAGAGCCAAGGCTTGCAGGGAGTTTGGGGGCCCCAATGTCTACTTATGACTAGGGATTCATGGGACCCATGTCCTTCTCCTGATTAGCCTGAGGGTTACTTGTTAATGGAGACAACTCCAACAGTGAGTGGAGCAGGCTTAATGATTTTGGGGCATCAAGATGAGACATTTCTACCCAGATGCAGGAGTGGAGGGCTCTGAGGAAACAATGTGGCTTTTTACTTTCCCAGGAGAGAAGTCTCCAACTTGCCACGCTGATGGGGAACTAATAACCCCTGGTATTTTTATCCATATCCTTTCTGCTCCCCATCTCTATCTTTGTCTCCCTGTGCCTCAGACTCTCTCTTTCTTCCTTTTGATAGATAGATATCTAAGTCTATATTTATGTCTATGAGAATTGTTGGCTCCTTAAACTACTGCACAGAAGATAGGCATACTTGGTTGTAAGTGCAGGAGATAAATTTAATCTCTCATCTATTTAACATTGATCTTTCTATATACCTATGTTATCTATCTATTATCTATCTATCTATCTATCTATCTATCATCTATCATCTCTCCTGCCAATACAACCAGGTATGTCAACCTTCGATGCATCGATTTAAAAAATTTAAAAATCCTAGCAGCTATAACCAACCTCTCTGCACCTCAATTTTTTTTTTTACAAAAATATATTTTTATTGATTTTAGTGAGGGAGAGGGAGAAAGAGATAGAAACATCAATGATGAGAGAGATTCATTGATCAGCTGCCTCCTGCATGCCCCCTGCTGGGGATCAAGCCCACAACCCAGGAATGTGCCCTTGATTGGAATCAAACCCGGGACCCTTCAGTCTGCAGGCCGACACGACACTCTATCCTCTGAGCCAAACCAGCTAGGGCTCTGCACCTCAATTTACTCATCTGTAAGATAAGATAATAATTGTTCCTACTTCAAAGTTTAAGGTTTAAACAAGTTAGTTTTTGTAATATGCTTAAGCACAGTGCTGGGTACAGAGTAAACACTATATGAAGATTCATTACATAAAATTAATAAGCAAACACCTCCTTACTATGTCAAAGCTTTTTACATGGATAAATATAATCTGGTTCTAGGATTACCCACGTTAAATACAGTAGGAAACCAAAGCACAGAAATGGTCATCTGCCCAAGGTCACATGGCTGAAGGGAGGGAAAATCTGGTTTGTACCCCAGACCTTGCTTGTGACCACCCCTGCTGTGCTCTGGCTCAGAGGACAACAGGCAGCTGATATAATGTTCAATAGTTGGGATGACCTGTGTAGACCCTGATAGAAGTAGAATAAATGAACATATGATACAGGTAAGACTAGTGGTCCCATGGCTTGACTCTAGAATAGGTAGGTGATGCAGGAGCACAGTGTTTAAGACAAAACTCTGGCGGGGGAAGCTTACCTCCCCTCCTTCCTCCTTCCCTCTACTCTGTTATCACTCCTTTTAAGCCTCCTTCTGTCCAAACTTCCTTCTACCTTTCCATCCATCTTTCATTTCATCCATCTATGGATCCTTGCTTTCTTCCTTCTTCCATCTTCACTTTCATCCATCCATCTTTTCTTCTTCCTTTCCTTTCTTTCTCGATCATCTATCTATCCACTCATCCATCCTTCCAACCATCATTCCTTCCTACCTCAGTGCTTCTCTTCTTTACTTCTTCCCATTTACACATCCTTTTATGCATCCTTCTGTCCATCCTCCTATCCCCTTATTCCATCTATCCATCCATATTTAATTCCTCCCATCCCTCTTCTTTCCTTCCATCTATTTTATACATCTTTCCTCCCTCCTTACTCTTTTCTCTTCTATTCATCTTTTCTCCCTTCCATCTTCTCTCCTTCCCTTCTTCCATTCATCACCTCTTCCTTCTTTTCATCCATCAATTTTGTGTTGCCTCCATGTGCATTTACTTGTTCCTATAATGCTCCAGGAACTATTCCCAGGACGGTATAGTGATAAACAAAACACAGTCAATGGAGCTGATTTTAACTTACTTTTCCTAATATAATTTAGGAAAGGATGGTTGTTGTTGGACCTCAGGAGCCCAGAGGCCTGTCATGGTTTGGAAAAAGTAAAGGAGGGTAGTTGGACCCAAGTGCAGTTTGAGAAAACACACCCTAATGCAAGGGTGATTAATTATTGAAAACCTACAATGTTTTCATTGCAGTGCTTCAGATGCAAAGGGAGTTTGGCCCATAAACTAAAACACAGTAGGTGTGCACCAAAAAATAAGCCTTTTGAAATAAATTAACCCATAATGGAGTGTCAGAGCATAAGTTTTGGAACAACAGGGACTCTGGATTCTATTATTTATTTGCTGTGTGGGCTGGCAGCCTCTTTTAGCCTGAGCTTTGCCATCTGTAAAATGGAGCTAAGTCACATGGTTGTAGTGAGAATTAAAGGACAGAGTGTGTATGTTTTGGGATAAATTGTGTCCTCCCCCAAAATTCATATATTGTAACCCTAATAACTACTGCCTGTAGGTGACTGTATTTGGGATAGGGTCCTTTAAAGAGGTAATTAAGTTAAAATGAGGCCACTGGTGGAGGGGGACTCATCCAACCTGACTGATGTCCTTATAAGGAGAGGGGATTAGAAAACACAGAGAGACTAGGAATGTGTGTGCAGAGGGACAACCATGTGAAAAGGCAGCAAGTGGGAAGCCATCTGTAAGCCAAGGCGAAAGGCCTCAAGAAACCACCCCTGCCTGCAATTTGATCTTGGACTTGCAGCCTCCAGGACTGTGATAAAATAATTTCTGTTGCTTGAGCCACCCAGTATTTTGTTATGGTGGCCAGAACTGATGACTAATACAGTATGCAACATAGATGGTGCCTGGAAGGTAGTGAGTTGAAATCACTAAAAATGATCCTGAGAAACTCTAATAACAACAAAGATATGAATGAAAGGATAAGAAAAGAGAACCCAGGGTAAGGTTTTAGAAAAATTAAAATGAAAACCATGTGAGGGTCAGATATGGGAAAACATGTCAGTGTCTAAGATTTTCTCACCCTGGGCTGGAATTCTCTACCAGAACCCCAGGAGAAAGAGAAGGGATGTGTTAGGGGCCCTTCCAGGTGTTTCTCTCACCAAGGACAGGTGGTGAAGGAGAACAAATGCTTTCCAAAACTGAAGTGGGAATGAAACCCAGGAAATAGGGGCCAGGAATACTCACTGGTGGGAGTCATGGTTGTGACTTGCAAGGTGTAACCTGCAGAGAGAAGGCGAGAGGAACTGAGTGAGTTTTGGGATGAACATAAAGATTAAGGGAAAAGGATTTTTGTGTGTGATAAAAGTAGAGGTGAAAGGCAGTGGAAAAATATTCAAGGAGGAGGAAACCGAGCAATGAGATTGAAGGTGGCTAGACCCAGTGATTACTTCATCACAAGGAAGACTGAACCTGGACCAAAAGGAAGAGAGGATGGATGATTTATTGCTTTAGAGCAGAGGTCTTCAAACTTTTTAAACATTATCACTCTGGAGATGCTAGGGAGAAGGTGGCCACTTCTAGACTCTATGGGTACTGGTCCCCATTTTCCCCAGGCTGGAGGTGAGGTGGGGGTGGGGCATGGAGGCAGTGGACTCCTGGACTCTTTATTTACTAAGGTCTGGGAATTACAGGGTTGTAGAGACTTCTGAACCTCAGAAAACTCACTGCTAGGGGTGGTGGTCTGGGTTTGGTAGGTGTAACCTGCGAATGTGCAGAAACAGGGTGAGAAGGGGAGGGATTAGGGAAAAGGGCAATGGAGAGGGAGGATTTAAAACAAGCTGAGATGCAAAAAAGATGAACCCCCCCCTCACCGTTGACGTAAAAACTGTTCTGGTCTAGGATGTAGAGGTCCAAGTGGGTGAAACCACCTGTCAGCAGGCTCAGCTCCCAGTACAACCGCTCCCTGTCCAGTCCGGGGACCACAGGGTCAGGGCGGTGTGTGCAGACAATGTCCACTCCAGTGGCTGTCCCTTTCTTCTTGGGCCTGGAAAGGGTGGATGACGGGGGGGGGGTGACAATAAATGAAGTGAATTTCTAGGGAGGGGTCTTGACAGTTCTGGGGGCAGGACAGGGATGAGCCATAGGAAATGAGGAGGCGGTAGAGAGGTGAGAAGTCTGACTTAGATTCTCTGAGCTCACTGACTCAGGCCATCCTCACACTGTGAGCAGAGTCAGTGGGTAGAAAAATTATTAAATTACAAGACAGCAAGTGTCAGTGGGTGAGAAAATTATGATTAAATTGAAATTCAGAAACCTGTATCCTTAAGGCCTGGGGACAGGAAAGCTCATATAAGAGACATGTGTAGAGATGGAATTTGGGATTAAAGCAAGTGGAAGACACATTTGTCTTGAGAAAAATGCTGGAAACAGAATTGAAAACCTAAAGGAAATGCCCTCACTGGTCAAAGGGAGGGAAGAGGAAACTCAGAAGGATGACCAGACTAGGGATCCAATCCTGCTGATGAGCTCTGCAGAATCTGGGACAGTTGGTGGGAGGAGATACAGTCAGAAGAAGCACTGGTCCTGGAGCAAACACCTCCTGAATTCCACTTCTCAAAACAGACAGGGAGGGCAGGAAGAAGCAGAACAAACTCTTCAGATCTAGAAGCACCCGAGGCTGCTCTGGCTGGCTATTCAAGGTCTTACCTGAGGCGGGTCAGCCTGCAGCCTGAGTAGAGGGTTCCCACACTAGTATTCTTGAACAAGGCCTTGAGCTGTGGGTGAGGACAAAGGAAATAAATTGATGGGTGGAGAGGGAGGGGCAAGATGGTCATGTATGGTTGGACAGGAGTGACATGGGCAGGGCTAGCACTGATGGACAGGGCAGGAGTGGGAGGGGTTGTCATCAGTGGGCAGGAGGGAGTTTAGGTAGATGGTTTCAACGAGCAGGAGAGGGTACAGTGGGTGGGGCTGGCATCAGTGTCCTTGGCAGAGGTTAGGTGGGCAGATCTAGCACCATGGGCAGGGCTCTCACCAGGGGCTGCAGGGACTTCTCGGTGGTATTGAATTTCAAGGAGCTTGGAGGCCACATGTCATCTGTGTAGTGCAGGTTAGTGATGGTGAAGTTGAGGGTAAAAGGCACCAGGGGTGGTCCTGTGGCTGCAACAGGGGAGGGAGAGGAGAGCCCACACTTAGTCAGGCCTGGGGTGGGTGTAGTGGGCAGGGCCTGAGGCCATGATCCTAAGACCACTGGCCATCTCACTGGAGACACAGTGAGGGCTGATGGTCCTTGTGGCCTGATTCCAGAATCAACAGTGTTGAGGTTAGACCATCACATGCAGCAGGTGAAGGAGGGAACAATTTGGAAGCTTATTCAGCTTTGAAGATGATTTACATCTAAACTTATTATTTCAAATCAGTTGCTAACTTGTTTTCCTCCATCCATCCACCCAACCAACATTTAGTGGCCATTTCTGTGTTCAGGTGACAACACAAAAGTGATTCACAGCTGTGTGGTATTGCAATGGCTCCCCAGCCTGTGTCCCCTGACCCTTCCCCTCCCTGAGAGCTGGAGATGTGGGCTGGGGTCTGTCGCTTCCTTTCCTGGTAGGGTAGAGGGGCTTCTAAAGGCTACTCATCAGTACTCACCATGGGGGATGGCTTCTGAAGTCTGGTGTGTGTAACCTGCAGAGAGAGAGAGCAAGAGAGGCAGAAGGTGCTGTATGTAGGGAAGGAATAAAAAAGGCATGCAGGGGGAGAATGAGGGCTCAGCAATACACAAGGGAAAGGTGGCCACTGCTCACCATTGACATAGAGACTGTCCTGGTCCAGGGTGTAGGGACCCAACTTGGTGACACCTTGGGTCAGCTGGCTCAGCTCCCTGTACAGCTGCTTTCTGTCCAGCCTGGGGCCTGCAGGGTCAGGACGGTAGTTGCAAGCTGTGTCCACACTGGTGGCTGCTCCATCTCTTTCTGGCCTATGGAGGTAGGGACACAGAGGCAGAGACAATGAGGATCCATCTGCAAGAATCCACCAAAAAAGTGATTAGGACAACAAATACAACAAAGTTTCAGAATATAAAATTGATGTACAAAAATCTACTGCATTCCTGTAGACTAACAATAAAATTTCAGAAAAAATAAATACCGCCCCCCCCCCCCCCACCAATTCCATTTGCAATTACAACAAAAAGAGTAAAATACCTAGGAATAAACTGAACAAAAAATGTGAAGGGCCTATACACTGAAAACTACAAGACATTTTGTTACAAAATTGAGGAAGACAAAAAGACAATCATGAATTAGAAGACTCAACATCATTAAAATAGCCATATTACTTAAAGCAATATACAGGTTTAATGCAACCCCCATCAAAATCCCAATGGCACTTTTCAGAGAAGTATAACAAATAATTCATCAAATTTGTATGGCACCACACATAAAAAAAACTTGGATAGCCAAATCAATCCTGAGAAAAGAAGAACAAGGTCAGAAGTAGCATACTCTCTCACTTCAAATTATACTACAGAGTTACAATAATCAAAACAATATGGTTTTGGCAGAAAAACCGACATGCATACAAATGGAACAGAATTGACAGCCCAGAAATAAACTCACACATATATGGGCAACTAATTTTCTACTAAGGATCAAAAACATATAATGGAGAAAAAAAAGCCTCTTTAGTAAATAATGTTGAGAAAATTGGAAAGCCACAGGCCAAAGGATGTAACTAGACTGTTATTGGACACCATACACAAAAATTAAATCAAAATGGATCACAGGCCTAAAATAAGACTGGTAACAATAAAATAAATAGAAAAGAAACATAGGTATTAAACTTATGAATTTTGGTCTCAGAGAAGCTTCTGTGACTTTGTTCCCAAAATCAAGGGAAGTAAAAGTAAAAATAAATGAATGTGACTGCATCAAACTAAAAAGCTTCTGCACAGCAAAAGAAACCATCCACAAAACAAAAAGGCAAAAATGAGGGAAGATATTTGCAAACAATACCTCTGATAAGGGGCTAATATCCAAAACATATAAACAATTCATACAACTCAATAACAAAGAACAAACAATCCAATTAAAAAATGGGCAGAGGACCTGAACAGACACTTTTCCCAAGAAGACATACAAATGGCCATTTACACACATATGAAAAGATGCTCAACTTCACTAGCTATAAAGAAAATGCAAATCAAAACTAGAATAGGATACCATTTTACCCCTGTTAGGATGGCTATTATCAACAAGACAAGAAATAACAAGTATTGGACAGGATGTGGAGAAAAAGGAACCCTCATTCACTGTAGGTAGTAATGTAAACTGGTATAGCCACTATGGAAAACAGTATGGACTTTCCTCCAAAAATTAAGCACAGAATTACCACATGATTCAGGAACCTGTCTTCTGGATATCTACTTGAAATTTTTTGAAAACATTTATTTAAAAATACATATGCACCCCTATGTTCATTGCAGCATTATTCACAAAGCCAAGACATGGAAATAACCTAAATATCCTTCAATGGGTGATTAGGTAAAAAATATGTGGTAGCTATATGCCATGGAATACTACTCAGCCACAAGAAAGGATGAAATATACAGATTTGATGACAGCATGAATGGATATTGAAAGTATCATGCTAAGTGAAATAAATCAAATGGAAAAAATAAGAAGCTTATGATTTCACTCATATGTGGGATAGAAAACAGAAAGCAACAAATGAACTAACAAAACCAACAAAGTCATAGATGCAGACAACAGGAGAGGTTGAGGGGAGCTTGAAGAGGGTAAAGGGGTCAAATATATAGTGATGGAAGAGGACTAAACTTTGGCTGGTGAGCAAACAATGCAATATACGTGAGTATTACAGAATTACACACTTGAAATTTATATAAGTTTGGTTATTAACCCATGTCACCCCAATGAATTCAAATAAAAAATGAACATATGCAGTGTGGGTTGAGGGAATGGTAGGCTGTGGGTTTATTCTTTGTGAAGGATCAGGGATGCATCCTTATGAAAAAATTTGGTGCATACTTTCAGGTTATTATGTTTTGTTTTGCTCCTATTAAATATTGCGTGTGAGATTAGAGACTCTTGAGGATGAAAAGGTCCAGTGCAGGGACCAGGGGCCAGAACTGGAGGGATAGTGGCTGTTTCAGGTGGGGAGCAGAAAAAGGCTGAGATAAAAGGGAGGGCCCAGCCCTAGAGGACTGTGGATAAAATCTCCACTGTGCCTCACAGGGACATCTCTGGTGGTCTTACCTGAGCAAGGTGAGTCTACAGCTGGAATAGAGAAGGCTGATACTGGTGTTCTTAAACAAGGGTCTGAGCTGTTGAGGGAGGAGAAAAGGTGAGTAGAAGGACTGATAGGGAAGGGCAGGGGCAGGGCTGGGATGAGATGAGCAGGGCTGGCATCAGTTGGAAGGCAGGAAGAGATGAATGGAGCATAGGAGAGGTGGGGGACTGATAGCAGTGGGCATGGTGGCCATCAGTGGGCAGTGCAGGAATGAGGTGGGCAGGAGGAGCCTTACCAGGTGCTGCAGGATCTTTTCTATTTTGTTGAACTTTACTGAGCTTGGATGTTGCATGTCCTTCATGTAGTGCAGGTTTGTTATGGTGAAGTTAAGGGTGAATGGCACCAGGGCAAGGACAGAGACTGCAGTAAAGTTGAGAGGGAAGATATCAAACCCTGAATCACTGCCTGTACTAAATTTAGGGGTCAGGGGCAGAGGGGTGGAATCAGTCTGGTATTCACATCTGCTGCAAAAGCTCAGACTGTTTCTCCCCAGAATAGGAAAGCTTTATTTTGAACAACATTAATAATAGTAATCTATACTAATAAAAGGGTAATATGCTAATTAGACTGGATGTCTTCTGGACATCCACCCAGATAACCTTCTGGACAAAGCCACAGTGGTGGGGGGCGAGGCAGAGGCGGTTAGGGGTGATCAGGCAGGCAGGGGAGAGCAGTTAGGCACGACCAGAACAGCAGGGGAGGGCAGTTAGGGGTGACCAGGCCAGCAGGGGAGGGCAATTGGGAGTGATCAGGCTGGGGGCAGAGGTGGTTAGGGGCTATCAGGCATGTAGGCAGAGGCAGTTAGGGGTGATCAGGCAGGTAGGCGGAGTGGTTAGGAACGATCAGGCAGGCAGGCGAGCAGTTAGGAGCCAGCGGACTCAGATTTGGAGAGGATGCAGACCTGGCTGAGGGACCCCCAACCTGTGCATGAATTTCGTGCACTGGGCCTCTAGTAATAATAATGACAACAAAAATAACAGCAATAACAGCTGATGTTTGGTAAAGGCTTACTCTATGCTCCATTATACCCTGTGTTAGCGCTTTCTGTCTGGTATCTCATGTAATCCTCACACAAACCTTGGAGGCACATCCTGTTACTTACCTCCCACCCCTTCCCCCGCCCCCCAACTGAAAGAGATGAAAATGAGTGTCAGAAAGATTAAGGCACTTCCCCAAGGCCACACAGCTATTTAGGGCAGAAGCTCAGGCTCTAGATTTTATCCTTCTCATACTGTCCCCTTGCCTTGATCTGCCCATGTATACTGTCTTGACTTCTCATTGTGAAGCACAGAGGCATGCAGCTTAGAAAGCAGTAGACATAGAGAGAATGCTCTTACCTGTAGAACTGAAGAAGGAGATTGGAGCCAATGAGTTTCTCAAGGAGGGTGTAGAAGTCATAGACACTGAGGTGGAAGCATCAGAAATAAGAATAATACAGTTTCACCTTGGAGATGCCAGAGACAATTTGGCCTTGATGCCCAAACTGAGTTGAAGTTGGGAGGGGGTGGCCATAATAAGGACTCTAAGGCTTCCTTTCATCACACTGAGGCCTTAGCCATAAGGAGGAGGAACCAGCTACACCCACCAATCACTGTGAGGTCATAGGGCCTCCTAAGGTTTGGACACTTACCACTGGGGATGGATGTCAAGACTGGTCTGGTGTAACCTGCAGAATGGGTAAGAGTGAAATGGGATGTTTTCAAAGGTTATTAAGAAAGGGGTGAAGCGGTTGGACCACAGGTGTAAGAGAAGAGTAGATGCCATCAAGACATTGTGCCCCTACAGACGGTGACTTGTGCCTCCTATAAGCTTTCTGTGACTTCCCATCACTCTCTGTGTGTGGTGTATACACACATGGTGGAGAACAGGGACCTCACAAGCAGTGGAAGAGTGAGGAGAGAGAAATCTAGAAGCAGACATGAGTATATCCTCTGGTCAGAGCTCAAAGCAGTAACAAAAGAATCCAACTGGTGCTGCATAGGACATTTTTACCACCAGAGGCTCACCATTGACATAGAGATGATCCCTATCTAGGATGTAGGGATAAAGCCAGGTGACACCATGGGTCTGGTGGCTCAGCTCCCAGTAGAGCTGCTCCCTATCCAGCACGGGGCCTGCAGGGTCAGGATGGTAGGTACAGATGGCATCAACTCCAGTGGCTGTTTCACCCTTTTCAGGCCTGGGGAGAGAAGGACATAGATATGGAAACAGGACTGAGACATCTTGGCAGGACATCTTTCCTCAGCCCCCTTGTATGTGGATGCCTGCTTATCTGCTCTCCTGGTCTAGGCATGAGCACTCACAAGACAAGGGGCATCTTTGAGCCACAAAGTACCAGAGTGGGGATTGACTTTATTTTATTTTAATCCTCACCCAAGGACATTTTTCCCATTGATTTTTAGAGAGAGTGGAAGGGAGGAGGAGAGACAGAGAGAGAAAACCACTGATGTGAGAGAGACACATTGATTGGTTGCCTCTCACACATACCTCAATTGGGGCTGGGGATTGAACATGCAACAGCGGTATGTGCTCTTGACTTGAATCGAACCTGGGATCCTTCAGTTTGAGGGCCAAAGTTCTAACCACTGAACTACCATCTAGGGCTAGAGTGGATGTTTTAGAATCAGACACCCATCAACTCAACCTTAGTGCTGTCACTTGTTGAATAATCCACATGGCTTCTCTGACTCAGCTCTCCCATCTTTGCAGCATGGAGTGTGCTGTAACCACTTTGGTGCAACATCATGGGATTCAGAAATGTTTGATATAAAATACCCAGCCCTCCTGCCAAGTATATTAGAAGTGCTAATAATTAACTAATTGTTTAATTAAACAAATATTTACAAAGCACCCATAGTTCCCTAAGGAAAATGGAGAGTAGCTGTGAATAAAAGACTCATCAGCTCTTGGAAAACTGATCCAGGCCAAGTTGTAGATGTGAGCATCTGAGCATGAGACACTGCATAACGGACTCCTACCACTGCCCACCTGCCTCTTGCATTACCAACTCTCTGAGGCAGCAGGGAAAACTTAGCCTGAAGGGATAACCTGGGAGACCCTGCAGATTGCACTAGCAGAGAGAGAGCATAAAGGGGGCAAGGGTGTGTGGGGGGGAGGCAGTGTCCCTTGTACCTCAGCAGGATGGAAGCTACCTGGAACTAAGCTGCTTCTAGCTCTGGTCTCCTACTTGACAAAGGTGCAGTGTCAGTTTCATTGCCTGTTGGTGCTGATTTGACCTGCATCTTTTCTGGAAGTACATTAAATGGACATTTTTAACCAGCAGGAAGCTATAGGTTTGGGTTGGGAGAGTGGGGTGGCCCTGTTAACTGGGCAGAACTGTTAACAATAGATTAATTTCCCTTTGGGGCATGGGACATCTGAGCCAGGGTGGCTCCAGCACCTATTCATTGAGGTTTCATTTCTTTGCACATAGACTGTTACCTGGAATGCCAAAATAATAACCCTTCAACTGCCGAGAGCTTTCTTGCAAAACATAAATGTCCAGTGCCACCCTGCTGTTTCCTGTCCACATCCTTCTAACTAAAACTGTAGTTATGTCTGTCCCATTCAGATGTTGCAAAGCTGACTGTCTGATTGGATGGCCTAGAGCAGTGGTCGGCAAACCACGGCTCGCAAGCCACATGAGGCTCTTTGGCCCTGAGTGTGGCTCTTCCACAAAATACCACGTGTGGGCGTGCACGTACAGTGCGATTGAAACTTCGTGGCCCATGCGCAGAAGTTGGTTTTCAGCCTGGGCAAGTCTATTTTGAAGAAGTGGCGTTAGAAGAAGTGGGGGTATGTTCGCTGAGGTTGACCCCTCAGATTGAGGACGTTTTTAGCAAAGGCCAGCGTAGGAGTGCCCTAATTAAGTTAATAACAATGTACCTACCTATATAGTTTAAGTTTAAAAAATCTGGCCCTCAAAAGAAATTTCAATTGTTGTACTGTTGATATTTGGCTCTGTTGACTAATGAGTTTGCTGACCACTGGCCTAGAGCGAGCAGGGCATAGCACTAGCACTAGGGCAGGGAATAGGGTGAGGTAAGCAAGGCATCCAGATACAAGATATAAGGACATGCTAACTCTCAGGGTTGTGCAAGCATAGGGTTAGCACCTGAAGGTGAGCATCTCCTTAAATTTTGTGCTCGAGGCACCTCACTTCCCATAGCTCAGTCTACCAGCGGTTCTCAACCTGTGGGTCGTGACTCCTGAAAATACATCCTGCATATCAGATATTTACATTACGATTCATAACAGTAGCAAAATTACAGTTATGAAGTAGCAACAAAAATAATTTTATGGTTGGGGGTCACCACAACATGAGGAACTGTATTAAAGGGTCACGGCATTAGGAAGGTTGAGAGCCACTGGTAGACTGAGCTTACTAAGGCTCTGGCCAGTCCAACCAGCCCACACCTTACCCCACCTATGAAGACAAGACAAAGATGAGATCTCACCTTAGTGTAGTCAGTCTGCAGCCAGTGTAGAGTGAGCCAATGCTGCTGTTGGTGAACAAGGGCTCAAGCTGAGAAGGAAGGAGTAGATGAATAAAAAATAAAAATAAAACAACTAATCATTTAAAACACAATGCTTTTAAAAAACACACAACAGTTCCCTAATCTTCTCATACCACATTTAATTCTCAAAAGGACCCTTTGTGATAAATGATTTGCTGTCTCAGTTTCACAGATGAGGAAACAATACCACAAAGACTAATCACTACTCCAAAGTCACATCACTTGTCTGTGGCAGTTCCAAGTTTTGAACCTGGAACTGCCTGCCTCCCTAGCCCTCTATATCCTCTGAAATTGTAGCAAGGAGGGGTGGAGTGGAAATTAGAAAGAAAAGTGGGTAGCAGGGGGCTCTCACCAGATATTGTAGAATTGACTCTGTGGAGTTGAACTTCGCAGAGCCTGGCTGCATGTCCTCTGTGTAGTTCAGGTTGGTGATGGTAAAGTTGAGAGTGAAGGACATGAGGGCAGGGCCAGCAGCTGCAGTGGAGAGGGAAGGAGAAGCCATGTTCTAAATCAGCATTGGACCAGATGTGGGGAAAAGGGTCATGGAACACAACCCTTGCCTGCTTCGGGGAACCCATCAGCTTGGACATAAAAGGGAGGGGGTGCCCATGACTGCAACGAAAACAATTTTATGGTTGGGTCACAACATGAGGAACTGTATTTAAAGGGCCAGAAAGTTGAGAACCACTGGTAGGAACTTAATTTCCTTGAATTTTATCTTAGAATCCCAAGACAACTCCAACTGACATGGTAGCAACTTCCTGGGGTGTTTTGTTGTAAGGATTCTGAGGCTGTCTTGAGCTCAGAAAGAATGGGTGCTATTATTAGTTAGTAATGTCTGCCATGGATGAGGGAGTGGGGAGTGCTGACACAGATGCCATACATTTGTACTGGGTAGAATCAGACAGTCATTAAAGTTTAGAATGGGAAGGAAAGGAGGATTTCCATACATCATACTTCATTCCTTTGTTTCCTGGGAGAACCACATATTTCCTATAGACCTACCATGAGCAAGTCACTACAGTGGATACTAAGGAGCACAAAGGAGGAAGACACAGTTGCTCAATACAGCAGGTTTACTTAATACTTAATTCAACAGAAATAAACATAATGTTCAAATACATATTACACACAAGAGTGTATAATATATTTACTTTTAAAACTAAGCAACAGGATTTAGAGTGATAAATAAAAGGTTCCCATGCCTTTCTTGCCTATAATGATAGAAAGTTGTTAAAAGGATATTAAATAATACTAGATTCTGAACATAGCACTTTGTTCGTATTCAATACTCAGTAATGTCAGATATTATGTTATCTTTTGATCATCACCATCATCACTGTCAACATCTTTATCATCACCATCACCATTATTGTCACTATCATCAACATTATTGTCACCATCACCGTTATTATCATTACCACCATCTCATCATCATCATCACCACCAGTACCATCACCATCTACACTAATAAAAGACAAAGATACGAATTGACTGTACCTTCGCTACACCCATCAGCCAATCAGAAGAGTATGCAAATTAACCAAACAAAGATGGCCATTAATTTGCATACTGCGGGCAGGGCAGGACAGCGCCATCTGCCACCTGCTCTGCGCCATCCGGGCCTCCCATGTGCGACCCAGGGCGGCCAGGTGGGACCACAGTGGAGATGGGAGGAAGCCAGGCAGAGGAGACGGGAGGGAGCAAGGTGCCTTGGCTGGCTTCGCTCCCTTCTCCACTGCTTTGCTCCGGCCTGAGGAAGCCCTATGCTTGCAGGAATCTTCCTGCAATGGACCTCTAGTCATTACTATAATCACCACCACTATCATCATAATAATATATATTCTTTTCTTTTTTTTTTTTTACAGAGAGGAAGGGAAAGGGATAGAGAGAAACATCGATCAGCTGCCTCCTACACACCTCCTACTGGAAATGTGCCTGCAACCAAGGTACATGCCCTTGACCAGAATCGAACCTAGGACCTTTCAGTCCACAGGCCGATGCTCTATCCACTGAGCCAAATCAGTTAGGGCATAATATATATTCTTATATCAAAAGAATATGAAATCTATAAGGCAGAGATTTTTTAAAATTTCATATTCCCTGCTGTATTCCCACTCCAGCATAGTGTAGATGCTCAATAAAGTTTGTTGACTAATTATTACTAGATTTACTATGACTTTCCATCTTTGAGTGAATAATGTCAGAGATGTTTATAATCATCAAGCACTCTCTAACAGATGTGCCAATAACTGGTTCTTACCTGTGGGGCTGGAGAATGAAGGTGGAGTTCCAAAGTTCTCTTGCTCAACTGTGGATGTCCCAGGAGCTGCAGAAAAGCCCTTGTCAGTGAAAGCAGAAAGGCACTCACATGGCAGAAACGCCAGCAGGAGGTATTATTTATTGGGCTTACTGCATGTGGGGCTTAAGCTGGGATTCCCTCTAGAGCTAGGGAGGAGGGGACAGTAAGTAATGTGTGCCCTCCTGGGAACTCCTCCCTCCTGGAAAGGACATACGTGGGCATGAAGAGGGCTCAGCTCCGTCCCTGCCTGATGTTGGGGGCCTTGGGACACCAGTTGTATACTCACTGCTGGTGATGAGTGTGGAGCTCTGATGGGTGAAACCTGTAGCAAGAGCAAGGGAGGCTGGTGGGTAAGGGTTCAGGGAGAGGTGGGGACCAAATATGGGTCAGTGAAAAGGAGGGGGTTTCATGGAGTAGAGGCTGTTGGGGGTCCTCCAACAGCACCCTCACATCAGGAAAGAAGACCCTGAGGGTGAAGTCAGTCTAAGATGAAGAAGAAACCATGAGTCCAAATCATTCAGTGCACTTGGCTAAGGCCCTAGAGGTCATTCAGGAAGTGTGATCTCAAGTTAGAGGGCAGAGGCTACTAGTAAAGAGGAAGAGATCATATTGCAGTTGCTCACCATTGACATAGAGACTGTCCCTGTCCAGCGTGTAGGGTCTCAGCATGTTGATGCCATGGGTCAGCTGTCTCAGCTCCCAGTACAGCTGCTCTCTGTCTAGTCCAGGACCTTCAGGGTCAGGGTGATGAGTGCAGATGACATCCACTCTGGTGGCTGTCCCCTCCTTCTGAGAGCTGGGTGAGAACCTCCACATTGTTGGTCCAACTCTCTCTCTACCATTCATCCTTCCCTCCCTCTTTTTGCCAGCCTCTAAGACAGCAACTTGGGAAACTCTAGTTAACAAGGGGTAAAGGAATAACTAGAAAAACCACGGGGCTCCAAGCCTCTTGAAGGCCTGGGAGAGAAGCCTGTGAAAGCAATAGGTGTGTGACAGAGCCCCACAATTTTTATTACACCCATTATAGTATATGTTATATATAACATAAATAAACATACGTTTAACATATATAATGATGTTTACTATATTTTATTATTGTAAATTATACATTATGCCTGTTATATATATATCTAGTATGTAATGTATATACATATATACACTAAGTAATACAGATTATGATTTTGATAATGTATATTAGATATTATACCAGTGTTGACTCCTTTCCACCACAGTCTTGGAATGTCCAGATGCCCTTTTTAGGCCTTTTAGGGGATTGTGTCCACCACAACCCCCAGCCATCCCTGGGCAGGGAAGGCTCCCTTCAGCTGAGTCTGACCTATTTAGGAGAATACTTTCTCTAATACTAGCTTTTCTTCCCCTCTTAGATCCACTGGGCCAGTCCTTTAGAAAGGTTCTCAGATTGGTATTTTCCACAACCTACAAGGTCATAATGTGGGCAGAGGAGACAGGGCTGCTTAAGGGCTAGGTGTTTGGAACTACAACCCCAAATGCTGGCATTTCTCTGTGAAACAGCACACGCTCCTTAATCCCTCTGGGCCTCAGTTTCACCTTCTGCTCCTGCTTCATGAGGTTGTTTCAAGGACTGATGAGATTACATATAAAGTAACACCACAGTGCCTGGGTTTTAGTTAATTTTTAGATGCTGTTATTGCTGTTCTAGGTATTTTCGATGCTTAGTATCCATGGGCAGTAGTTGTACCAAATACAGACAAAGCCATGGAGTCCATAAATTAGGGTCCCATACCCCAGGTGGGCTGTGTTCTTGGGAGGCAGGGTCTCACCTGAGCGAGGCTAGTCTGCAGCCTGCATAGAGTAATCTCAGACTGCTTTTCTTGAACACAGATTTGAGCTATAAGAGAAGAGAGGGGAGGTGAGAAGGAACCACTGAGGGAGGCCAGGAGGAACTGGGACATTGGTGAGGTGAGCAGGGTAGAGATGGCGAGGTGGGGGCATAAGTGGGGTGGATGGGGCTGACACTACTGGGTAGGGCAGGGGTAAAGTGGGCAGAGCTGGCATCAGTGGGAAGGGTCTCACCAGACCCTGCAGGATCCTCTCTGTGGTGTTGAATTTCCTGGAGCCCGGGCGCTGCATGTCCTCCTCATAGTGCAGGTTGGTGATGGTGAAGTTGAGGGTAAATGGCACCAGGAAAGAAACAGCTGCTATGGCAGAGGGAAGGAAAAAGGAGGTCATGCCTGAGTCAGACCTGGGCTGGGCTCTCAGACAACTTCTGGGGACCGAGATGAAAAGTCCAGATCTGAGGAAGCAGGGGTTTAAAGCAGGCAGGTAAACTACCTTAGGACACAAAGAGCAAAGCAAAATGCTGTTAGATACAGTAACATGCACATCCATTAAAATGGCTATTTTTCTTTAAGGAAAAAAACAACTGTTGCTGAGAATGTGCAGAAATTGGAACCCTCATGCATTGTTGGTGGGAATGCTAGTAGAGCTGTACGGAAATCAGTTCCTCAGAAAGTTAAACACAGGATTACCATATTACCCAGCAATTTCACTCTATGTATATACCCAAAAGAATTGAAAACAGGGACTCAGACACTTGAACACAAATGTTCATAGCTATTGAAAACAACAGTCAAAAAGTGGAAACAACCTGTGTCTATCAACAGATGAATGGAATAGTATTCAGCTATAAAAAGGAAATGAAATTCCGATACATGGTACACTATGGCTAAACCTTAAAAATGTTAAGCTAAGTGAAACAAGCCAGATACAAAGGACACATAATGTATAATTCCCCTTATGTAAAGTACTTAGAACAGTCAAATTCATAGAGACAGAGAATAGAATAGAGGTTACCATGGGCTGGGGTGGGGAATGGGAAGTTAGTGTTTAATGGGGACCAAGACTCCATTTGAAATGTTGAAAAGTCCTGGAAGTGGGATAGTGGTAATGGTGGCACAACATTGTGAATGTGCACTTAGAAATAATTGATATGTTAAATTATATGTTGGTTTCAAATCCTCTTAGCCCCTCATCAGCATGAGACCAGGGTTTTGTTACTCAACCTGTCTGTATCTCCATTTCTTTAACTGTAAAATGAGGAGAATCATACTTTGTCCAAAAATTATGGAGGTTAAATGATTGTTAAGGGAGTTAGCACATTTTAAGTGCATTATGGCTAAGTGAAAAAAGGCAGTTGCCAGAGGTCGCATGTTGTATGATTCCATTGATATAACATTCTCGGAAAAACAAAACTGCAGACACAGTTTAGGAGTGTCCAGGGGTTGGACTGGGTGGATGTGACTTAGAGCAACACAAAGGGGATTTTTGTGGTGATGAGACAGTTCTGTATCTTGACTGTGGTGGTGGTTACAAAAGTCTACATATGTGTTAAAATGGCAGAGAACTACACACATACATATAAGTACATGTAAATAGTGAAACCTGAAACTGGAGTTCTGTAGATCTTAATAATGACAATTTACTTACTGGTTTTGACATTGAAATCTAGTTTATGTAAGATGTTAATCATGGAGGAGAGACTGGGTAGAGTATAGGAATCTCTGCACTTTTTTGCAACTTCCTGTGAAACTACATTTATATCAAAATGAAAAGTTAGAAATAAGAATAGTATAGGGCCTGGCATGTAGTGAGTGCTGAACAACATGGTTATCTTCTATAGTTATTATCAATTGCTACCGTATGTTTAATTTCAGTCTCTCTCAATACACTGTAACCTGGGTGAGGGGAGGGTCCACACCTGACTTAACATCTTATCCCCTCTGCCTAGTACAGAACACGTGCCCAGTAGTATTTGTTGAACTAAATATTCTGGTAATTCCAGTGCTAGGTATTGTTATATACATTTTCATTTAACCTTCATAATGATCTTATGAAGTATTATTATTCCCACTTGTCAGGTAAGGAAACTAAGGCACCAAGAGGGTAAGTAAATTGTCAAAGGTCAATAGCTGGAGAGATGAGGAGTTCACATTCTTTGCTCTCGAGGAGTTCAGAGCAGAGCAGAGGGTTCCCATGGCAGCTCCAGGTTCCCTAAATAGCAGCCTTTTTCTGCACTTCCAGGGTCCAAGCTTTGAGGCTTCCTAGAAGGAGCTGGAAGAGAAGTCACCTACCTGTGGAGTTGAAGAAGTGGATTGGTACCAGCGAAGTCCTTGGGAAGAGAGTAGAGATCACGGTAGCTGAAGATAAATGGTCTGGAGTAAGAATGGGGGCCCTGAGTGCAGCATGGATGACTCTGTGCAGCTTTCCCATCCAGCCCAAGCCATTGATGTAGAGTAGGTGAGTGAGATAACTGGGTCCTCTGGCTTCCTCTACTGCAAAGGCCCTGGGGTGGGGAATCAGATACTGTCCACAGGGGGCCGGGAGCACCTAGCCATCAGGGCCCTGAGTACTCACCACTGGGGGTGGAGGCTGAGGTCTTATGGGTATAACCTGAAATGATAAAAGGAAATGGTAGTAGGATACAAGCAAGGGAGGGATGTCCAAGATACAGGCTGAGGACCACAAGCCCCTACCCCAAACTCAGACTTCAAGTCTACACCGTTCAACAGTGATGATTCAGGGGCAACAATACCTTGTTCCTAAAGGGCTGAGAAATCAAAGACCTAGTCCCTGCCTTCGTGGGCTTGCAATTTATTTGGGAAGATACCTATACCAACATTTCTTGAGCATTTGTTTGCCAACTGTGCTTTTCAGGGTCTAGAGGGGATTCTGAGATATTGGCAGGGAGGCAGATAAATAGCCAGCCTCTTGAATCTGCATTAGCTTCAGCCACAGGGATATTGTCATTAATCTGTCTGGAGAAAGGTTTTGTGTCTCAGACAAGTATACAGATCACTTCTGTGGAATGCGTGGATGCCATGGAAAGAGAAGGATTTGCAAACTGGAGGGTCTATGGGGGCCCTTCAGACATCAAAGGAGATTGCTCAGGCAGAAGATCACACATAGGATGAGTAGGTGCAGATTCTCAGCTTCAACTTATGGTTACAAAAAGGATGCTCACCATTGATGTAGAGGCTGTCCTTGTCCAGTGTGAAGGAGCCCAGCTGGGTAACACCATGGGTCCCACGGCTCATCTCCCAGTACAGCTGCTCTCTGTCCAGCTTAGGATCCACATAGTCAGAATGGTATGTGCAGACAGTATCAATTCCAGTGGTTGTTCCATTTTTTTCAGGCCTGGGCAGGGAGGATACACAGTGACGGGAAGGTGGGGACTATTAGGTCAGGGCCCAGAGAAGCAGGAGGGTGGGCAGCCTGAAATGGCCTTGGTCCTGGGGGAAGGCCGGAAATAAACTGGACAGCCAAGGTCTCTAAACAGAGAGGATAGAGCATCTCAAAATGTTGATATCTGTGCTAAACTTTAAAATCATAATCATAAGAAGGCAACATACATTTTAACAAGAGAAGCATGACAGACAGGGTAGAAGGAAGCCATCGGGGAATTGGATAAAGTGGAAAAAGGCAATGTCAGATTAATTAAATCCTAGCTCTGCTACTTAATTTCTGGGTGACTCTGGGTAAGTCTCTCAACCTCTCTGTGGCTCCTTGTTTTATCTGTCAAATGAGGTAATAAAAGGCAGCAAGTTTTATTAAGTATTAAAAGGGCCAGAGTTCTTGGTATGAATGGATTTTGCAATGATTGAGCATTTTAAAGGCAACACTGAGACCAAGCAACCAGCCTAGGCTGGAGATGGGGATGAGGCTGTGTGGTATCCCAGAGCCAGAAAAATCTCAGGTCCAGTAGAAAAGTAAAATAATAGCATCATGGCCGAGGGACAATGTTGAGTGTCTTTAGAGCTGTGGATTCCATCCTCAGACAAAAGGTCAGTGTTTGGGAGATGCCACACAAGGGGTAAGGTGACCCAAGTACACAGGGTGGGTTCCCACATGCTGGAGTTATTCTTAGTACCTAGTCCTAGGGACGACAGTGAGTAATTTACTGCATGTTCTCTATATATTAAGTTTTTTTTAACAAGAACCTTTCATTTTAATTTTTACTGTGCTCACACAAATGATCACAAATTATTCCCTTTTATTAGAAGTGAAGTCTGTTTCCATATCCCTTGAATCTGAGCTTGGCCACAGGACTGTCCAATGGACAGTAGCAAATGAGATATGAGCAGAGGCTTGAAAAGCAGGTGTGCATTAGGGCTTCTCATTTCTTGCTGCTCTTGGAACTCTGAGCATGGTAATGAGCCCAAGCTAGCCTGATGGAGAACAAGAAAATATGGAGGAGAACTGAGATGTCCCAGGCAGCAGCAGACTGCAGAAATGAATAAGCTTCATTTGAGATTAGCTGAACCAGCCCAGGCAGGAGAATCTCCCAGAAGAATCCAGCCCAAGTGGCCATCCAGCAGAATTGTGGGCTAAATTTCTTATGCAGAAAAGCAGATTGAGACACTCCGATTGACAGAAGAGACAGCTGAGGCACAGAGACATTAGGTAACTTGTCTGAGTCACACAACCTTGAAATAGGAGGCTAGAATTTGAACATAGATGTGGTAGATGTCAAATAAAACTGTATAACAACTATGCTTTATTGCTCAATGATCCCTCCAGGGGTGGCAGACATCCCAAGTCCACCTCTTGTTGGTCAGGATTTGGTCACTGTTGGGGAATGGTAGGAAAAGGGAGTGTTTGTTAGGTATTTCAGATAGGCCAATTATTAGCCTAAATGTGACAAAATTCATACTCTTGAACAAGGTTTCTCAACGTGGCACCATTTGGGTCAGATAAATCTTGGCCTGGGGAGACTGTCCTGTGCCTTATGGGATATTTAGCAGTCTCTCCGGCCTCCCTCACTATAGACAAGTAGCAAACCCGCCATTGAGTTGTGATAACAAAATTTTCTCATGACATTGTCAAATATCCCCTGGGAGCTAAATTACTCCTGGTTGAAAATCACTGCTTTATTGTGATGAAACTGACATGATTGATAAGTTCATTTTTCAACGAGTTCCAGAAGAAAGATCTTTCTGAAAAGTTTAACCTTACTACCTGGGAAGGAAAGAGTACGGAGTACGAGGATTCTCCATTTTATGATCAGGGAAACAATGTGAGCCAGAGTGGAAACTGGTGGTCAGCTCTCCTTAGGACAGTGGGTGCAGAACGTCAGGATCCAGCTCAGGGTCAGCCCCCCACATTGCCTACTCTGAACTTCTCACCTGAGCAAGGTCAATCTGCAGCCAAAATAGAAGGGCCCAATACTGCTGTTCTGGAACAATGGTTTGAGCTGGGGATGAAAGAGAGGGAGATGAGCAGATGGGCCAAGGAGCTGGGCGGGGAAAAAGTAGGTATTAGAGAGAGGGCATTGGAGGGGCTCTCACCAGGCGATTCAAGATTCTCTCCATGCTGTTGAATATCTCAGATCCCGGGTTCCCCATGCCCTCTGTGTAGCGCAGGCTGGTGATGGTGAAGTTGAGGGTGAAGGACACCAGAGAAGGGCTCACACCTGCAGTGGGAAAGGAAGAATGGTGATTCATTATGATCTCTGGCTGGAATGGCTGTAGGGGTGGGTCCAGGGTTGTCACTTTGGTCTCAGTGTCCAGCCAATCAGGCCTAAGATGCCCCACCTATGTCATCCTTGCATTCAGCCAAACTTAGGGGGAGACACTTCTATACTGGATGGACAATTTTAGCTGGAAAAAGAACCTCAACTCTTTCCAGCCTAACGTGCCAAAAGAGAAGCAATTGGTAGATATTATGGTGAAAGAAGAGAAGCAAAGTCAGTCTGCTGCCCCCTGGGGCAGAATCTCCCATAGTCTTCTGACTTCATGAGGGAATGTGTACCTGCTGAGTGGTCAAGGCTGTTTCTCCCATGAAAGTGACCCCTGCCTCAACTTCACTGACCATCTTTGCAGAGTGGATTTTACTAGTAGATGGAGTGTCCACATCTGGTTTTCCATGGACAATCATGTCGCTCTTGTGTAAACATTAATTCAACCCCTATTTCTTTCTCAAAAGTGCCCTAGTATGGAAAAAAACACACCTGTATGGTCACCTAGGGGCTACAGTATGAAGAATCAAAAGGCCAGAGGTCTGAGCTGGGCGACTGTACCCTCTACAAATAGAATCTGTGGAGCAATAATTGTGTACCAGCCTTTGTATTGAGCACTTTATCTGCAGTATCTCAGCTTACCCAGATCACAGATCCGATAGGTTGGTGTTACCAGTCCCATTTTACATATGGGGGACACGGAGGCTCAGAGAAAGTAAATTTTATCCAAGTTCCACAAACAAAGAAATGGCACAGCTATGATGCCTTTTGGCTCAAAAATAGATACCTTTCCATTTGTATTCACATGTTCATAGCAGCTTTGTTTATAATAGCCAATAGGTGGAAGCAAACCAAGTGTCCATTAACAAATGGGTGAATAGACAAAATGTGATATATTCATACAATGGAATATTTAGCCCTTAAAAAGAAGAAACTTTTGACACATGCAAACACATTGATAAGCAAAAGGACAAATACTGTATAATTCCACATTCAGTATTATATGAGATCCCTAGAGTAGTCAAATTCATAGAGACAGAAAGTAAATAGTAGTTGCTAGGAGATGAGAGGAAAGGGAAATAAAGATTATTTTTTTAATGGGTACAGAGTTTCAGTTTTGCAAGATTAAAAAATTTTGGAGATTAGTTACACAACAATGTGAATATACTTAACACTATTGAACTGTATACTTAAAATAGTAAATTTTATGTTATAACTATTTTACCACAACCAGAAAATTTAAACCAATAATATGCCCCCCAAATAGAGAGTTTTATTCTTTTGAAAACTCTTTTCTCCAATAGATTTTTGAAGGCAGGTCCCAGTCATGGAGCTGTGGGTGTAGGAGTGAGGGCATATGTAGATAAAGTTAAGATAGAAATCCCGTATTTCTAACAAAATAGAACTAGGAAATAGGGCTCTTGTGGGCCAGAGAGGAGACAGCTTGTTACCGGCTAAAACAAACAAAAATAATAACAATCCCAAGAGGATAACAAGACCCAGAGAATACACAAGCATAATTCACAACATCTAAGATATTACCCAAAATAATTTGACTTAAAAAAAACAACAACAGAAAAATATCTACCTAATGCTTGAGGGAAAGACAATTAACAGATGCAAACTCCAAGGACCCAGATGTTGGAATTAGCAGGTACAGACTTTAATGCAGTTATTAGAACTATGCTCCATGAGATAAAGGTAAACACTTGAAATAAATGTAAAGATAGAGGTTCTCAGCAGAGGAAGGGAAACTATAAAAAAAATCAAATGGATGTTGTAGAACTGAAATATACAGTACTTGAGATTTTAAAAAATCACTTGATGGGCAGGATGGAGATGACAGAGAAAAAGGCTGGTGATTTTAAAAACATATTATTAGAAATTATCAAGTCTGAAGAAAAAAATTGATTGAAAAATTAACAGAGCCTCAGGGACTTGTGGGACACTATCATTTCATTGGAGGACCAGAATGAAAGAGATTAGTGCAGGAAGTAATTGAAGAAATAGTGGCTGAAATTTCCCAAACTTTCTTGAGAACCTACATTTTCAGATTTGGAAGCTTAGAAAATTCCACAAAGTATAAATTCAAAGAAAACTGTGCCAGACACTCAGAACCAAACTTCTGATAAACAATGATTAAGAACAAATCTTGAATGATTAAGAAAAAAATGACATCATCAGTCATAGAATGATTTGATCTATAGCACATGTCACATATTTTAAAGTCTGCAAGAGCTAGGCATGTTACATAAATGGTTGAGTTGATGAGGGTGGAGCAGTGAGGAAATGAAAAGTATGCATCTGTTTAAAACATGTACAACATTTGCAGTCTCGTGATTTACAAAATATAGGTCTGAAGGCAAAATTCAAATTATAGGACACAAGTTTATATCCCATAACTTCAGACTCACACAGCAGGATTAAGGGTTAGGGATACCCAGCCTAGGTCATGACATAAGCATGTATCAGACCCAGGGACTTAATTTTTTAAATAAATTTTAAGGGCAGGAGTAATACAGGTTTTGTGGCAAAAATCATGCCTCCCTATTAGGTTGCAAGAAACGCAGATGCTCTCAGACCCACATCTGGGCAAGACAAGGAGACAGGGCAAGATTCAAATTCATGACTAAGATCCTGAATGATTTTCTGCATGTTCAAAGAAAATCCACAGATGTGGATGTATAAAGAGTTTGCTACTTTCATCCATTCATTCAATCTATAAATATAAAGTGAGCGCCTACTAGTTGCTTAGCTCCAGGGTGACAAATACATAAAGACTAAGTAAACCAAATGGTAGTAAATTCATGAAAGAAAATACTCATGGTGATAGGACAGAGAAATGAGGTGTGTATTCAGGAGAAGTGCTACTTCATGTAAGGTCGTCTGAGAAAGTCTTTCAGAGAAGGTGATGGTGGAACTGCGATCTGAAAGGCAATAAGGAGGCAGGAATAGCTGATCATCAGGAAAGGCTAGTATAAAGGCCAAAGGTTAGGACACTAGAAGAACAGACAAATGTCTGATGTGGCCAAAGCCTACAGAGTGATAAAGAGAGGGAGGGGACGAGCAGGGTGGTAAACAGGGACCAGACCATGCAGAGGTAACATTTTGTAGAACTCTGAGAGCAGGTTCCAACCTGCAGACTGAGAATGGGCAATAGAGACACGAAAGATTCTTGACAAAATGTAGAAGTCACTGAAGCTGAGAAAAAATATAAAACATGGAGAAAATAATTGAGCCCCACTCTGAAGGAATGTGATTCAGAAGCTGTTCATTGGAATTTGGGTTTCTATCTTGACTCAGAGAAAGACCTTAGGTGGGCTAAGGGCTGCTATGAGGCTGAAGCTAGAAACTTGGTAGGGGACAGTAGTAACTTTCTCCTGAGAAATGCACTCTGGGGCAGAAGGGTCTGTTGGGCACTGAAGTTTCAGTTTCAAATACTCACTGCTCGTGGCAGGTGTCCAGTTGTGATAATTATAACCTGCAGGTAGGGAGAAAAGAGTAAAGACTTAAGAAAAGGTAGATGGTGGAGCTAGAAATGAAATCTACACTAATAAAAGACAAAGATGCTAATTGACCATACCTTTGCTATGCCCATCAGCCAATCAGAAGAGTATGCAAATTAACCCAACAAAGATGGCCGTTAAATTTGCATACTGCAGGTGGGGTGGGGCAGTGCCATCCGCCGCCCACCCCCTGCGGGATCGGGCCTGCTGGGCGACCCGGGGCACCCAGCGCGGCAGGGAAGGCACTGTGGGATAGGGCCTGCCATCTGCCACCCAGGGAGCGGGCCTAAGCCAGCAGGTGGTTATCTCCTGAGGGGTCCCAGACTGTGAGAGGGCACAGGTCGGGCTGAGGGACACCCCCCTCCCCCAGCCAGTGCACAAATTTTTGTTCACCGAGCCTCTAGTTCATTAATAACTTTTTAAAACTCATAAATGAACAATAATTTCCTTTAGTGCCTTTATGTCCTTTCAAAATAGTGATGAACATCATTACCATTATTATCACCAAAATAAAAATACAATACAATAATGGCTCTTCTTACTCATTGGGAATGCACTATGCACCAGAAATAATGCTGAACACATTACAAGGGTAATGGGGCAAATTAATGACCAAGTTTGTGCTCCAAGCCTTATCTGTGTTCTCTCAATCCATTAAGATAATTTTATCCTTCTTCTGTCACCTTCTCTCTCTTCACAATATTTTATAATAGTATAATTTTATTTTTCTCGCTTAGTTTCTGGCTTTCTGTGATGTATAATAGAGAAAACTGCAGCAGCTTAAGAGAGTGGTATGTGAAGGTAAAAGTGTAGTGAGATGGAGGAAAGGGAAAGTACATGTGCTGGGGAATATTAGAGAAAATTTGGAGATGAAGTGCAATAGTAAAAAAGGAGACTTGGAGGTCAGGTGGATGGTTAAAATGTGGGAGCATGAAAGAAATTGGGGGGGGGGAAGAGAATTTTCATGAGTGTTTCTCTGGCTTATGAATTGCATCTCCTTTGATACTCTGTGAGAGATGTGAGTTAAGACTGGACCCAGAGGAGCCCTGGGATTTTCTTGGGTTACTGCTGAATGCTCTAATTTAATTTTCAGAATAATCCTGCCTCGTATGTATGTTTATTCTATTAAGCGGACATTAGTGCTTAGAGAGGTTACATGACTTGTTCAGCATCACACAAAACAGAGATCTGCCACCAATTCCCATACTATTCCCCATTGCTTTAAGGCAGTCCCAATCCTGGAGTTCAATCTGCTATGGACACAGAGCACGATGTGCTGTTGTTAATATAAATGTGTATTTCAAACCATATTTAAAGGAATTCCAAGCTGACAGAGGGTAAATAACTAGTCAAACACTAGGTTGGATTGTTGAGCTCATGCTCATTTAACACTCCTTCTGGTCCTGAGATTTGAGAAGACTTTCTCTGTCTGAACAGTCACCTTGTGGATAAACTTTGGAGTTTAGACTCAATATTGGGTTCGAGTGTTGAGTCTGCCAATGCATTATGGCTGGATGATCTCAGGCAAATGACTTCCTGTGTGAATGCATGATGGCTCTCTAAAAATGAGCATTGTAATGTACAGGGTTTAGGGTAAGATGAATAGGGAATCTATAATAATAAAAGTGTAATATGCAAATCAACCAAATGACCGAACATCAGAACGACTGTCCGGAGGACCTTCAGGATGACCATGCTATGACATGCACTGGCGCCAGGCCAGCCAAGGCAGGTGTTATGCAATTGGTTGGGAGCCCCCTGACATCGCCCCATGATCATCCTGCAGAGGGAGGCCCAGGCTACCGGCTGGCAGGGCGATCGATCAATCAAGGGGCTCCACGATCACCCCAAAGAGGGAGGCCCAGGCCACCAACTGGCAAGCTGTGGCAGGTGGACGGGGCCTACCTCTTTGGGGCAATTGATCATGGGGCTCCCGAACTGTGAGAGGGCACAGGCCTGGCTGAGGGACACATACCTGAGTGCACGAATTTTGTGTACCAGGCCTCTAGTATATAAATAAAGACCTTGTCACAGTTCTTAGCACATAAGAATCTTTTGGTGAGATTTAGCCACTAGTAGAGTTATTCTGGGTGTTAGCACTGCTATTAGGGGCCTTGTTGTCAACAGTGTTGTGTAAACAGTTATGATTCATGGTGTACTGGCCAAGTGTGGTGTTTCATGAATAGTTTCATGAGTGTCGTTCTCACTGGCCCATAAGTTGTCATGATGGAGAGAATAAGTAAAGTGAGAGCTGAACTGGACACTGCTGCCCACTGGGGAAGGCTTAACTGCAGGACCCTACATCACCCACTTCTCTCTTGAGAGTCTGCATGCTCTTGCTGGGCTCCAACAGAAGGAAACATTTCCTTCCAGCATTGAAAAAGGAAAGAAAATCAACTTCCTGTGGTGTGTGCTAAGCTGGGCTTGTACCAGAACTGTGAATGTGTGTACAGCAATTTCTCAATCTCAACATTGTTGACATTTTCGTCTAGATAATGGTGGGAGGCTGCCTTGTGCATAGTGGGATCTTTAGCAGCAACCCTGGCCTCTAACTAATGGATGTTATTAGCACACTCCAGTCGTGACATGGAAATGTTTTTGGACATTGCCAAATATCCTCCGAGAACTGCTTCCAGTTGAGAATTACTGGTATAGGGAGATAGGGGACTGCAGGCGACACCAGCTACAGCACAGACACTCACCATTGACATAGAGACTGTCTCTATCCAGGGTGTAGGTGCCCAGCAGGGTGACGCCATGGGTCAGCTGACTCAGCTCCTGGTACAACTCTTCTATGTCCAGTCCAGGGCCTATGGGGTTAGGACGGTAGGTGCAGATGGTGTCCACTCCAGTTGATGCCCCATCTCTCTCAGTCCTAGGGTGGTCGGGTTAGGGAAATAGGACATTCAGAGACACGGTGGAGTTATATATCTTGTTCAACTCTTTCCTTCAAATTGACCTGCTGCTCCAAGTTTTATGGTATTCCTCTTTATTGGGCCTTGACTGGTTTCCCAAACATGTTCTTTTATGGGTGCTATTCATCTAGGTACCTTCCCACTCCATAAAGTGACTGACTTTCAGGGCTTCATCCTCAGTCAACTTCTATTATTTTGCCTCTCATTTGGGGTCATTATTTCAGTTACCAGTTTTATTATCATACAAGAGGCCCAGGGCACAAAAATTTGTGCACTCGGGGGCATCCCTCAGCCTGGCCTGTTCCTTCTCACAGTCTGGGATCCCTCGGGGGACGACCACCTACTGGCTTAGGCCCGTTCCCTGGGGGATTGGGCCTAAGCTGGCAGTCATACATCCCTCTAGAAGCCTGGGAGCCCTTGGGGGATGTCCACTTGCCAGCGGGGAGCAGGCCTAAGCTGCAGTCAGACATCCTTAGCGCTGCTGAGGAGGCAGAAGAGGTTCCCACCACCACCACTGTACTGGCAGCCATCAGCCTGGTTTGTGGCTGAGCAGAGCTCCTCCTGTGGGAGTATACTGACCACCAGGGGGCATGGCAGCTCCTGCATTGGGCATCTGCCCCTTGGTGGTATGTGTCATAGTGGCCAGTCATTCCTAGTTGTTCTGTTGTTAGGGTCAATTTGCATATTACCCTTTTATTATATAGGAGTGCCTGGCCACCCTGGGTGAGGGGCTAATGGCTGTTTGCAGGCTGGCCACAGCGCCTTCAGGGTGGGGGTCCCCCCTGGGGTGCCTGGCCAGCCTGGGTGAGGGGCTGATGGCTGTTTGCAGGCTGGCCACAGGCCCTTCAGTGTGGAGGTCCCCAGTGTGGTGCCTGGCCAGCCTGAGTGAGGAGCTGAGGGCCGTTTTCAGGCTGGCCACACCCCCTTCAGGGTGAGGGGGTCCTGCTGGGGTGCCTGGCCAGTCGGGGTGAGGGGCTGAGAGCCGTTTGCAGGCTGGCTAAGCCCCCCAGCGGGAACCCTCACCCCATGAGGGTGTGGCCAGCCTGGGTGAGGGGCTGATGGCTGTTTGTAGGCTGGCCACAACCCCAGCCACCCAAGCTCCCAGTGGAGGCTGGCTGGAAGCAGGTATCTGGGGTTTATTTGTCTTCTATAATTGAAACTTTGTTGCCATGAGCGAAGGCCACTGCCGGCTCAGGGCGGGCGGGAAGCTTGGCTTCCTCCATTGCCCAAGCAACCAAGCCTCCTGCTTGCTCCAGCTCTGTGGCTTCCGGCCGCCATCTTGGTTGGGTTAATTTGCATATAGTCACTCTGATTGGCTGGTGGGCATGGCTTAGGGCATAGTGAAGGTACGGTCAATTAGCGTCTTTGTCTTTTATTAATGTAGATGGTCTAATCTACTTCTAACTGGCCAAGACTTCTCTCGTGAGCTCTATGCCATGTAATCAGCAGCCTCAGAGATGTCCTTCAGGCCTCTTAGATTCCAAATATCTCAAATTAAGCTTATCATCTTCCCTCCTAAAAGCACAGAACCTGCTCCTCCTCCTATACTTCCATGTCTATGCCAGAGCCAGAGATGTGAGAGGCCTCCTGAACCCCCACCACCTTTTCTCCCCATCCAAGCAATATCCAGGTCTGGTCTCTTTTTATCTTTTCAGCACCTCTGTGAGATCAATGCTGATATGATTCCCACTTTATAGTTGAGGAAACAAAGTCATATAGATGTTAAAGAACTTCTAAAACCTCAGAGCTAGTGACAGAAACAGGATGTGACTTCATGCATTTGGATACGGAACCATTAATGCTCAGCCTTTTCCTGTACCAAATACAGTGGGGCCTTGACTTACGAGTGTCCTGACTGATGAGTTTTTTTGAGATACGAGCCATCTCTCGGCCAATTTTTTTGCTTTGAGTTGCAAGCTCAAAAAAATTCAGGTTATAAACCAGCTTCAGATACCCTACCGCTAGTTGGCGCAGCGAACGTCACAGTGATTTGACATACAAGTAATTTGAGTTATGAGCTCCATCACGGAACGAATTACGGCCCCACTGTACTATGAAAAAATCCTTAGTATGCCTTTAACCACAGCTCCAACCTGAACTCTTGATGTTATCCACTTCTCGAAACTCATCCCACAATTTACCCACCACTCACACAACTATACTCCTGTGTACCCATCCATCTGCTCAGCCAGTCCCCCAGTCAACCAACTTCCTTCCTTCCTTTCTTCCCTCTCTCTTCCCTCTCTTTCCCCTCCTCTGTTCCTTTCCCTCCCTTTCTCTCCTTCCTTCCTACCTTACTTTCCTTCCTTCCCTCCCTTCCTTCTTTCCTTCCCATTTTTTCTTTTATTCAATTGCTATTTCCTCATACTCTACCCTCCAATTTCACAGAACTTCTCTCATGCACTAGGATATTTTTCACATCTGCCCCATGACTTAAGCTACACCACCCCTTGGAATACCTTTGCCACTATTTCTTCTAGTTACTGCACACTTGACTGTCAAAACATACCCCAGGAATCACCTTCTTCAGACAGCCTCCACCCAACTCTCCCAGGCTGAGCTAAAAATCCATTCTCCAGGCTCCTATGGCCCCTGTGTAGTGCTTTATCATTGTATTAGCCCCATTCATATGATGACTTTAAGTCTATATGGCAGCTGAGATTTGAGGAAAGGGCCCATGACTGATTCTCTCAGTGCTCTTAGCTTCTGTAACAGGGTGTTACCTGAGGTATCTCATTTCATGTTTTCTTAGTGAGTCAATGCTGCATTTTCTGACCAATGAGCATGAATGCTTTGTGGATCTGCTTATCCAAATAATTGAAGATCTTTGACAGACAGCTCTTTCAGGAAGCTCTCTCTGTTGCACTCAGCCAGAGGGCATGCCTTCCAATCACATATGACTCTTGCTTTGTAGTTTTCATGTACAGGTATTCACTCCAGGTGAGCTTGCCTGTGACAATGCCCTGCATATGTGTTAGGAAAGGAAGTCATACCTGAGCAGGGCCAGTCGGCAGCCAGAATACAGTGGGCCAATGCTGGTGTTCTTGAACAAAGGACCAAGCTGGGGAGGAGGGAAATGAAGGTAACCTGAAGAGACTGGTGGGACAAGAACATGGAAGGCTAGGGTAGGCATTGATGGGCTCTTACCAGGTGATTCAAAACCCTCTCAGTGGAATTGAACTTCGCAGAGCCCGGGAGCCTCATGTCTGGGGTGTAGAGCATGTTGGTGATGGTGAAATTGAGGGTGAAAGGCACTGGAGCTGGGCCCACATCTGCAGTGGAAGGAGGGAAAGAGAGGAAACCCATCATAGGCTTAAGCTAAACTTTTTATGGGAGGAAGGTACTAGTATTATCTCTTGGACCATTGTGTCCAGTTGTTGAGGCCTGAGATATCCTATTTGGGATGCCCTCCTTCTTCAGCCTGCCAAAGGGGGAGAAGGGACCTCCATGCTAGATGTATGACATCAGTTCAAAAGGGAACCTCAACCCTTTCATCCCAGAGTGTTCAAAGGCTGAAAAGTTGTGGACATTTTGGTGGGACATCTGGGCCGAGACCTTTTGCGCTCAGCCCAAAATACTTGAGCAGTCAGATATCCAAATCATAGGAATTTCCACGAAGAAATGGCAGTCTGAGCAAGAGCATGCTGGACTGAGATTTGGAGGACAAGGAGGAACCACACATAGCTGAGTTCCTGGAAGAAAAAATGAGGCTGCTGTGGCGGGAGATTAGGGCACGAGGGAGAGAGGGGAACAGGTTGCACTGGGTGGGCATCATGGTCCAGAGCATGTCGGAATTCATCAGCCACGGAATGGGAGTTGAGGTTTAATGGGACTCAGAAGTTAGACTGCTACCTGTAGAGCTGGGGGTGGGGCTCAGAGATGCTGCGGGTCCTGGAGAGAATGTGGAGGTCACTGGAGCTGAAAGAAAATACACTATGAATAAAAATTGTTGAGCCCTATCATGAAGCAGTGAAAGGGTAGGGCTGTTCATGGAAACTTGCATCTCTAACTTGGCTTAATCTGAGGCTTCTGCTGTGCTGCAGCTACTCTGAGGTTGACAACCTAGGGGATGGGCGATACTTTCTTCCTGGGAACTAGGTTTAGGGAGGAAGGGTCCCAGAGACATAGGACATCCGGGCTCTCATTACTCACTCCTGGTGGTAGGGATCCTGTATCGATGGTTATAACCTACAGAGAAGCAAAGAGAGAGAGAGTATTATGGTGAGAGGAGGTTAAGAATAGGGTAAGGGGTAGAAATAGAAACTAAGTATAGAAACCTTCCTGAGTGCTTTCGCTGAGATACATCAATAAAAACAGTATTCTTCATGAGTTAACTGCATGATACCTGATACTAATGATAATTTCATTGTCATTGTCATTAATCAGAAAGACAGTAATGATCAAAGCAACCCCAATCTTATGGGGGTTTACTAAGTGCCTAGAATAATAGCAACCTTATCAAATGAATAATAGGGACAACAATTTTATGAATGTTTCCATATTTGTGTTTTCTTTACCTATTAATTATAATTTTGTCCTCACTCTTTCAGTTTCTCCCACTATCCTACTCTCCAAAGATAGCTCAATCTGTGACAATATAGTCTTAGACTTCTGTAATATTGAACTGAGATAATACAGGAGAGAGATGGAGAGGGAGAGAGCTGGGCTTGTGGAGAAAGAAAAGACTGGGTGTCAATCAGAGACTACAAAGTTTAAAAAGAGGAAATGGAAAAAAGAGGATTTAAATAAGTACGTTTCTGGACCATGGAATGGATCCTCTTTGATACACTGGAAATAGTGCAAGTAAAATTGATTTCTTTTATATTTGGTGGACTGACTGGGTTTTTTGAAATGAAACTTATCTCTGAGACTGGGCCAAGTGGAGCCTTGTGATTTACTTGGGTTATTCAGGTTTTATCGCAATCAGCTTAGGTGACTTTTCTATTCTAAAAATGGACACTGGAGCTTAGAGGGGTCATGGCTTGCCCAGGGTCACATAGTAAGTCAAAGGCAGGGCCAGGGCTTGATAAAAGCAAGGTCTATAATTCACCAAAGCCTGCACTGGTAACTACTCCCTTTAAGTAATCTCCAAGGACTAATGAAACCCAATATAAGTTTTAATCCAGGTAATAAGAAAACACCCACAGTGATATAATGGGGCTATAATTAATCAAGCTTTAGTTTAAATAGTTATAGTGAGGCTCCATGGTATGCCTTCCTGTCCTGAGGTTTGAGGCTTGTTTTTGCTGGGTTGGTCTGCAGTGTAGCCTAGTAGTTAAGGGGCCTAGATTTTAGAATTAATTTAGGGTTTGATTTCTGACACTACCACCTGCATTAATTATCTGATCTTGGGAAAGTGGATTTCCCCAGCAGGCCTGTTTTCTCTTCTGCAAGATATACATAACTTAGAGAAGTTTGCAGGGTTAGTAATACATAATACATATAACATTCTGCATCATAGGAATCCCTTAATAAAGATCACCCTTTATTGTAGGTATTACTGTGGGTGTTGTTGTTAAGAGCATGGATGCAAAGGAATTTATTGCTAAATCATTACTAACAGCTTTGTTGCTTGTTTCTCAGGTGGGTGTAATTCCAGCTGGCCCTTGGAGAATGGGTAAAAGACCACCGCTGCCATAGGGAAGTAAAAGAAGCAGATTCGTCACTGCACTGGGAACCCACTGGCTCTTGTATTGACTGCCATGGGCTTACTTTACCCTCTTCCTTCCTTGATGTCTGCATGCTCCATTCGGGCTTCTGTGAATGGTCATTGGGATGAAGAAGACTAAAGGAAACTTTTTTTCCTGACCTTAAAAGGTGCTTTTTAGGTGTTATGAAAGGAGAGAGCTGAGCCCCATGGAAATTCTAGGGGTAGAGAGAAACATGGGTACAGAGAAATGCACTCCAAGGAGACCCCATCTGGGGAGCAGGAGGAGATCCCTTTGCAGCAGAGCTACTCACCACTGACGAAGAGACTATTGCTGTCCAGGGTGTAGGGGTCCAGCCGAGTGACACCATGGGTCTGCCGGCTTAGCTCCCAGTACAGCTGTTCTCTGTCCAGCCTGAAGCCTGTGGGATCTGCGTAGTGGGTGCATATCACACCCACTGTCGTGCTTGCTCCCTCCTTTTCAGCCCTGGGGAAGGAGGGACATGGGAATTGAGACATGAGAGGTGAATACTCTTGATCACTCTTAGTTTTTACATCATCACTCTTCTTTGAGTTTCATCTGCTTTCTAAAACACATCTCTTTCTGTTTCATGGGGGAATCCAGACACGCCCCCCCACCTTCTTAAATGCAGTGTTCTACAGGTTCCTACAGCTTCTCCCTAGATAATGTTCTTCTTGTCCCTATTATCTTTTTATTAACTGGTTGAAGCTTATTGTCTCAACTACCAGCCCAGGACACTTCCTGTCCATTCGTGAAGGTAAATACAAATGGTGTCACTCCAGTAATACATTAGTCCTGCTTGGGCCATGGGGTTAGGGATGTGGGACTCCAGGGAAAAAAATCCTAAGGATCCTGGGGCCAGTCAGCATGTAGAAGGGAAAAGTAAGAGAACCGAAGACCTTTGGGACGGTAAGTGATCACCTCTGTGGCTGGTTGTGACACTGAGCCTGAGAGGGGATATTCTATTTCAAGTTGGCAAATCCCAAAGCTGAGGAACACATTTTAGGCAGACAACCAATTTGAAGGAAAACAAGTTAAGAAGAAACCAGGGGAGATTGGTGAAAAAATACCTTTGTCCTGAATTTAAGCTGACCCTAAAATGTTTCACTCAAAGCAGGAGATGTACAAGTAGGAAGAAAGAATGCCTTCCTCCCTTGCTTGTGAATTCTGCTTGCTATGATCCATGCTATTCAAAACATTCCCATTCTATACCTACATAGTGTCCCATAGTAGTTCTCAAAGTGTGGCCCAGGGACCTCTGGTGTTCTCAAAACTATTACAGGGAGTCCATCAAGTAAATAATGGAATATTGTAAAAAATAGAATGCAGAAGCAGATATCCTGGTATCTTCTACTAAGTCACATATTAAAAGGATTTTCAAAAATGTAAATGATGGCCCTCTTCTCACTGTGCTTCTTTTGGGGAGGGGGGTTGGGAGATATGGTTGTTGTTTATAAAAATATGTCATTTATATTAACATGTAATGCCTATGGACATGGACAACAGGGGGATGGGAGCATGAGTGTGTGTGTGGGGGGAGGTTGGGGGTTAATGGGGGGGATGAGGACACATTTGTAATACCTTAACTAAAAAAAAAAAAAAAAAAAAAAACATGTAATGGGTTTATTATTTTAATGAATAAATTGTTTTAATTTCTACACAGTTAAAATGGGCAGATATAACCTAAGTCTAAAGGCTTTTTAAAATGAAAATGGTTGAGCCAGGGAGGTCGAGGCCTGCTGGTATTGTGGTTAAAAGCAGGAACTCCAGAACCAGAACACCAGGTTCTAATCCTAGCTCCCCTAAGTATGCAACTCAACTACTCTGCGAGGCCAAACAATACTTATATTGTTGTGAGGATGAATGAAAGAAAAAGTGTAAATCACATTTATTGGATGGCATGTACTATGAGCAATATTACTTTTGTTATTGATTTCCCCATATTATGGAGATATGGGGGCAGGTGTGCTGGGCTCAACTTATTAGAGGACACTGGTATATAATACATCAGCAATCTCTCCTCACCAAGTGATGTGGGTAGAAAACCCCATCTCTCTGGCAGGATGACTTGAGTTGGCTGGATGGAGTAGCCCACAGAGAAGCCATAGGGTCATTAAGTGTAATGATAGGGTCCTGAGCCCATTAACCTCGGATGACACCAGGTATGCATGTAGGCAAAGAAAAGACAGTCCATTTCTGCAGAGTTCAGGTCCATTTGAGAATTTTAAGATCACAATATATCCTGCTGGTATTCAACATTTGATTTGGTTTTCCCTTTGTTCAGTAAGACTTCCTTTGGGAAATCCCTATCTCTTTCCAGGGAATAAACTGAAGAGCTTCAGTGTCCAGAGCTTTTCTCCAATAGGGTAGATATGAACTGGGACAGGGAGAGTGTCAGGGACTCTGGGAACGCACTTGGTAAAAATGCTACACTGGCTGGTACTACAAGATCCCTTTAATTGAGGGTTCACAATGACGCAGGCATCGGGATGAAGGATTAACTCCAAGAGTAAGGCACTGTTATTATCACCATTTTATAGATAGTGTTATTGAAGAACAGAGAAGTTATGTGACTTGCTCAAAGTCACACAGCTAGCAAATGAAGAACCGGGGTTCCAACTCAGGCACTTGGATACACTGTGTTACACTGCCTCTCCGCAAAGGCCCAAGGGACTGTGGTTGACCAGGGTGTAGAGGGCCAAGAAAGGAAAGGAGTAGGTTTTCTGTAGGTACTGAAGAGGAGGTCTTACCTGAGCAAGGTCAATCTGCACCCAGCATAGAGGGAACCGATGCTGTTCCTGAACAAGGGCCCCAGCTGTGAAGGCATGAGAGGCAGATGAGCAGGAGTAGCCAAGACAACAGGGTGTGGCAGGGTTGGCAAGAAGTTAGAATTGGGGGTCTCTCACCAGTTGCTGCAGGTTCCTTTCAGTGGCATTGAATATCTCAGAGCCCAGGTTTCCCATGTCCTCTGTGTAACGCAGGTTAGTGATGGTGAAGTTGACAATAAAAGGCATCAAGAAAGGAACTGCAGCTGCAGGGAGGCAGAGAGTAAAATGAGGCCCATCCTGGGTCAGGCCTGGGGCTGAGGGAGGGAGGGCTCTGAGGACTTGCCTTAACTTCAATGCTGAGTTGGGGCCTGGCCTAGGTGACCTCCTTGAGACACCTCGTGTAGCAGTCACTGTCCAAGACCCCCTCACACAGGGTGACCAACTATCATTTCCCCAGGACCATGTGGGTTTCTGGGATGCAGACTGTGTAGAAGTGCAAATGGAGCAAACAGAGAGGAGCTGGGCACCCTGTTCCTCCTTCCCCTTGAATCCTACCATCTCAGCACAGGCCAGAACCCACATCTCTTTGTCTTGGGGAGATCATCAAGCCCAGAGAGCATCCCTCTAGCAATGACAGGTGGGAGTTAGATGATAAGCACTCCAGCTCCCTCACCCTCATTTGGGATGACTCTAAGGTGTATGTTGTATGCATTCTCACTTCCAGCCTTCAGAACAAGCTTCTGTGGTTGAAGCCTCCCAGTGTGTGGTACTTGGTCATGGCAGCTCTGGGAAACCAATAAACCAAATGACCCAACAATTCCTTTTTTAGTACAGTAAGTCCTCGTGTAACGTTGTCAATAGGTTCTGTGACTTTAAGTGAAAAAATGTACAAAGAAACCAATCTTACATAGGCTAAGTGATATAAAAAAGAGTTAAGTTCATACAACATCTCATCAATGTTATTATGAAATGATGTTGAACAAATCAATGTTATTTGAGGACCTGGGTATATCCCCAAAAGAATTGGAAACAAGGACTCAAATGGATGCTTGTACATCCATGTTCATAGCAGCATGATTCACAATAGTCAAAGGTGGAAAAAGCCAAATTTTCCATCAACAGATAAATGAACAAATAAAATGTGATCTAACCACACAACAGGATATTTATCCATAAACAGGAATAAAGTTCTGATACATACTATGGCATGGAAGAACCTTGAAAGCATTATGTTAGCTAAAATAAGCAAGACACAAAAGGCCAGTTATATTGTACAATTTCTCTTATATGAGATATCTATAATAGGAATTTGCATGGAGACAGTAAGTAATTAGAGGTTACCAGGAACTGGGGGAGGGGGGTGGTGAGTAGGAAAAGGGGAGTTACTACCTAATGGGTACACAGATCCAGTTTGGGGTGATACAAATATTTCAGAAATAGTGGTGATGTGGAAGTAATCAATGTCACTAAATTGTACATTAAAATAGTTAAACTATATATCGTAGATAGATAGAATAAAAATGTTATTCTTACTTGTTCTTGACGTCACACTCACATAGGCCTCGGTGGACGTCTCAGGTATGGTCACAGGGACAAAGGAACTTTCAGACAGTGTACTGAAAGTGGCTGTAGTCTCAGCCACAGTGCGGTCTGAACCTGTGGCAGCTGACTTAGTGGCTGCAAGAGTTGTAGTTTTCAGGATAGTGGTTGGACTTAATCCTCCTGGGTTGCTTTCAGCTGCAGTCAAGGTCACAGTGCCCCCAGTCATAGTGTCAGAAAATTCTGAAAGACCAACTGAGGTTGCAGGTGGAGAGGTTAGTGTGCTCCAGAAAGCTACAGTATAAGGCTCACCTGTGGTTGCAGGGGTACTGGCAGGCCCAAGAACAACAGAGGAAATAGTCAGAGTTGGAAGACCTGTACTGGTCTCAGATGCAGGGCTGGTGGCCAGTAAGCTTGTGGTGTCTGATGAACCATGGAAAAGAGTTGAAGTTGAAATAGTTGTGCTGAGGTCCATCCCAGGTTGGATGGATAGTGAGGCTGTGGTATCTGGTAAATGAGGAAAAATAGTTGAAGCAAGAAAATTTATGCTTGTCTCTGCACTGGGGTGGGTGGCCAATAAGGCTGTAGTCTCTGGTTCACCAGCAGTAAGAGTCAGAGTTGGAACAACTGTGCTGTCATCTGTTTCAGAAATAGTGACCTGTGAGGTCACCTTATCTGGTACACTAGGAGAGACAGTCAGAGTTGGAAGAGCTGAACTGGTTTCTGTCCCAGAGTCGGTGGCCACTGTGAGTGTGGATTCTGATTCACTAGGGGAAACACTGGGGGTTGTCTTGGACATTGTTGGGCTGGTCTCTTTAGGATGGGTGACAAATAAGACTGTTGTATGTGGCTCACCAGAGGAATCAGTCCGAGTTGGAACAGCTGACCTGACTTCTGTCCCATAATGGGTGATCCATGAGGGTGTGATCTCCAGTTGATCTGGGGAAATTGTCAAAGTTGGAAAAACTATGCTGGTCTCTGCCCTAGTACTAGTAGCCTGTGAGGTCACCACCTCTGGTACAACAGGTTGGACAGTTATAGCTGGAATAGTTGAACTGGATTCTGCCCCAGGAATGGTGGCCATTGAGATTGTGCTGTCTAATTCACTACGGGAAAAATTGAAAGTCGTTTGGGAAACAATTGGGCTGGTCTCTGAAGGATGGGTGACCATGGAAACTGTTGCATCTGGATCACCAGGGGACACAATCAGAGTTGGAACTGCTGACTTGGTTTCTGTTTCAAACTGGGTGACCCATGAGGCTGTGGTCTCCAGTTGATTTGGGGAAATTGTCAAAATTGGAAAAGTTGTGCTGGTCTCTGCCCCAGAACTAGTAGCCTGTGAAGTCACCACCTCTGATACAACAGGTTGGACAGTTGTAGCTAGAACAGTTGAACTAGTTTCTGTCCCAGGACTGGTGGCCATCAAGGGTGTGCTATCTGATTCAGTATAGAAAACACTGGGAGTTGTTTGGGGCAAAATTGGGCTGGTATGTGCAGGATGGGTGATCAAAGGGACTCTTGTATCTGGTTCACCAGAGGAAATGATCAGAGTTGGAACAGTGGTGCTGGTCTTTGTCCAAGAACTAAAGACGGGTGCAGGTGTGATTGCTGGTCTACTGAATATGGGTGGCGTTGTCCTGAAAACTGCTGTGCTGGTCTCTATACCAGGTCTCGTGGCCAAGAAGGATGTCATCTCCAAAATATCATGTGAAACACCTGGGGTTGTGATGATCACTCCTGTTGTGCTTGTGCTGGCTGTTTTACTTGATGTCCTGAGGAGCGTCAGCATTCCAAAAGAGGAAGTGGATACTCTGGTGGTCAAGGTCGCTGTGGTGGTGGTCTGTGCCCTCTCTGTCCCTCCTGTTGGTAGCCCTGTGAGTTGTGGGATAGACACAGAGTTTGCACAGAATGATTACCACTTACTGAACTGGCAAGAACTTTTTTTCTTCCTATCATTACTACTGTTACTAACACCACTGTCACTACCTTCCATTATTGCTGCTATTACTACTCTTATTAATATTGTTACTACTACAACTATTACTTCCTACCATTATTGCTGTGACTACTGTTAATACCACTGCTGCTATCTATCATTACTGCTGTCACTACCACCATTACCACCTATTACCACTGTTATTACTATTGTTATTTACTATGACTATTAGAATTATTGCTACTGTTATTACTAGAGCCATAACTACTGTTATTACTATGACTATTGCCACTGTTATTACTACTTTTACTTTTTGTGCTTTCACTACAAAATAAATGTTCACTGGATTAAATTTGCCAGGAACCACACTAGCTGGCCAATGTGAGTGGAAGTCAGTCTCTGAGAAAGAGTAGAGTGTCATTGGCTGAGACAACAGCTATTGACCAGGGCTTCCGAAAAATAGTTCCCAGGAAAGAGGAGGAACTAACTGGAGGCTTCTCAATGGAGACCACAAAGCCTACTGAAGCTTAGTGCAGGGAGAGAGACAAAATTAAGAGGATTTTGACTCTGATGGTGAAGCCATGCCATATGCTGCTAAGAATACCCTGAAAAGCATATTTCCGAGAGTAGACATTCTAAAGTGATTCCAATGTGTTTGATGACGGTGGTGGTGATAGTGGTAATGATGAGCAATTGTAAAGCACCTAGCATCCTTTTCCTCATTGATCATCACAGGAACATTGTAAGTACACCCTATTATTGTATTTGACAGAAAAGTAAAACCTCAGAAATGATAATTTGCCAAGGTCACACAGCTACTGACAAGATAGCGTGGATATGTGACCGGATAGTTTTCTCTGTATCCTAAACCTTTGTTAATAACCGTTTATATTAATTTTGTAACTGAATTTCAGAATCCTGTGCGGTCTAAAATGAAAATGATATGAGGAAAAAACATCCATTTTGGTGGTGTTGGAAAGAATTTTGTACTCAGTAGATCTCAGACTGGAAAAATATTGCTTGTCACAACTGTGTGTATGTGGAGTGCACTACAGGCATTTATGAGTACAAGCCAGGGATGCTCTTTAACACCTACAACACATGAACAACTCACCACAACAAATAATTATCTGGGTTGGTACTTGTCAACTGTGCTGAGAGTGGAGAAACATCAGACGCAGTTGTAACTGTTCCTAAGTACAAATTCTCTGCTATAATGGTATTAATACGGGTAATGAAGATATCCTCACTGGCTGGGTTCAAATTTGAAACTATTAACCATTACCTAGGCTTCATCAGCAGTACTAATCATTGTCCAAAAGTTGGTGTCTACTGTATGAGGTAGTATGTGAGAAAGTAATAGGAATTGGGGATGGGCTGGTTGAAGAGAGAGCAGTAATGACGGTTGAAGAGGGAAACGATGTTGAAGTAAATATAGTAGGGTCCTTGCAATGGTGGAATGAAAAGCATACCCAGGGCCTAGAAAAAGGGCTGGTTGCAAAGAAAATTGAGATGGAACCTATAACTCCTGATGGAGAGGAAGAAAATGAGCTTTCTGACAAAAAAGAGGTGAATGTGACAGCCAGAAAGATCTTAGATGAGGACAATCAAGACACCAGGAATGAGGCTCTTTAAAAAAGGAGTTCAATGAGTAGGTATATGCACGTAAGTGGCTGTAGCTGAGATGAAGATCAGATGAATGCTTGTCAAAAGATCAAAAGGCACAGGCAAAATTGGCATGCATCAACTACTGAGGATATGAAAAACAAAGGCATTGAAGGAGAAGTCATTGTCACCTAAAAAAGACGAAGTTCCCAGTGGATAAATAACATTGGATGACAAAGAGTGGTTGGTGGGAGAAGAATGTGTTTCATGTCCTGACAGGGTGGTCCCCGCGCTGGTCTCAGCTGTGTGTCCGGGAAGGTGAACTGCCTCTGTGCCTGTGGAGGCTGCAGAGGAGTCCAGGCTCCGCGCTGTGCTCTCGCTCACATGTGCAGTGGAACGGGCTCCGGGATCCACGCTTGTGCCCAAGGCGTCAGTGGCCGGCAGCAGGCCAGAGGTCCAGACGGAGGGGACGAGAGGAGGAGGGGAGGATGCGCTCTCACGTGTTGTAGGAGCAACTGGGGACGGGGAGGCTGTGCTGGGGGCCGATTGCACGGAGGAAGAGCTGCTTGTCTCCTCAAAGGGAGGACGTGTCCTGGACACATGCTCCGGGCCCCTGCTCCCGGGAGTCGTCACCGGTGAGTGTGTGAAACCTTGAGTGGCAGCCCCGTGAGTCCCTGGGCTGGAGGCGGTGGTCCAGGTGTCCAAGGCAGTTGTGCCCGGCGACGTAGCCCCAGGGTGACCACTTGGCGTGGTGAGGGTCCCTTCGGCGGCTCCTGTCATGACTGGGGAGGACGAGAGCCCCGGCATGCCTGTGGAGATGTCTGGTGTCATGGTGGACTGAGACGGGCCAGAGGAGACTGTCCCGCTGGAGGACATGCCTTCTGTCCCGGAGACCTCCGTGGCACCATCACGAGTGGGCGCGTGGGAAGAGACGGGCATTGTCTCCGCGGCTGAGCTCATGGGCTGGGAGGTGCTGGCCTCCCTCAGGCCGGGGCTCGTGGAGGATGCTGACTCTGCCTCAGACCAAGTGGTTTCCGAAGAGCCGGGCACTGCTGCGGAAACTCTGCTTTCCCTCGTGACGGAAGGGGTCGCCACTGGAGAAGTCACTTCGGGGGGCGCTGACTCACCTGGCACAGAGGAAGGTGTTTCCTGTCCTGACCTGGTGGTCCCCGCGCTGGTCTCAGCTGTGTGTCCGGGAAGGTGAACTGCCTCTGTGCCTGTGGAGGCTGCAGAGGAGTCCAGGCTCCGCGCTGTGCTCTCGCTCACATGTGCAGGGGAACGGGCTCCGGGATCCACGCTTGTGCCCAAGGCGTCAGTGGCCGGCAGCAGGCCAGAGGTCCAGACGAAGGTGACGAGAGGAGGAGGGGAGGACGCGCTCTCACGTGTTGTAGGAGCAACTGGGGACGGGGAGGCTGTGCTGGGGGCCGATTGCACGGAGGAAGAGCTGCTTGTCTCCTCAAAGGGAGGACGTGTCCTGGACACATGCTCCGGGCCTCTGCTCCCGGGAGTCGTCACCGGTGAGTGTGTGAAACCTTGAGTGGCAGCCCCGTGAGTCCCTGGGCTGGAGGCGGTGGTCCAGGTGTCCAAGGCAGTTGTGCCCGGCGACGTAGCCCCAGGGTGACCACTTGGCGTGGTGAGGGTCCCTTCGGCGGCTCCTGTCATGACTGGGGAGGACGAGAGCCCCGGCATGCCTGTGGAGAGGTCTGGTGTCATGGTGGACTGAGACGGGCCAGAGGAGACTGTCCCGCTGGAGGACATGCCTTCTGTCCCGGAGACCTCCGTAGCACCATCACCAGTGGGCGCGTGGGAAGAGACGGGCATTGTCTCCGCGGCTGAGCTCATGGGCTGGGAGGTGCTGGCCTCCCTCAGGCCAGGGCTCGTGGAGGATGCTGACTCTGCCTCAGACCAAGTGGTTTCCGAAGAGCCGGGCACTGCTGCGGAAACTCTGCTTTCCCTCGTGACGGAAGGGGTCGCCACTGGAGAAGTCACTTCGGGGGGCGCTGACTCACCTGGCACAGAGGAAGGTGTTTCCTGTCCTGACCGGGTGGTCCCCGCGCTGGTCTCAGCTGTGTGTCCGGGAAGGTGAACTGCCTCTGTGCCTGTGGAGGCTGCAGAGGAGTCCAGGCTCCGCGCTGTGCTCTCGCTCACATGTGCAGTGGAACGGGCTCCGGGATCCACGCTTGTGCCCAAGGCGTCAGTGGCCGGCAGCAGGCCAGAGGTCCAGACGGAGGTGACGAGAGGAGGAGGGGAGGACGCGCTCTCTCGTGTTGTAGGAGCAACTGGGGACGGGGAGGCTGTGCTGGGGGCCGATTGCACGGAGGAAGAGCTGCTTGTCTCCTCAAAGGGAGGACGTGTCCTGGACACATGCTCCGGGCCCCTGCTCCCGGGAGTCGTCACCGGTGAGTGTGTGAAACCTTGAGTGGCAGCCCCGTGAGTCCCTGGGCTGGAGGCGGTGGTCCAGGTGTCCAAGGCAGTTGTGCCCGGCGACGTAGCCCCAGGGTGACCACTTGGCGTGGTGAGGGTCCCTTCGGCGGCTCCTGTCATGACTGGGGAGGTCGAGAGCCCCGGCATGCCTGTGGAGATGTCTGGTGTCATGGTGGACTGAGCCGGGACAGAGGAGACTGTCCCGCTGGAGGACATGCCTTCTGTCCCGGAGACCTCCGTGGCACCATCACGAGTGGGCGCGTGGGAAGAGACGGGCATTGTCTCCGCGGCTGAGCTCATGGGCTGGGAGGTGCTGGCCTCCCTCAGGCCGGGGCTCGTGGAGGATGCTGACTCTGCCTCAGACCAAGTGGTTTCCGAAGAGCCGGGCACTGCTGCGGAAACTCTGCTTTCCCTCGTGACGGAAGGGGTCGCCACTGGAGAAGTCACTTCGGGGGGCGCTGACTCACCTGGCACAGAGGAAGGTGTTTCCTGTCCTGACCTGGTGGTCCCCGCGCTGGTCTCAGCTGTGTGTCCGGGAAGGTGAACTGCCTCTGTGCCTGTGGAGGCTGCAGAGGAGTCCAGGCTCCGCGCTGTGCTCTCGCTCACATGTGCAGTGGAACGGGCTCCGGGATCCACGCTTGTGCCCAAGGCGTCAGTGGCCGGCAGCAGGCCAGAGGTCCAGACGGAGGTGACGAGAGGAGGAGGGGAGGACGCGCTCTCTCGTGTTGTAGGAGCAACTGGGGACGGGGAGGCTGTGCTGGGGGCCGATTGCACGGAGGAAGAGCTGCTTGTCTCCTCAAAGGGAGGACGTGTCCTGGACACATGCTCCGGGCCTCTGCTCCCGGGAGTCGTCACCGGTGAGTGTGTGAAACCTTGAGTGGCAGCCCCTTGAGTCCCTGGGCTGGAGGCGGTGGTCCAGGTGTCCAAGGCAGTTGTGCCCGGCGACGTAGCCCCAGGGTGACCACTTGGCGTGGTGAGGGTCCCTTCGGCGGCTACTGTCATGACTGGGGAGGACGAGAGCCCCGGCATGCCTGTGGAGATGTCTGGTGTCATGGTGGACTGAGCCGGGCCAGAGGAGACTGTCCCGCTGGAGGACATGCCTTCTGTCCCGGAGACCTCCGTAGCACCATCACCAGTGGGCGCGTGGGAAAAGACGGGCATTGTCTCCGCGGCTGAGCTCATGGGCTGGGAGGTTTTGGCCTCCCTCAGGCCGGGGCTCGTGGAGGATGCTGACTCTGCCTCAGACCAAGTGGTTTCCGAAGAGCCGGGCACTGCTGCGGAAACTCTGCTTTCCCTCGTGACGGAAGGGGTCGCCATTGGAGAAGTCACTTCGGGGGGCGCTGACTCACCTGGCACAGAGGAAGGTGTTTCCTGTCCTGAGCGGGTGGTCCTCGCGCTGGTCTCAGCTGTGTGTCCGGGAAGGTGAAATGCCTCTGTGCCTGTGGAGGCTGCAGAGGAGTCCAGGCTCCGCGCTGTGCTCTCGCTCACATGTGCAGTGGAACGGGCTCCGGGATCCACGCTTGTGCCCAAGGCGTCAGTGGCCGGCAGCAGGCCAGAGGTCCAGACGGAGGTGACGAGAGGAGGAGGGGAGGACGCGCTCTCTCGTGTTGTAGGAGCAACTGGGGACGGGGAGGCTGTGCTGGGGGCCGATTGCACGGAGGAAGAGCCGCTTGTCTCCTCAAAGGGAGGACGTGTCCTGGACACATGCTCCGGGCCCCTGCTCCCGGGAGTCGTCACCGGTGAGTGTGTGAAACCTTGAGTGGCAGCCCCGTGAGTCCCTGGGCTGGAGGCGGTGGTCCAGGTGTCCAAGGCAGTTGTGCCCGGCGACGTAGCCCCAGGGTGACCACTTGGCGTGGTGAGGGTCCCTTCGGCGGCTCCTGTCATGACTGGGGAGGACGAGAGCCCCGGCATGCCTGTGGAGATGTCTGGTGTCATGGTGGACTGAGCCGGGCCAGAGGAGACTGTCCCGCTGGAGGACATGCCTTCTGTCCCGGAGACCTCCGTAGCACCATCACCAGTGGGCTCGTGGGAATAGACGGGCATTGTCTCCGCGGCTGAGCTCATGGGCTGGGAGGTTTTGGCCTCCCTCAGGCCGGGGCTCGTGGAGGATGCTGACTCTGCCTCAGACCAAGTGGTTTCCGAAGAGCCGGGCACTGCTGCGGAAACTCTGCTTTCCCTCGTGACGGAAGGGGTCGCCATTGGAGAAGTCACTTCGGGGGGCGCTGACTCACCTGGCACAGAGGAAGGTGTTTCCTGTCCTGAGCGGGTGGTCCTCGCGCTGGTCTCAGCTGTGTGTCCGGGAAGGTGAACTGCCTCTGTGCCTGTGGAGGCTGCAGAGGAGTCCAGGCTCCGCGCTGTGCTCTCGCTCACATGTGCAGTGGAACAGGCTCCGGGATCCACGCTTGTGCCCAAGGCGTCAGTGGCCGGCAGCAGGCCAGAGGTCCAGACGGAGGTGACGAGAGGAGGAGGGGAGGACGCGCTCTCTCGTGTTGTAGGAGCAACTGGGGACGGGGAGGCTGTGCTGGGGGCCGATTGCACGGAGGAAGAGCTGCTTGTCTCCTCAAAGGGAGGACGTGTCCTGGACACATGCTCCGGGCCCCTGCTCCCGGGAGTCGTCACCGGTGAGTGTGTGAAACCTTGAGTGGCAGCCCCGTGAGTCCCTGGGCTGGAGGCGGTGGTCCAGGTGTCCAAGGCAGTTGTGCCCGGCGACGTAGCCCCAGGGTGACCACTTGGCGTGGTGAGGGTCCCTTCCGCGGCTCCTGTCATGACTGGGGACGTCGAGAGCCCCGGCATGCCTGTGGAGATGTCTGGTGTCATGGTGGACTGAGCCGGGACAGAGGAGACTGTCCCGCTGGAGGACATGCCTTCTGTCCCGGAGACCTCCGTGGCACCATCACGAGTGGGCGCGTGGGAAGAGACGGGCATTGTCTCCGCGGCTGAGCTCATGGGCTGGGAGGTGCTGGCCTCCCTCAGGCCGGGGCTCGTGGAGGATGCTGACTCTGCCTCAGACCAAGTGGTTTCCGAAGAGCCGGGCACTGCTGCGGAAACTCTGCTTTCCCTCGTGACGGAAGGGGTCGCCACTGGAGAAGTCACTTCGGGGGGCGCTGACTCACCTGGCACAGAGGAAGGTGTTTCCTGTCCTGACCGGGTGGTCCCCGCGCTGGTCTCAGCTGTGTGTCCGGGAAGGTGAACTGCCTCTGTGCCTGTGGAGGCTGCAGAGGAGTCCAGGCTCCGCGCTGTGCTCTCGCTCACATGTGCAGTGGAACGGGCTCCGGGATCCACGCTTGTGCCCAAGGCGTCAGTGGCCGGCAGCAGGCCAGAGGTCCAGACGGAGGTGACGAGAGGAGGAGGGGAGGACGCGCTCTCTCGTGTTGTAGGAGCAACTGGGGACGGGGAGGCTGTGCTGGGGGCCGATTGCACGGAGGAAGAGCTGCTTGTCTCCTCAAAGGGAGGACGTGTCCTGGACACATGCTCCGGGCCTCTGCTCCCGGGAGTCGTCACCGGTGAGTGTGTGAAACCTTGAGTGGCAGCCCCGTGAGTCCCTGGGCTGGAGGCGGTGGTCCAGGTGTCCAAGGCAGTTGTGCCCGGCGACGTAGCCCCAGGGTGACCACTTGGCGTGGTGAGGGTCCCTTCGGCGGCTCCTGTCATGACTGGGGACGTCGAGAGCCCCGGCATGCCTGTGGAGATGTCTGGTGTCATGGTGGACTGAGCCGGGCCAGAGGAGACTGTCCCGCTGGAGGACATGCCTTCTGTCCCGGAGACCTCCGTAGCACCATCACCAGTGGGCGCGTGGGAAGAGACGGGCATTGTCTCCGCGGCTGAGCTCATGGGCTGGGAGGTGCTGGCCTCCCTCAGGCCGGGGCTCGTGGAGGATGCTGACTCTGCCTCAGACCAAGTGGTTTCCGAAGAGCCGGGCACTGCTGCGGAAACTCTGCTTTCCCTCGTGACGGAAGGGGTCGCCACTGGAGAAGTCACTTCGGGGGGCGCTGACTCACCTGGCACAGAGGAAGGTGTTTCCTGTCCTGACCTGGTGGTCCCCGCGCTGGTCTCAGCTGTGTGTCCGGGAAGGTGAACTGCCTCTGTGCCTGTGGAGGCTGCAGAGGAGTCCAGGCTCCGCGCTGTGCTCTCGCTCACATGTGCAGTGGAACGGGCTCCGGGATCCACGCTTGTGCCCAAGGCGTCAGTGGCCGGCAGCAGGCCAGAGGTCCAGACGGAGGTGACGAGAGGAGGAGGGGAGGACGCGCTCTCTCGTGTTGTAGGAGCAACTGGGGACGGGGAGGCTGTGCTGGGGGCCGATTGCACGGAGGAAGAGCTGCTTGTCTCCTCAAAGGGAGGACGTGTCCTGGACACATGCTCCGGGCCCCTGCTCCCGGGAGTCGTCACCGGTGAGTGTGTGAAACCTTGAGTGGCAGCCCCGTGAGTCCCTGGGCTGGAGGCGGTGGTCCAGGTGTCCAAGGCAGTTGTGCCCGGCGACGTAGCCCCAGGGTGACCACTTGGCGTGGTGAGGGTCCCTTCGGCGGCTCCTGTCATGACTGGGGAGGTCGAGAGCCCCGGCATGCCTGTGGAGATGTCTGGTGTCATGGTGGACTGAGCCGGGACAGAGGAGACTGTCCCGCTGGAGGACATGCCTTCTGTCCCGGAGACCTCCGTGGCACCATCACGAGTGGGCGCGTGGGAAGAGACGGGCATTGTCTCCGCGGCTGAGCTCATGGGCTGGGAGGTGCTGGCCTCCCTCAGGCCGGGGCTCGTGGAGGATGCTGACTCTGCCTCAGACCAAGTGGTTTCCGAAGAGCCGGGCACTGCTGCGGAAACTCTGCTTTCCCTCGTGACGGAAGGGGTCGCCACTGGAGAAGTCACTTCGGGGGGCGCTGACTCACCTGGCACAGAGGAAGGTGTTTCCTGTCCTGACCTGGTGGTCCCCGCGCTGGTCTCAGCTGTGTGTCCGGGAAGGTGAACTGCCTCTGTGCCTGTGGAGGCTGCAGAGGAGTCCAGGCTCCGCGCTGTGCTCTCGCTCACATGTGCAGTGGAACGGGCTCCGGGATCCACGCTTGTGCCCAAGGCGTCAGTGGCCGGCAGCAGGCCAGAGGTCCAGACGGAGGTGACGAGAGGAGGAGGGGAGGACGCGCTCTCTCGTGTTGTAGGAGCAACTGGGGACGGGGAGGCTGTGCTGGGGGCCGATTGCACGGAGGAAGAGCCGCTTGTCTCCTCAAAGGGAGGACGTGTCCTGGACACATGCTCCGGGCCTCTGCTCCCGGGAGTCGTCACCGGTGAGTGTGTGAAACCTTGAGTGGCAGCCCCTTGAGTCCCTGGGCTGGAGGCGGTGGTCCAGGTGTCCAAGGCAGTTGTGCCCGGCGACGTAGCCCCAGGGTGACCACTTGGCGTGGTGAGGGTCCCTTCGGCGGCTCCTGTCATGACTGGGGAGGTACGAGAGCCCCGGCATGCCTGTGGAGATGTCTGGTGTCATGGTGGACTGAGCCGGGACAGAGGAGACTGTCCCGCTGGAGGACATGCCTTCTGTCCCGGAGACCTCCGTAGCACCATCACCAGTGGGCGCGTGGGAAGAGACGGGCATTGTCTCCGCGGCTGAGCTCATGGGCTGGGAGGTGCTGGCCTCCCTCAGGCCGGGGCTCGTGGAGGATGCTGACTCTGCCTCAGACCAAGTGGTTTCCGAAGAGCCGGGCACTGCTGCGGAAACTCTGCTTTCCCTCGTGACGGAAGGGGTCGCCACTGGAGAAGTCACTTCGGGGGGCGCTGACTCACCTGGCACAGAGGAAGGTGTTTCCTGTCCTGACCGGGTGGTCCCCGCGCTGGTCTCAGCTGTGTGTCCGGGAAGGTGAACTGCCTCTGTGCCTGTGGAGGCTGCAGAGGAGTCCAGGCTCCGCGCTGTGCTCTCGCTCACATGTGCAGTGGAACGGGCTCCGGGATCCACGCTTGTGCCCAAGGCGTCAGTGGCCGGCAGCAGGCCAGAGGTCCAGACGAAGGTGACGAGAGGAGGAGGGGAGGACGCGCTCTCTCGTGTTGTAGGAGCAACTGGGGACGGGGAGGCTGTGCTGGGGGCCGATTGCACGGAGGAAGAGCTGCTTGTCTCCTCAAAGGGAGGACGTGTCCTGGACACATGCTCCGGGCCCCTGCTCCCGGGAGTCGTCACCGGTGAGTGTGTGAAACCTTGAGTGGCAGCCCCGTGAGTCCCTGGGCTGGAGGCGGTGGTCCAGGTGTCCAAGGCAGTTGTGCCCGGCGACGTAGCCCCAGGGTGACCACTTGGCGTGGTGAGGGTCCCTTCGGCGGCTACTGTCATGACTGGGGAGGACGAGAGCCCCGGCATGCCTGTGGAGATGTCTGGTGTCATGGTGGACTGAGCCGGGCCAGAGGAGACTGTCCCGCTGGAGGACATGCCTTCTGTCCCGGAGACCTCCGTAGCACCATCACCAGTGGGCGCGTGGGAAGAGACGGGCATTGTCTCCGCGGCTGAGCTCATGGGCTGGGAGGTGCTGGCCTCCCTCAGGCCGGGGCTCGTGGAGGATGCTGACTCTGCCTCAGACCAAGTGGTTTCCGAAGAGCCGGGCACTGCTGCGGAAACTCTGCTTTCCCTCGTGACGGAAGGGGTCGCCACTGGAGAAGTCACTTCGGGGGGCGCTGACTCACCTGGCACAGAGGAAGGTGTTTCCTGTCCTGACCGGGTGGTCCCCGCGCGGGTCTCAGCTGTGTGTCCGGGAAGGTGAACTGCCTCTGTGCCTGTGGAGGCTGCAGAGGAGTCCAGGCTCCGCGCTGTGCTCTCGCTCACATGTGCAGTGGAACGGGCTCCGGGATCCACGCTTGTGCCCAAGGCGTCAGTGGCCGGCAGCAGGCCAGAGGTCCAGACGGAGGTGACGAGAGGAGGAGGGGAGGACGCGCTCTCTCGTGTTGTAGGAGCAACTGGGGACGGGGAGGCTGTGCTGGGGGCCGATTGCACGGAGGAAGAGCTGCTTGTCTCCTCAAAGGGAGGACGTGTCCTGGACACATGCTCCGGGCCCCTGCTCCCGGGAGTCGTCACCGGTGAGTGTGTGAAACCTTGAGTGGCAGCCCCGTGAGTCCCTGGGCTGGAGGCGGTGGTCCAGGTGTCCAAGGCAGTTGTGCCCGGCGACGTAGCCCCAGGGTGACCACTTGGCGTGGTGAGGGTCCCTTCGGCGGCTCCTGTCATGACTGGGGAGGTCGAGAGCCCCGGCATGCCTGTGGAGATGTCTGGTGTCATGGTGGACTGAGCCGGGACAGAGGAGACTGTCCCGCTGGAGGACATGCCTTCTGTCCCGGAGACCTCCGTGGCACCATCACGAGTGGGCGCGTGGGAAGAGACGGGCATTGTCTCCGCGGCTGAGCTCATGGGCTGGGAGGTGCTGGCCTCCCTCAGGCCGGGGCTCGTGGAGGATGCTGACTCTGCCTCAGACCAAGTGGTTTCCGAAGAGCCGGGCACTGCTGCGGAAACTCTGCTTTCCCTCGTGACGGAAGGGGTCGCCACTGGAGAAGTCACTTCGGGGGGCGCTGACTCACCTGGCACAGAGGAAGGTGTTTCCTGTCCTGACCGGGTGGTCCCCGCGCTGGTCTCAGCTGTGTGTCCGGGAAGGTGAACTGCCTCTGTGCCTGTGGAGGCTGCAGAGGAGTCCAGGCTCCGCGCTGTGCTCTCGCTCACATGTGCAGTGGAACGGGCTCCGGGATCCACGCTTGTGCCCAAGGCGTCAGTGGCCGGCAGCAGGCCAGAGGTCCAGACGGAGGTGACGAGAGGAGGAGGGGAGGACGCGCTCTCTCGTGTTGTAGGAGCAACTGGGGACGGGGAGGCTGTGCTGGGGGCCGATTGCACGGAGGAAGAGCTGCTTGTCTCCTCAAAGGGAGGACGTGTCCTGGACACATGCTCCGGGCCCCTGCTCCCGGGAGTCGTCACCGGTGAGTGTGTGAAACCTTGAGTGGCAGCCCCGTGAGTCCCTGGGCTGGAGGCGGTGGTCCAGGTGTCCAAGGCAGTTGTGCCCGGCGACGTAGCCCCAGGGTGACCACTTGGCGTGGTGAGGGTCCCTTCGGCGGCTCCTGTCATGACTGGGGAGGTCGAGAGCCCCGGCATGCCTGTGGAGATGTCTGGTGTCATGGTGGACTGAGCCGGGACAGAGGAGACTGTCCCGCTGGAGGACATGCCTTCTGTCCCGGAGACCTCCGTGGCACCATCACGAGTGGGCGCGTGGGAAGAGACGGGCATTGTCTCCGCGGCTGAGCTCATGGGCTGGGAGGTGCTGGCCTCCCTCAGGCCGGGGCTCGTGGAGGATGCTGACTCTGCCTCAGACCAAGTGGTTTCCGAAGAGCCGGGCACTGCTGCGGAAACTCTGCTTTCCCTCGTGACGGAAGGGGTCGCCACTGGAGAAGTCACTTCGGGGGGCGCTGACTCACCTGGCACAGAGGAAGGTGTTTCCTGTCCTGACCTGGTGGTCCCCGCGCTGGTCTCAGCTGTGTGTCCGGGAAGGTGAACTGCCTCTGTGCCTGTGGAGGCTGCAGAGGAGTCCAGGCTCCGCGCTGTGCTCTCGCTCACATGTGCAGTGGAACGGGCTCCGGGATCCACGCTTGTGCCCAAGGCGTCAGTGGCCGGCAGCAGGCCAGAGGTCCAGACGGAGGTGACGAGAGGAGGAGGGGAGGACGCGCTCTCTCGTGTTGTAGGAGCAACTGGGGACGGGGAGGCTGTGCTGGGGGCCGATTGCACGGAGGAAGAGCTGCTTGTCTCCTCAAAGGGAGGACGTGTCCTGGACACATGCTCCGGGCCTCTGCTCCCGGGAGTCGTCACCGGTGAGTGTGTGAAACCTTGAGTGGCAGCCCCTTGAGTCCCTGGGCTGGAGGCGGTGGTCCAGGTGTCCAAGGCAGTTGTGCCCGGCGACGTAGCCCCAGGGTGACCACTTGGCGTGGTGAGGGTCCCTTCGGCGGCTACTGTCATGACTGGGGAGGACGAGAGCCCCGGCATGCCTGTGGAGATGTCTGGTGTCATGGTGGACTGAGCCGGGACAGAGGAGACTGTCCCGCTGGAGGACATGCCTTCTGTCCCGGAGACCTCCGTGGCACCATCACGAGTGGGCGCGTGGGAAGAGACGGGCATTGTCTCCGCGGCTGAGCTCATGGGCTGGGAGGTGCTGGCCTCCCTCAGGCCGGGGCTCGTGGAGGATGCTGACTCTGCCTCAGACCAAGTGGTTTCCGAAGAGCCGGGCACTGCTGCGGAAACTCTGCTTTCCCTCGTGACGGAAGGGGTCGCCACTGGAGAAGTCACTTCGGGGGGCGCTGACTCACCTGGCACAGAGGAAGGTGTTTCCTGTCCTGACCGGGTGGTCCCCGCGCTGGTCTCAGCTGTGTGTCCGGGAAGGTGAACTGCCTCTGTGCCTGTGGAGGCTGCAGAGGAGTCCAGGCTCCGCGCTGTGCTCTCGCTCACATGTGCAGTGGAACGGTCTCCGGGATCCACGCTGGTGCCCAAGGCGTCAGTGGCCGGCAGCAGGCCAGAGGTCCAGACGGAGGTGACGAGAGGAGGAGGGGAGGACGCGCTCTCTCGTGTTGTAAGAGCAACTGGGGACGGGGAGGCTGTGCTGGGGGCCGATTGCACGGAGGAAGAGCTGCTTGTCTCCTCAAAGGGAGGACGTGTCCTGGACACATGCTCCGGGCCCCTGCTCCCGGGAGTCGGCACCGGTGAGTGTGTGAAACCTTGAGTGGCAGCCCCGTGAGTCCCTGGGCTGGAGGCGGTGGTCCAGGTGTCCAAGGCAGTTGTGCCCGGCGACGTAGCCCCAGGGTGACCACTTGGCGTGGTGAGGGTCCCTTCCGCGGCTCCTGTCATGACTGGGGACGTCGAGAGCCCCGGCATGCCTGTGGAGATGTCTGGTGTCATGGTGGACTGAGCCGGGCCAGAGGAGACTGTCCCGCTGGAGGACATGCCTTCTGTCCCGGAGACCTCCGTAGCACCATCACCAGTGGGCGCGTGGGAAGAGACGGGCATTGTCTCCGCGGCTGAGCTCATGGGCTGGGAGGTGCTGGCCTCCCTCAGGCCGGGGCTCGTGGAGGATGCTGACTCTGCCTCAGACCAAGTGGTTTCCGAAGAGCCGGGCACTGCTGCGGAAACTCTGCTTTCCCTCGTGACGGAAGGGGTCGCCACTGGAGAAGTCACTTCGGGGGGCGCTGACTCACCTGGCACAGAGGAAGGTGTTTCCTGTCCTGACCGGGTGGTCCCCGCGCTGGTCTCAGCTGTGTGTCCGGGAAGGTGAACTGCCTCTGTGCCTGTGGAGGCTGCAGAGGAGTCCAGGCTCCGCGCTGTGCTCTCGCTCACATGTGCAGTGGAACGGGCTCCGGGATCCACGCTTGTGCCCAAGGCGTCAGTGGCCGGCAGCAGGCCAGAGGTCCAGACGGAGGTGACGAGAGGAGGAGGGGAGGACGCGCTCTCTCGTGTTGTAGGAGCAACTGGGGACGGGGAGGCTGTGCTGGGGGCCGATTGCACGGAGGAAGAGCTGCTTGTCTCCTCAAAGGGAGGACGTGTCCTGGACACATGCTCCGGGCCCCTGCTCCCGGGAGTCGTCACCGGTGAGTGTGTGAAACCTTGAGTGGCAGCCCCGTGAGTCCCTGGGCTGGAGGCGGCGGTCCAGGTGTCCAAGGCAGTTGTGCCCGGCGACGTAGCCCCAGGGTGACCACTTGGCGTGGTGAGGGTCCCTTCGGCGGCTCCTGTCATGACTGGGGAGGACGAGAGCCCCGGCATGCCTGTGGAGATGTCTGGTGTCATGGTGGACTGAGCCGGGACAGAGGAGACTGTCCCGCTGGAGGACATGCCTTCTGTCCCGGAGACCTCCGTGGCACCATCACGAGTGGGCGCGTGGGAAGAGACGGGCATTGTCTCCGCGGCTGAGCTCATGGGCTGGGAGGTGCTGGCCTCCCTCAGGCCGGGGCTCGTGGAGGATGCTGACTCTGCCTCAGACCAAGTGGTTTCCGAAGAGCCGGGCACTGCTGCGGAAACTCTGCTTTCCCTCGTGACGGAAGGGGTCGCCACTGGAGAAGTCACTTCGGGGGGCGCTGACTCACCTGGCACAGAGGAAGGTGTTTCCTGTCCTGACCGGGTGGTCCCCGCGCTGGTCTCAGCTGTGTGTCCGGGAAGGTGAACTGCCTCTGTGCCTGTGGAGGCTGCAGAGGAGTCCAGGCTCCGCGCTGTGCTCTCGCTCACATGTGCAGTGGAACGGGCTCCGGGATCCACGCTTGTGCCCAAGGCGTCAGTGGCCGGCAGCAGGCCAGAGGTCCAGACGGAGGTGACGAGAGGAGGAGGGGAGGACGCGCTCTCTCGTGTTGTAGGAGCAACTGGGGACGGGGAGGCTGTGCTGGGGGCCGATTGCACGGAGGAAGAGCTGCTTGTCTCCTCAAAGGGAGGACGTGTCCTGGACACATGCTCCGGGCCCCTGCTCCCGGGAGTCGTCACCGGTGAGTGTGTGAAACCTTGAGTGGCAGCCCCGTGAGTCCCTGGGCTGGAGGCGGTGGTCCAGGTGTCCAAGGCAGTTGTGCCCGGCGACGTAGCCCCAGGGTGACCACTTGGCGTGGTGAGGGTCCCTTCGGCGGCTCCTGTCATGACTGGGGAGGTCGAGAGCCCCGGCATGCCTGTGGAGATGTCTGGTGTCATGGTGGACTGAGCCGGGCCAGAGGAGACTGTCCCGCTGGAGGACATGCCTTCTGTCCCGGAGACCTCCGTAGCACCATCACCAGTGGGCGCGTGGGAAGAGACGGGCATTGTCTCCGCGGCTGAGCTCATGGGCTGGGAGGTGCTGGCCTCCCTCAGGCCGGGGCTCGTGGAGGATGCTGACTCTGCCTCAGACCAAGTGGTTTCCGAAGAGCCGGGCACTGCTGCGGAAACTCTGCTTTCCCTCGTGACGGAAGGGGTCGCCACTGGAGAAGTCACTTCGGGGGGCGCTGACTCACCTGGCACAGAGGAAGGTGTTTCCTGTCCTGACCTGGTGGTCCCCGCGCTGGTCTCAGCTGTGTGTCCGGGAAGGTGAACTGCCTCTGTGCCTGTGGAGGCTGCAGAGGAGTCCAGGCTCCGCGCTGTGCTCTCGCTCACATGTGCAGTGGAACGGGCTCCGGGATCCACGCTTGTGCCCAAGGCGTCAGTGGCCGGCAGCAGGCCAGAGGTCCAGACGGAGGTGACGAGAGGAGGAGGGGAGGACGCGCTCTCTCGTGTTGTAGGAGCAACTGGGGACGGGGAGGCTGTGCTGGGGGCCGATTGCACGGAGGAAGAGCTGCTTGTCTCCTCAAAGGGAGGACGTGTCCTGGACACATGCTCCGGGCCTCTGCTCCCGGGAGTCGTCACCGGTGAGTGTGTGAAACCTTGAGTGGCAGCCCCGTGAGTCCCTGGGCTGGAGGCGGTGGTCCAGGTGTCCAAGGCAGTTGTGCCCGGCGACGTAGCCCCAGGGTGACCACTTGGCGTGGTGAGGGTCCCTTCGGCGGCTCCTGTCATGACTGGGGAGGACGAGAGCCCCGGCATGCCTGTGGAGATGTCTGGTGTCATGGTGGACTGAGACGGGCCAGAGGAGACTGTCCCGCTGGAGGACATGCCTTCTGTCCCGGAGACCTCCGTAGCACCATCACCAGTGGGCGCGTGGGAAGAGACGGGCATTGTCTCCGCGGCTGAGCTCATGGGCTGGGAGGTGCTGGCCTCCCTCAGGCCGGGGCTCGTGGAGGATGCTGACTCTGCCTCAGACCAAGTGGTTTCCGAAGAGCCGGGCACTGCTGCGGAAACTCTGCTTTCCCTCGTGACGGAAGGGGTCGCCACTGGAGAAGTCACTTCGGGGGGCGCTGACTCACCTGGCACAGAGGAAGGTGTTTCCTGTCCTGACCGGGTGGTCCCCGCGCTGGTCTCAGCTGTGTGTCCGGGAAGGTGAACTGCCTCTGTGCCTGTGGAGGCTGCAGAGGAGTCCAGGCTCCGCGCTGTGCTCTCGCTCACATGTGCAGTGGAACGGGCTCCGGGATCCACGCTGGTGCCCAAGGCGTCAGTGGCCGGCAGCAGGCCAGAGGTCCAGACGGAGGTGACGAGAGGAGGAGGGGAGGACGCGCTCTCTCGTGTTGTAAGAGCAACTGGGGACGGGGAGGCTGTGCTGGGGGCCGATTGCACGGAGGAAGAGCTGCTTGTCTCCTCAAAGGGAGGACGTGTCCTGGACACATGCTCCGGGCCCCTGCTCCCGGGAGTCGTCACCGGTGAGTGTGTGAAACCTTGAGTGGCAGCCCCGTGAGTCCCTGGGCTGGAGGCGGTGGTCCAGGTGTCCAAGGCAGTTGTGCCCGGCGACGTAGCCCCAGGGTGACCACTTGGCGTGGTGAGGGTCCCTTCGGCGGCTCCTGTCATGACTGGGGACGTCGAGAGCCCCGGCATGCCTGTGGAGATGTCTGGTGTCATGGTGGACTGAGCCGGGCCAGAGGAGACTGTCCCGCTGGAGGACATGCCTTCTGTCCCGGAGACCTCCGTGGCACCATCACCAGTGGCGCGTGGGAAGAGACGGGCATTGTCTCCGCGGCTGAGCTCATGGGCTGGGAGGTGCTGGCCTCCCTCAGGCCGGGGCTCGTGGAGGATGCTGACTCTGCCTCAGACCGAGTGGTTTCCGAAGAGCCGGGCACTGCTGCGGAAACTCTGCTTTCCCTCGTGACGGAAGGGGTCGCCACTGGAGAAGTCACTTCGGGGGGCGCTGACTCACCTGGCACAGAGGAAGGTGTTTCCTGTCCTGACCGGGTGGTCCCCGCGCTGGTCTCAGCTGTGTGTCCGGGAAGGTGAACTGCCTCTGTGCCTGTGGAGGCTGCAGAGGAGTCCAGGCTCCGCGCTGTGCTCTCGCTCACATGTGCAGTGGAACGGGCTCCGGGATCCACGCTTGTGCCCAAGGCGTCAGTGGCCGGCAGCAGGCCAGAGGTCCAGACGGAGGTGACGAGAGGAGGAGGGGAGGACGCGCTCTCTCGTGTTGTAGGAGCAACTGGGGACGGGGAGGCTGTGCTGGGGGCCGATTGCACGGAGGAAGAGCTGCTTGTCTCCTCAAAGGGAGGACGTGTCCTGGACACATGCTCCGGGCCCCTGCTCCCGGGAGTCGTCACCGGTGAGTGTGTGAAACCTTGAGTGGCAGCCCCGTGAGTCCCTGGGCTGGAGGCGGTGGTCCAGGTGTCCAAGGCAGTTGTGCCCGGCGACGTAGCCCCAGGGTGACCACTTGGCGTGGTGAGGGTCCCTTCGGCGGCTCCTGTCATGACTGGGGAGGTCGAGAGCCCCGGCATGCCTGTGGAGATGTCTGGTGTCATGGTGGACTGAGCCGGGCCAGAGGAGACTGTCCCGCTGGAGGACATGCCTTCTGTCCCGGAGACCTCCGTGGCACCATCACGAGTGGGCGCGTGGGAAGAGACGGGCATTGTCTCCGCGGCTGAGCTCATGGGCTGGGAGGTGCTGGCCTCCCTCAGGCCGGGGCTCGTGGAGGATGCTGACTCTGCCTCAGACCGAGTGGTTTCCGAAGAGCCGGGCACTGCTGCGGAAACTCTGCTTTCCCTCGTGACGGAAGGGGTCGCCACTGGAGAAGTCACTTCGGGGGGCGCTGACTCACCTGGCACAGAGGAAGGTGTTTCCTGTCCTGACCGGGTGGTCCCCGCGCTGGTCTCAGCTGTGTGTCCGGGAAGGTGAACTGCCTCTGTGCCTGTGGAGGCTGCAGAGGAGTCCAGGCTCCGCGCTGTGCTCTCGCTCACATGTGCAGTGGAACGGGCTCCGGGATCCACGCTTGTGCCCAAGGCGTCAGTGGCCGGCAGCAGGCCAGAGGTCCAGACGGAGGTGACGAGAGGAGGAGGGGAGGACGCGCTCTCTCGTGTTGTTGGAGCAACTGGGGACGGGGAGGCTGTGCTGGGGGCCGATTGCACGGAGGAAGAGCTGCTTGTCTCCTCAAAGGGAGGACGTGTCCTGGACACATGCTCCGGACCCCTGCTCCCGGGAGTCGTCACCGGTGAGTGTGTGAAACCTTGAGTGGCAGCCCCGTGAGTCCCTGGGCTGGAGGCGGTGGTCCAGGTGTCCAAGGCAGTTGTGCCCGGCGACGTAGCCCCAGGGTGACCACTTGGCGTGGTGAGGGTCCCTTCGGCGGCTCCTGTCATGACTGGGGAGGTCGAGAGCCCCGGCATGCCTGTGGAGATGTCTGGTGTCATGGTGGACTGAGCCGGGCCAGAGGAGACTGTCCCGCTGGAGGACATGCCTTCTGTCCCGGAGACCTCCGTGGCACCATCACGAGTGGGCGCGTGGGAAGAGACGGGCATTGTCTCCGCGGCTGAGCTCATGGGCTGGGAGGAGCTGGCCTCCCTCAGGCCGGGGCTCGTGGAGGATGCTGACTCTGCCTCAGACCAAGTGGTTTCCGAAGAGCCGGGCACTGCTGCGGAAACTCTGCTTTCCCTCGTGACGGAAGGGGTCGCCACTGGAGAAGTCACTTCGGGGGGCGCTGACTCACCTGGCACAGAGGAAGGTGTTTCCTGTCCTGACCTGGTGGTCCCCGCGCTGGTCTCAGCTGTGTGTCCGGGAAGGTGAACTGCCTCTGTGCCTGTGGAGGCTGCAGAGGAGTCCAGGCTCCGCGCTGTGCTCTCGCTCACATGTGCAGTGGAACGGGCTCCGGGATCCACGCTTGTGCCCAAGGCGTCAGTGGCCGGCAGCAGGCCAGAGGTCCAGACGGAGGTGACGAGAGGAGGAGGGGAGGACGCGCTCTCTCGTGTTGTAAGAGCAACTGGGGACGGGGAGGCTGTGCTGGGGGCCGATTGCACGGAGGAAGAGCTGCTTGTCTCCTCAAAGGGAGGACGTGTCCTGGACACATGCTCCGGGCCCCTGCTCCCGGGAGTCGTCACCGGTGAGTGTGTGAAACCTTGAGTGGCAGCCCCGTGAGTCCCTGGGCTGGAGGCGGTGGTCCAGGTGTCCAAGGCAGTTGTGCCCGGCGACGTAGCCCCAGGGTGACCACTTGGCGTGGTGAGGGTCCCTTCGGCGGCTCCTGTCATGACTGGGGACGTCGAGAGCCCCGGCATGCCTGTGGAGATGTCTGGTGTCATGGTGGACTGAGCCGGGCCAGAGGAGACTATCCCGCTGGAGGACATGCCTTCTGTCCCGGAGACCTCCGTAGCACCATCACCAGTGGGCGCGTGGGAAGAGACGGGCATTGTCTCCGCGGCTGAGCTCATGGGCTGGGAGGTGCTGGCCTCCCTCAGGCCGGGGCTCGTGGAGGATGCTGACTCTGCCTCAGACCGAGTGGTTTCCGAAGAGCCGGGCACTGCTGCGGAAACTCTGCTTTCCCTCGTGACGGAAGGGGTCGCCACTGGAGAAGTCACTTCGGGGGGCGCTGACTCACCTGGCACAGAGGAAGGTGTTTCCTGTCCTGACCTGGTGGTCCCCGCGCTGGTCTCAGCTGTGTGTCCGGGAAGGTGAACTGCCTCTGTGCCTGTGGAGGCTGCAGAGGAGTCCAGGCTCCGCGCTGTGCTCTCGCTCACATGTGCAGTGGAACGGGCTCCGGGATCCACGCTTGTGCCCAAGGCGTCAGTGGCCGGCAGCAGGCCAGAGGTCCAGACGGAGGTGACGAGAGGAGGAGGGGAGGACGCGCTCTCTCGTGTTGTAGGAGCAACTGGGGACGGGGAGGCTGTGCGGGGGGCCGATTGCACGGAGGAAGAGCTGCTTGTCTCCTCAAAGGGAGGACGTGTCCTGGACACATGCTCCGGGCCCCTGCTCCCGGGAGTCGTCACCGGTGAGTGTGTGAAACCTTGAGTGGCAGCCCCGTGAGTCCCTGGGCTGGAGGCGGTGGTCCAGGTGTCCAAGGCAGTTGTGCCCGGCGACGTAGCCCCAGGGTGACCACTTGGCGTGGTGAGGGTCCCTTCGGCGGCTCCTGTCATGACTGGGGACGTCGAGAGCCCGGGCATGCCTGTGGAGATGTCTGGTGTCATGGTGGACTGAGCCGGGCCAGAGGAGACTGTCGCGCTGGAGGACATGCCTTCTGTCCCGGAGACCTCCGTAGCACCATCACCAGTGGGCGCGTGGGAAGAGACGGGCATTGTCTCCGCGGCTGAGCTCATGGGCTGGGAGGTGCTGGCCTCCCTCAGGCCGGGGCTCGTGGAGGATGCTGACTCTGCCTCAGACCGAGTGGTTTCCAAAGAGCCGGGCACTGCTGCGGAAACTCTGCTTTCCCTCGTGACGGAAGGGGTCGCCACTGGAGAAGTCACTTCGGGGGGCGCTGACTCACCTGGCACAGAGGAAGGTGTTTCCTGTCCTGACCGGGTGGTCCCCGCGCTGGTCTCAGCTGTGTGTCCGGGAAGGTGAACTGCCTCTGTGCCTGTGGAGGCTGCAGAGGAGTCCAGGCTCCGCGCTGTGCTCTCGCTCACATGTGCAGTGGAACGGGCTCCGGGATCCACGCTTGTGCCCAAGGCGTCAGTGGCCGGCAGCAGGCCAGAGGTCCAGACGGAGGGTGACGAGAGGAGGAGGGGAGGACGCGCTCTCTCGTGTTGTAGGAGCAACTGGGGACGGGGAGGCTGTGCTGGGGGCCGATTGCACGGAGGAAGAGCTGCTTGTCTCCTCAAAGGGAGGACGTGTCCTGGACACATGCTCCGGGCCCCTGCTCCCGGGAGTCGTCACCGGTGAGTGTGTGAAACCTTGAGTGGCAGCCCCGTGAGTCCCTGGGCTGGAGGCGGTGGTCCAGGTGTCCAAGGCAGTTGTGCCCGGCGACGTAGCCCCAGGGTGACCACTTGGCGTGGTGAGGGTCCCTTCGGCGGCTCCTGTCATGACTGGGGACGTCGAGAGCCCCGGCATGCCTGTGGAGATGTCTGGTGTCATGGTGGACTGAGCCGGGCCAGAGGAGACTGTCGCGCTGGAGGACATGCCTTCTGTCCCGGAGACCTCCGTAGCACCATCACCAGTGGGCGCGTGGGAAGAGACGGGCATTGTCTCCGCGGCTGAGCTCATGGGCTGGGAGGTGCTGGCCTCCCTCAGGCCGGGGCTCGTGGAGGATGCTGACTCTGCCTCAGACCGAGTGGTTTCCGAAGAGCCGGGCACTGCTGCGGAAACTCTGCTTTCCCTCGTGACGGAAGGGGTCGCCACTGGAGAAGTCACTTCGGGGGGCGCTGACTCACCTGGCACAGAGGAAGGTGTTTCCTGTCCTGACCGGGTGGTCCCCGCGCTGGTCTCAGCTGTGTGTCCGGGAAGGTGAACTGCCTCTGTGCCTGTGGAGGCTGCAGAGGAGTCCAGGCTCCGCGCTGTGCTCTCGCTCACATGTGCAGTGGAACGGGCTCCGGGATCCACGCTTGTGCCCAAGGCGTCAGTGGCCGGCAGCAGGCCAGAGGTCCAGACGGAGGTGACGAGAGGAGGAGGGAAGGGCGTGCTCTCACGTGTTGTAGGAGCACCTGGGGACGGGGAGGCTGTGCTGGGGGCCGATTGCACGGAGGAAGAGCTGCTTGTCTCCTCAAAGGGAGGACGTGTCCTGGACACATGCTCCGGGCCCCTGCTCCCGGGAGTCGTCACCGGTGAGTGTGTGAAACCTTGAGTGGCAGCCCCGTGAGTCCCTGGGCTGGAGGCGGTGGTCCAGGTGTCCAAGGCAGTTGTGCCCGGCGACGTAGCCCCAGGGTGACCACTTGGCGTGGTGAGGGTCCCTTCGGCGGCTTCTGTCATGACTGGGGAGGTCGAGAGCCCCGGCATGCCTGTGGAGATGTCTGGTGTCATGGTGGACTGAGCCGGGCCAGAGGAGACTGTCCCGCTGGAGGACATGCCTTCTGTCCCGGAGACCTCCGTAGCACCATCACCAGTGGGCGCGTGGGAAGAGACGGGCATTGTCTCCGCGGCTGAGCTCATGGGCTGGGAGGTGCTGGCCTCCCTCAGGCCGGGGCTCGTGGAGGATGCTGACTCTGCCTCAGACCAAGTGGTTTCCGAAGAGCCGGGCACTGCTGCGGAAACTCTGCTTTCCCTCGTGACGGAAGGGGTCGCCACTGGAGAAGTCACTTCGGGGGGCGCTGACTCACCTGGCACAGAGGAAGGTGTTTCCTGTCCTGACCGGGTGGTCCCCGCGCTGGTCTCAGCTGTGTGTCCGGGAAGGTGAACTGCCTCTGTGCCTGTGGAGGCTGCAGAGGAGTCCAGGCTCCGCGCTGTGCTCTCGCTCACATGTGCAGTGGAACGGGCTCCGGGATCCACGCTTGTGCCCAAGGCGTCAGTGGCCGGCAGCAGGCCAGAGGTCCAGACGGAGGTGACGAGAGGAGGAGGGGAGGACGCGCTCTCTCGTGTTGTAGGAGCAACTGGGGACGGGGAGGCTGTGCTGGGGGCCGATTGCACGGAGGACGAGCTGCTTGTCTCCTCAGAGGGAGGATGTGTCTTGGACACATTCTTGGGTCCCCTTTTGGGGAGTATGTTTTCATTTGTGTTTTTGAAGGTTTGCTTCATTGCTAAGAGGGGTCTTGATGATTTATCCACAGTAAATATTTTGAGTGTTTTTTCCCCTGAATATCTTGTTTTTTTAATGGTTTTACTTTCTGTTTCTAATGTGGGTGGCAGATTAGAGATCCGGGTTGTGTGTAATAAACTTGTAGTTTGAGGTTTGCCTTTAGTAAATGTTCTGTCCAAAGTTGTGGTTTCTTTGTTTATCTCTTTTGTAATACTAATAACACTTTTTGAAGGGATTATGTTTTCCTTTGTGGTTGAGTTGCTGACCATGTAATTACTGGACCCTCTTAATGTAGTCATTAGAGAATTATCACGCTCTGTTCTATTTTTGCAATATGGCCAGATAGTTTTTGATCTGAAAAGATTAGTTTTCTCAATGGTAGAGGCAGTATCAATTAGAGATATTTCTCGGGGTGCTCCTGAGCCGGGTCGGTCAATGAAATGAGTATTATATTCAGATGTTGTGATCCATACTCTTGTCTTACCTGTGTGTGTAGAAGGTTGAACTATCTCTAAGTCTATTTTGGACTCAGAATGTGGTATTTTCCCAGATGTGCTATTTGTCCTCCTTGAAGATGAATTTGTCCCAGATTCCAAGCTTGTGCTCAGTAGATCTGTGGACCTTGATAAGCCTGCAGAGTCATTAATCTCCTTGATTGTTCTTCCTAATTCAGAAGAGACATCTATAATCTTAGTGTTAATATATGTGCTTGAAGTTGAGCTTTCTTTTTCCATCCAGGAATCAGATGTTTCTGTTCCCTTGCTTGAGGGAGTCCTTAGCCCTTGACTCTGGAAAGCTGAATCTGGAGTTCTCTCCGTGTAAAAAACCTGTTCAAAAGTTTTTGCTTCTGGTCTGGACACATGTTCTGGATCTGCAGAAGTTGTAGCAGGAAGCTGGGAAGAACTCTTCTCTGATTCTTTGATGGCAAGATCTGGCTTCCCTGATAAAATTACTCTAGAGCTACTTACCACTGCAGTAGGTGTGACCCTGCTTATAGTGTGGTGTACAGTGGATGGCAGTTGTGAGGTAGTTGGGCTGATTATTCTCTCCAAAGGGATATCTGGAGGCACTGTAGCCATTTCTGGGCTTCTTGTGGGCATTCCTGTGATTAGAAAGTGAGTTGGTAGAAGATATGCAAATGGGAAAGAAGAGGAGTCCTCTGGTTGACAGTATCATTCATTTCTTCCAGATACTTCAATTCTAACTATTTTTTCTTCCCTCCAAAGAAAATGTTAACTCTTCCAAACCACACTAACTATCCCCAATGATATAATTGGGAAGATCTTTGACTCATCTTGCTTGCTCAGGAGAACTTGTAACTTGGAGCCCAGTCTTCCCCAAGCACTATATATATATAGCTCCCTTGACTCATCAGTGCCTGAAGGAGAAGGAAATGGAGGTGTTACCCTTTCATTCCCTCAGAATATGGGTCTGTGAGGAACATCCTTACTTAATACTGGCTTACCAATGTCCTCAAGTGTCTCCTCTGAGGAAGCATTTAAATAATATCTAGCATTTAAAGATTTAGAGGTTTAATTAAAGAGTAATTAAATCAAAACCTGACTATGGGCATGAGGAATGAAAAGCTGTTTGTTGATTGTGTAGACGGCTGATTTGGTCGGTCTCAAGCATATAAATGTTTGAAACACTGTCTCCTTAAAACCAGTAAGGTCTTTATCACTCTATTACACCTTTGCTCATTTTGAAATATTCATATGTACAATGAATTTAATATTACAATATTGTTTCAGTTATTGAAAAAGTTTGACTTCAGCTGTGTGTGAAGCCTCCCCCCACCAGCCAGAGGAGCCACCACAACTGTGAACAGCACCCACCAGAGGACTGCTACCAACTGAGGAACAGCTGCTACCACAACTGCCCGAGGAGCAACCGCAGCCTGAGGAGCCATTGCCACCCAAGGAGCAGCCACTGAACGACTCAACATCTAGATATGGCAGTACGATCAAACATGGGTAGACAAAGAAACCCCCAAAGGAAAGAAAAGAAGGACTCGCCAGAAAAGCAGCTAAGTGATACAGAGGCATGCAACATGGCAGAAAAAGAATTCAGATTAAGGGTCCTAGAATGCATAAACCAGATAGAGGAAAAAATCAACAACTTATGCAAGAAGCAAGAAGAAACAGATGAAAAAATCAATAAATTATGTAAGAACCAAGAAGAAATGAAGAGTGATATAGCTGCAGTAAAAAACACCATTGAAAGTTTCAACAGCAGACTAGGAGAAGCAGAGGAGTGAATTAGCGAATTAGAAGACAGGGAAACAAAACACACCCAAAATGAACAGCAATTGGAGAAAAAAATTAAAAGACAGGAGGAGAGACTAAGGGAGCTATGGGACAACATGAAACAAAACAACATACGAATAATAGGGGTGCCAGAACAACAGAAAGAGGAACAAGGGTTAGAAAACCTATTTGAAGAAATAATATCAGAAAACTTCCCAGAGGTGGGGAAGAAAAAAAATCACACAAGCACAGAGCATACCAAACAAGGTGAACCCGAAAAGACCCACACCAAGACACATCATAATTACCATGGCAAATGTTCAGGACAAAGAGAGAATCTTAAAAGCTGCAAGAGAGAGACGGAAAGTTACATTCAAGGAATCTCCCATTAGATTATCAAATGATTTCTCAACAGAAACACATCAAGCCAGAAAAGAATGGACAGAAATTTACAAAGTGATGCAAAGCACAGGACTGAATACAAGAATACTCTATCCAGCAAGGCTATCATTCAAAATGGAAGGGGAAATAAGAAGCTTCACAGACAAAAAAAGGCTAAGGGAGTTTATCACCACCAAGCCAGAAATGCAAGAAATGCTAAAGGGACTGGTGTAAAAAGAAATAAAAAGCTCAGAAAGAAAACAGCCACACAAAAAAAGAAATGGCTACAAACAAGTACCTGTCAATAATAACTTTAAATGTAAACGGACTAAATGCTCCAACCAAAAGACATAGAGTGGCTGAATGGATAAAAAAACATGACCCATACATCTGCTATCTAGAAGAGACCCACCTCATTAGAAGGGACTCACACAGACTGAAAGTGAAGGGATGGAAAAATATCTTTCAGGCAAATGGAAATGAAAAAAAAAAGCTGGGCTAGCAATACTTATATCGGACAAAACAGACCTCAAGTGAAGGCCATAAGAAGAGATAAGGAAGGCCACTTCATAATAATAAAGGGATCAATACAACAAGAAGATATAACCCTGATAAACATATATTCACTAAGTGCAGGAGCACCCAAATACATAAAAAAAAAACCCTGGAAGATATCAAAGGAGAGATCGACAACAATACAATCATAGTAGGGGACTTTAATACACCACTGACATCACTGGATAAATCCTCTAGACAAACAATCAGCAAAGACACAGCATGACTGCTAAGCCAGTAGTGAGTCCATGACTCACTGGATCAGATGGACTTAATTGACATCTTCAGAACACTTCACCCCAAAGCCACGGAATATACATTCCTCTCAAGAGCTCATGGGACATATTCAAAAATAGACCACATATTGGGTCACAAACAATGTCTCCCCAAATTCAAGAAGATTGAAATCATACCAAGCATCTTCTCAGACCACAATGGCATTATATCAGAAATAAACTACAATAAAAACAACCCAAAATACTCAAACACTTGGAAGCTGAATAGCATATTAAATATTGATTGGGTTACCAATGAGATAAAAAAAAAATTAAAAACATCCTGGAAACTAATGAGAATGAAAACACAACAATCCGAAACCTATGGGACACAATGAAAGCAATCCTGAGAGGGAAGTTTATAGCTCTACAGGCCTATCCCAAAAATCAAGAAAAAATGATAGTAAATCATCTAACTCTACAACTCAAAGAATTAGAAAGAGAGCAACAAGAAAACCCCTGAGTGAGCAGAAGGAAGGAGATAATAAAAATTAGAGCAGAAATAAATGACCTGGACACAAAAAAGAAAATACAGAAAATCAATGAAACCAAGAGCTGGTTCTTTGAAAGGATAAACAAGATTTAAGAACCTCTAGCCAGGCTCACCAAGAAGCAAAGAGAGAGGACCCAAATAAACAAAATCAGAAATGATAGAGGCAAAATAACAACAGACCCCACAGAAATACAAATGATTGTTAAACAACACTATGGACAACTCTACTCCAACAAATTAGACAACCTGGAGGAAATGGACATATTCCTAGAAAAATACAACATTCCAAAACTCAATCAGGAAGAATATAAAAATCTCAATAGGCCAATAACTATGGAAGAAATTGAAGCAGTCATCAAAAAGCTTCCAGCAAACAAAAGCCCAGGACCAGATGGCTTCACAGGGGAGTTTTACCAAACATTCAAGGAAGAACTAAAACCTATCCTCCTCAGACTACTACAAAAAATCCAAGAGGAAGGAACACTTCCAAGCTCATTCTATGAAGCCAGCATCACCCTAATACCAAAACCAGGTAAAGACAACACAATGAAAGAGAATTACAGGCCAATATCCCTCATGAACATAGATGCCAAAATCCTCAACAAAATCTTAGCAAATCGGATCCAGCAATACATCAGAAAGATCATACACCATGACCAAGTAGGATTTATCCCAGGGATGCAAGGATGGTACAATATCCGCAAATCAATAAACGTGATACATCACATAAACAAACTGAAAGAAAAAAACCACAGTCATATCAATTGATGCAGAAAAAGCGTTTGACAAAATAAAACACCCATTTTTGATAAAAACTCTCAGCAAGGTGGGAACTGAAGGATTATACCTCAACATAATAAAAGCCATATATGACAGACCCACAGCCAACATCATACTCAATGGACAAAAACTAACACCATTTCCCCTAAAAACAGGAACAAGACAAGGATGCCCACTCTCACCACTCCTGTTCGATAGAGTACTGGAAATGTTAGCCATTGCAATTAGACAAGAAGAAGAAATAAAAGGCATCCAAATTGGAAAAGAAGAAGTAAAACTGTCCTTATTCGCAGATGACATGATATTGTACATACAAAACCCTAAAGACTCCATCAAAAAACTATTAGACTTAATAAATGAATTCGGCAATGTAGCAGGATACAAAATTAACGCCAAGAAATCTATAGCATTTCTATACACCAATAGTGAACTTACAGAAAGAGAGACTAAAAAACAATCCCATTTACCATCGCACCAAAAAAATTAAGCTACCTAGGAATAAACTTAACTAAGGAGGTAAAAGACCTCTACTCAGAAAACTACAGGACGTTGAAAAAAGAGATAGAGGAAGACATAAACAGATGGAAGAACATACCATGTTCTTGGATTGGTAGAATCAACATCATTAAAATGTCCACACTACCCAAAGCAATCTATAAGTTCAACGCACTTCCCATTAAAATACCAACGGCATATTTCACAGGCCTAGAACGAACTCTCCAAAAATTCATCTGGAATAAAAAAAGACCCCGAATAGCTGCAGTGATCCTGAGAAAGAACAAAGTAGGTGGGATCTCAATACCAGATATCAAGCTGTATTACAAAGCCACTGTTCTCAAAACTGCCTGGTATTGGTACAAGAACAGACATATAGATCAATGAAATAGAATAGAGAGCCCAGAAATCAGCCCTAACCAATATGCTCAATTAATATTTGACAAAGGAGGCAAGAACATACAATGGACTCAAGATTGTCTCTTCAATAAATGGTGTTGGGAAAATTGAACGGATACATGCAAGAAAATGAAACCAGACCACCAACTCACACCATACATAAAAATAAACTCAAAATGGATAAAGGACTTAAATGTATGATGGGAAACCATAAAAATACTAGAGGAATCCAAAGGCAACAAAATCTCAGACATATGCCGAAGCAATTTCTTCACTGATACAGCTCCTAGGGCACTTGAAACTAAAGAGAAAATAAACAAATGAGACTACATCAAAATAAAAAGCTTCTGAACAGCAAAAGAAACCATCAACAAAACAACAAGAAAGCCCACTGCGTGGGAAAACATATTTGCCAATGTCATATCTGATAAGGGCCTAATCTCCAAAATTTATAGGGAACTCATACAACTTAACAA